CAAAAGACAGAAAACCAAAGAATTGTCTGAGGAGGTCAGACACAAGATTGTAGCCAAGCATGGACAATCTCAAGGCTACAAGTCCATCTCCAGAGACCTTGATGTTCCTGTTTCCACCGTACGCACAGTAATGTTATGAAGAAGGTTAAGGCCCATGGCACTGTCGACATCCTCCCTGGACGTGGCTGCAGGAGAAAACTTGATCAAAGATTCAGCGAAGGATTGTTCGAATGGTGGAGAAAGCAACTCGATCAACTGCCACAAAGATTCAAGCTGACCTTCAGACACAAGGTATGACAGTTTCAACTCGCACCATCCATCGCCAACTCAATGAAAAGGGGGTGATATGGTAGGAGAGCCAGGAGGACCCCACTGCTGAGAGAGACATAAGAAAGCCCAACTGCAATTTGCCAAAGCACATGCCAAAATCCTTCTGGGAGAATGTCCTGTGGACAGATGAGAACAAATTAGAGCTTTTTGGTAAAGCACTTCATTTCTGTTTATAGAAAACAAAACGAAGCCTTCTATGAAACATAGAGGAGTTTTTTGGGGGGCTGCTTTGCTGCTACTGGCACTGGGTGCCTTGAACATGTGCATGGAATCATGAAATCGGGAGAATACCAAGGCATTTTGGAGCACAATGTCATACCCAGTGTCAGAAAGCTGGGTCTCCGTCGAACGTCATGGGTCTTCCAGCATGACAATGACCCCAAACACACTTCAGAAAGCACCCAGGAATGGTTCAAGACAAAATGCTGGACTGTTCTGAAGTGGACTCATTGCTGAACATCATAGATTGCATCCAGATCTAAATCCCATTGAAAACCTGTGGAGAGATCTGAAAACAGCAGTTGGGAGAAGGCACCCTTCAAATCTGGGAGAACTGGAGCCGTTGGCACAAGAAGAGTGGGCTACCAGTACAGAGGTGCAGGAAGCTCATCAATGGCTAGAGGAAGCACTTAGTTGCAGTTATTTTGACCAAAGGCTGTGCTACCAAATATTGCATCTGGGGTGTCAATAATTTTGTCAATGCCATCTCTTTTTGTTTTCTGATTTAAAAGGATATGTTAAATCCTGAATCAAAAACAAAGATTCTTTAACTGTGAAATAAAGATTTGTGGAGACCAAATACTTTGGCATTTAGAATAAAGGCCTGATGTCGGCAGTGTTTGGCTGGCATGATGCACATTCTACTTCTTAGTAATGGATTTCAGTGTAATCAAAAGAGTAAAAACAGCCTTCTCATGATCTACAACTCTGCCTTTTATGTTTAATTTGTAATTGGATTTTCAGATAAGCTAAAATAATATTTGATGATATCACATACAATTACAAACAAATGTTAACAAGCATCAGGATATGGCAGACTTGGCAGAAGAGGGAAGGCACAGTCTTCAAGATCTTTCAAACATGTCTGGGTCAAACTGCAAGCTCTTACAGTATGTTTAAGAAGGGCTGCCAGGCAAATAAAGTTTTGTATTTGAGTTTTACTACCTTTTATCCCTGTTTAAGACAAAGGCCAAATTGTCTTAAGGCTGTGTGAGTTGTGGCATAACATTTCAATATCAATCTGAGGGAACATACAAAGGCAGATGTTTTTACTCTAAAGTTAGCCCACTTTTATTACAAACCATTACAATAATTTTTAGACCAAACTATTCTTTTGCACATGAACTGGATTCCAGTAGCACATGGGTTGAAGAATCTTAAGAACTTCAAACGTATTTACATGTTATGATGATTTTTAATCTATATCAGTTTGGAGTTGATTAAGTAGATTCTAAATATAGCCCTTAATGAAAGTGTCATAATTGAAAGCTTAGAGAATTGAGGGTGGGTCACTACTTTTATAAGGCACTGTTGGTTTCCCCCCACTTAAATTAGTAAGGGAATCTCAATGGTTCCATATTCTTTTTCAAGAATAAACAATGTGTGAAGTCTCTGCTGCTAACGTTTTTCAAGTACATGCTACAATGGAATTTCTCCAAAAGTCAGAGGTCCTTTCAGATTGTTGAGTGAGCAATGAGCCACTAGGTGGCACTCAAGGCTAAATGTTACAAAGTCATGTTCTCTTATCGGTCTCGGAGAATTAGAAACCACATCCTTTTCCCATTATATACTAAATAACGTAATAGGAAAAACAAATGATCCCCGAATATTAAGGAGTTTGCCATTCTAGTAAAAAACTGAGATTGAGGTAGCATGTTAACTATTATCGATGGTGTGTTGCAGGTGTACAGGAGAGAAGTTGAAGAAAATGGAATAGTCCTAGACCCCCTAAAAGCCACACATGCTGTGAAAGGTGTCACTGGGCATGAGGTTTGTCATTATTTTTGGAACGTTGAGGTCCGTAACGACTGGGAAAGTAAGTCCATTTTCTAATGTCTATTACATGTTTAAAGCTTCTGAACATTTTTGTTAAGAGAGAAGTTCTACATAAAGTGTTGTTTTTTTTTTCTTTTCAGCAACAATTGAAAACTTCAATGTAGTGGAAACATTATCGGATAATGCCATCATAGTCTACCAGACTCACAAGGTATTCCATAGTGCTGCCTTACTTTAATATGTCGGAACCATGTAAATAGATACACGTGTTCATTAATATTTTGAATGGTTTTAACTGGGTTTTCCCAGAAAGAGTTTCAGGCAACCAGAATTCTTAAGGAAACTCTCCCATAAACAGAAGCAGATCTCCAGGTCTTGCATATTACTGTGCTTGCTCAGGAAATCAAGGTGTCTGAGCTAACTGGACTTTTTCATGGTGTTTCAGGCATTAATTTTTATTTTATTTTTCAGAGAGTGTGGCCTGCCTCACAAAGAGATGTTCTGTACTTGTCTGCAATCAGGAAAATTATAGCAAACAATGAAAATGATCCCGATACATGGATTGTCTGTAATTTCTCTGTAGATCACAATAATGTCCCTGTAAGTACTGAAAATGTAGTAAATTTACACGAAACAGCTATTTGTTTTTACTATTTTAACAAAAAAGCCACTTTTTTATGACCCGAGTTGAAAGTGTTTTATGGTATGAAAAGATGTAATGGTTGTTGCAGTTGACTATCCAAGTCTAAAAGGGAAAAAAAACTTCACATGAGTATCACCTAAGAAGGATATACTGAATTTGTTTTTGCTCTACATAAGCCTATTTCACAGATATGCTGTCACAGAAATCAGACTTCACTCCTCTGCCATAAAACACCAAGCACATAATAGATCCATAAACACCTTTGTACAGTATTTGTGGTCTTGATAATATGTATCATCTACCAGCGCAGAAGGGCAGATGTTTATCACTGATTAGGAACTACTGAAAATTGAATGTCCCCTGTAAGCAAGGTTGCTCGTTCTGTTAGGACCAAGGTAGACGGTCGTTTGCATAGGAGTATGCCTTTAAGCTTGGGTCAGTTGTCAGTTCATCAGTTTCACGTCAACTGGACTTATAAGTGAGTGAGTGTTTTCCTAAATACCTGTTTAACGCATTTTATGCCTCTGTTATTCCTGTTAGCTCACCAATAGGTGTGTCCGTGCCAAAATCAATATAGCCATGATCTGTCAGACACTGGTCAGCCCACCTGAAGGCGACAAGGAGATCAGCAGGGATAACATCCTCTGCAAAATTACTTATGTGGCTAATGGTAAGTGATGACATTTTATAGTTTTAACGCAATGTAGAATTTGTTTTCAGGGTATTTCTTTTCCAATTAATGAGAGTCATTTAATAATCTCTTATTACTTTTGTGCAGTTAATCCAGGTGGCTGGGCACCTGCCTCAGTCCTCAGAGCAGTGGCAAAGAGGGAGTATCCCAAATTCTTAAAGCGCTTCACATCATACGTCCAAGAAAAGACTGCGGGGAAGCCCATCCTTTTCTGATGTAAGCAGGTGTGTTTCTCTCTCTTGACTATCGCCAAATCACTCCACTGCAAACGTTTTTTTTTAATATTCTAAAATCAAATCGATTCGTTTTTTGTTACATTCAGCTGATTTGGAATAGCCAGCGGTGAGTTTTCCACTTCTCAGCCCATGACTACTAAAACTGAGGAGAATGAGGAAATGCAGGCCGACTCCTCTGATCTGCCCATCTTCGAGCCACTTAAACTTCAATCCATCACAGGCTTTACAGCCTTGTACCAGTGGTTCAGCGCTGATTGGAGGAGACTTCCAGCGCCGACAGCACTGCAGACTGCAGACAGCCCTGGCCACATAATCCCACCTTTCCCTCCGTGGCACACAGCCGATCATGTGCCAACAATAGGGGAGTCTCAGTCTGTGTTTAGATGAGCTTCTCCTCTGGTTGAGCCACTTGGCTGTCTTAATAATTTAATCTTTGAGGTGTTAAAAACAGTCATATCCATTGCTCAAAATTTACAGGCAACTCCAATCCCTAATGTTTTTTTTAACATGAATTCATTTAACATGTTTCATTCCTGTATTTAAGCAGTTCATTTATATGTTTTTTTTTTCCAGTTGTTGAGCAAGAATTCCTCACAATGTCCTTTTCTACAGATTGTACTGGATGTAGTTTGCACTCATAACTAAAATATCTATCATTTTTGTAATAATAAAAAACAAACTTGCATCCAGAGGGCAATGAATACATTAAATTAAGATCTATGGAAGATCCAGTGATTACTTATTAACTTTTAATAGCAGGTATGTCATTAAGTAAAAACTGAAAAGGCTGACTTGTTAGTTGTTGGTTTGCTATAGAAAATAACATCCTGTGGGCTGCGTTTAATAGCACATCAGTGTGGTTTGGAATAGGTTTCACCTCACACTTGTTACGTTTTTTTCCCATGTTTATTCTGATTTGTATCGGTTTAATTCAGTGGTATTACAATCTTACTAAAACTGTACCTGTAAGATCTTTGAACCTCGAGGACAAAGTGATGAAAGAAACCCATGTCTCATGTCTTTCAGTGATTTGCCTCCTCTCACTGCCAAGTCCCACAGCGTGCTTTTCTCCGGGTGATTTAGACAAGGCTGTGTAGACATTCCAGATCTGGAGGAGCTGGACACAGCAGAAGCAGGCGGTGGCACTTTCTGTCTCTAGACTGTTCAGAGGCTGTGACCTGCGGTGCCCAAGTGTGGGAAACAAAGCAGCTTTGGTCAGAATATCCAACACTATCTGTACTCTGCAAGCTCCTCTTACTGCATCAGTGTGTAATAAGTACATCTTTACAGCTGTCGTTTATGTTGCTGTAGTGGAGACAGTTCAAAATGAAATCTTGATTTTTACAAACTGTGGTTCAATGGCTTTAATAACTCACATGTTACAGTAGACCTGCAATAATAGCCAAAAAGATAAATATTGCAAAAAATACATATTAAAAGAGATTTATATGGTCATTTTGGAGGTCTAAAGTAAATTGTTTCTATTTTGGTCTGGCTTTTGTAAATGTCCAGTTTTTTGTTTTTGTTTTGCTATGTATAATCACTGATCTCATGGCTTACTTTCATGCTGCTAATTTTTCTAAAAATAGCTAGCCTTTTCTTAAAGAATCGTCTTGTTTGTAATACTTGTTGAGGGCTGTTATTGATCTATGACTTGGCCTTTTCTTCCCTCTCTCTCTTGTGAAGACCAGCAATGTGTCTGATGGAGAAAGAGTTTGAAAAGCTTTATTTTTTTTTCAGAAATCTTTATATTTCTACCGTGATTTTAGTTGTACACGTTATACAAATGTGATGTGATGAAAAAAAGGCATAGAAATCTATAAAAAAAAAAACTGGCAATATGGAATACATAACTTATCTCCTGATGCTGGTGGAGCAGATCTATCTTGATTGCAGTAGAAGCATTGAACGGGAAGCTGGAGAGCACAGTGTACGAGTTTTCAAGTCAAGCAATAATTAGTTTGGCCTTGAGAAAAGCATCACGTCATGATCTAATTGAAAGTGCATTATTAAATTTGATCTGTTACAAATTCACAAAGGATTGGATCTTAGCAATCCAAGGTTACAAACTTGAATGCCCCCTTTCAACACACACTTTGTATACCACTGCATCTTAAGAATTATTAATCTGGAATGTACAGAATTAAGATAAATTTTACCAATTCCCCAGTTTTGCTGTGTTGGCATATACATGTTAAGCGTACACTTTTTACATATCTTTTTATCAAACATTTCATGTTTATAGAAATCTGTACCTGGACAGTAATTGATTTAGTGTTCTAAATCGGTTCTTTAGAAAGCAAGAAATTCTTGGGTCCGTGCTCCAGTAAAATCACTAGAGAAGTGCCTCTGTCTTCATCTTAGCAGGATGTATGATTTACTGCTGAATTCTATATGTCCAACAGACAAACCTTTTAAGAGCAAAGCCTTTTTAGCATGTTTCTTTTTGCAAAGATTGGTTTATATTACAATGTAAGGGGAAAAACATTTCACTTGATTTATTACCTCAAGATTAATTTTTATCTAATATTGTAAATTTGCAATCAGCAGGGACAGTGTCACTTTAGTGTATTCTTCCTGTGTTGGGAGCTTTTCACAAATTAGTTTTTATGTCCAAATGATTCCTAGCGTGAAGTATATTGGTAAACCTTTCACTAATCGGGCAAGAGAAGTGTTATGCAATAAATCAGTTGCATAGGATACAATGAACAATGAGATGGTGTGTGGGGAGTTCACAAGAAGTGTGTATATCTTGATAGCGTTATCATTAGTTGCATTTGCATAAAATGCGATGTAATTAAGACATATTCTGTAAATAAATAGATTACACTAAATGAGCAGTCTGGGGTGAATATACCGTGCATTCAACGCATGATTAATATTGATCTGTCTTCAAGGAAGGATATTCTCAAATATCCTGATTGAACAGTACTGTTGCCCAGACCACTCTTCTCTTGCCTTTGGATTTCTGACATGAAAATATGTTTAAAGTACTTTTGGGAGTGTATAGACTAGTTGTGTTTTATAGAAGCTTTATTATCTTGGTTATATTCTATACAAAGAAATGCCAGTCCTTATGTCACAATGGTATTGATCTGTACAAAACAAATAATTGAATCAACTTGTATGATAGCAAAAAAAAAAATTGAGCTCTCTTCCATGTTATATCTAATTGAATACAGTATTTAAAATTGAAGGGTATTAAAAATAATAGACCGATATTTTGTGTGGCGTCTTCTTGAATACATATTGATGACATGCTGTTTTACCGAATTGCAGATGCTTAATTCACAGTGTAAGGAGTGTAACCATAACCTGATATACTGCAGTTTTATGTGAGCTGATCTCTCTTAACATCAGGGAGAAACTTTGGGCGCAAATCAAAATTAACTGGGTTTCAGAAATGATTCTAACCAATTTTACTGGATGGTGATGGATAGTATAGATGCACACTCTTATCTACCTACAGTTGCAAAACAAGCAGTTACAATGAAGAGGGCTAGTGTTTTTTTTTTTTGTTCAGATGAGACCTCTGAGATTTAACCAGTAGTTGGCTTCTTTGCTGGTGAGATGTGATGAAGTGAGAGCTGATTGGCTGTCTCTGCTCTGGTGAGTATAGCTCATGGTGACGTTGCTTCAGGAGGGATTGTCAAAGATGGCCAACTGCATCTTGAGTTCCAAACTGGTCAAGCTTACTGAATGTCATTCTCTTGAATGATGGGGGCTTTTTTTTTTCTGTTCTTCACAGTTCATAGTATAACCCAGCATACCAGCAGATATCCTAAATAGTATTTTTCTAAAGACAGTGCAGGTGTCTGCTTTGTATATGAATAAAAAATAGGCTTTTCATAAAATTTTACATTTTGCTGTGAAACAAATTCCTTAAGATATAAGGACATAAGGTCCTTTACATATTTAATGAAAATAAAGGAAGGAAACATTTACAGCAGACCATGTTAAAATCTATAGCCAGTCTTTGCTTTGCTAATAGTTTAGAGAAGCAAGCTTTGTTAATTTTTAACTGAGGCACATCTATTTATGAGAAAAAAAAACTAAAAGAGATTTTCATATGAATTCATTTTAAAACACAATTGTATACCCCATGGTAACTATTGTGTTCCATTTGCATAATTTATTCCGTTTGCTTAATAATAGTTGGAGACACACTCTGGATTTAGTGATTTTAAACAGTGTAATAAAGTATTCCCAGTCAGCTCACCTTATGAAAATGCATACAGATGCAAAGGTGGTTGATCTGCTGGTCTACTTGCACAAATATTTTTGATGCTCTTCATTGCAAAATGGTTTTATAGAAACTTCACTGCAAATGGCAGAGAACTCTTATTCTCAGAAGTTGAATCTCCTCTTTATTGTGCATGAAATGGATCCCTATAAATCCAAGCTGACATTTTCTTTCTAAAAATAGGCTTAATTTGCATTTCAAGAAAAAAAAGGCATGGGCTTTGTAAAAAGTTAAGAAAACTGGGTGTAAGGAGAGAAAAGCTTGGTGATGTTACTTCTGTTAATTATATAATGAGGACTATAATCACCATGTCAATGTAGTGGTTAGTTTTTAATTTATAGGTAAAGTAGCAAATAGCCCATGGATTTTGTGATGTTTGTTTACTACACTGGGAATAGACAGCCATTTCATGGAGAATTATGTATTTCTTTATATGTAATTCATAGAGCATCTGTTTAATACATTCATATTGTAAAAAGTTTCCAAATAAAAGTAAACATTTCTTAATGTACATTATTCACATTTCTAAATGCGGAGGAAAGGAAATGATCAAGTTATATAAATACAAGTTGTTGTTTTTTAAATATGCCCTTAACAAATACTAAATAATAGTTGCACTGTGACTTGCCAGGTGAATCTCTGTGAACAATATGGTTAAAGTGCTCACTCAAATTTAAGGAAATCAGAGAAGTAGGGAAACAAAATTCTGACTTTAAAATCTGTTAAATAAAATGTTAAAGATGAAAGTAAACATACATTTTTTTCAACTATTTTATTTCAGCTGTGAAAATGATCCCATTAAATACAATGCAGAAATTATATATTATTTATTGCAAAAACTTACAAAATATACATGATGTGAATATAAAACTATGAAATAGACTGTGAGAACATATTTAGTGATGTCATTTTTTCCCCCCACATGACCTGCACACGTCCAGATGCAGCCATTATGTTGCGTCATTTATAAACAGTATGTGCAAATAGTAACACAACCTTCCCAACTGCTGCTACTATGAAGCATTTGGCAGCATTGATGGAGATGTTACTTACAACAATTGAGAACTCAATGTGGTCTCTCCAGTGACTTGACCGTTGTAGCTGAAGACCGCAAAACAGCTTTTAAGGTGCACGCATCAAAAGCAAAGCCTATTAAGTACCCATTTTTGACAGCAGTAAAAACAGGTATGAGGCTGTACAAAGAAGAAAACTGCAAGTTGCAAGTAGTGGCAGGATCCAATACCATGTAACGTTTGTTATTTTAGCACCTTGTTTAAGTATTTGTGCTTAAATGCATCAGCTTTCCATTGAAAAAATATCCCTTACAATTAGATCTGAATGCTGTTTATCAAGGTAATAAAAAAATACATTCATTTTGAATGTTAGGTCAGAAAACTGATACACTCAACTGAAAATGTAATTAAAGTTGCTACCAGTATCTGCATTGCATTTCACTGATATAAACAGAATCTTGGCAAATTGTGATTTATTCAGAGCATTAACAGAGTACAACTGCTAATTCCCCTTTCTGTACTTTTACAGAACACTACAGGAAATGTGACAGGGAAGACTTGTGCATTGATGATAACTTACTTCAAAATGAGCCAACAATAAAATAACAAAAACATCCCTTTGCCCACAAGTTTCATCCTTGCTAGTAATATAGTAGTGAATATCCCTCAGCTTTAGTTATCAATAATATCAATTTTAAAGCACGTTGCACCACATCACTAATACAGTCCCCGTGCCTAGAGATATACAGTACAGTAGCATACTGAGCCCTAGTTCACTGGTCAGCAGTTATCTTACACCACACAGCAATATGACTGCCTGCTCAGCTCCACAATACAGCAGCAAAGAAGTCAGCAACATAGGAGGTTTGTCACTTCTAACTGGATCATAAAAATAACAAAATAATAGATGTAATTTTTATATTCCACAGTTTAGACCTTGTTCACACCACACAAAATTTTGACAATCACATAAAAAAAAATCCAACTTCAAACACATTGATCATGTTTTGGCAGTCCAGGGGCTATTTTTAGTCTGTTGATGTTTGCTAAAAACATTTACAGATTACAAAAGTTCTCCAAAGACTGAGAAAGCCACAACGTCGAACACTGTCTTGCTGGAATCAAAAGGGGCAGCTGGCGAGGATTTCGGGTTTTTTATTTACAATCCTTACAGCCCATGAGAGGAGCGTGGGGATGTTGATGCAGCTTAGGTGAGCCGACAAGAAGGCCTCTGCTGCTCATCCCACCCAGCTCTCTCGGCTCAGTCGTATCCGTGCCACTCGCTGGGACCCGTCCTCTTCAGGCTGCCTTCTTGGTGCACGCTCCCGGAGTTTCCCGCAAGTTGAGCTTTGACCTGTGCGAGAGAACCGAGCGGTGAATCCCTTTTCTACTCTGCAACGTATGTACTCTTAACTTTTGTTTCATTCTTGAGTTCCTCTGTTGTTTCAGCCTTTACAGAATTACTATAAGAAAATGACACAGGGTTTGGATGCAAGCATGGGGCATGCACAGTTTTGGCGACTTCAGATTTTTCAGAATCTACAGCAAATGCAGCCTTTACTTTTGCAGAACTTTACTGGGTGTCTTACCTTTTCCGTGTAACTATTTTTACTTTGATTTTAAGAAAGATTTGGCCCAGGGACTTTTTTTTTTAAAACTCAACACTGGCTTATCACAGCCTTCATCTAAACTCATCTATGCCCTGGCCTGCAAGACAGGCCTGTCCGGTACTGCTGCTTGAAGACCCCGCTCCAGGCGTCTCTCACCTGTTGTGAGTCATGTGACTCTTGACGAGGTGGCCTGCCGCCAGCGCCGCCATGAGAGACAGCTCTCCGGCCAGCACTGTGGCACACACCACTCTCGCCAGCTGCCGCGCATTCTCGCCAGGACTGACGAGACTAGCTCCTTGTACCCCCAACATCTGCAACACAAATGGATTAAATCAAACAGAAGGCAATCTTTAGATATAAATCCATTTTTATATTGCCCACAGGATTAATTGTACTGTACGTTTATCCATCCAGTACGGCAAGCAACAGGCACAAGACAGGAGCCACCCTGGATTGGACACCATTCCATCTCGGGGCACACACAGACGCCAACATGCCCACACTCGCACCAAGGCCAGTTTTCCCAGAAGCCAATTACCTAACCAGTATTTCTTTGTACTGTGGATGGAAACCCATGAGTACATGGGGAGAACATCCAAACTCCACACAGACAGCACACCACTAAAATCAGCACAGAGCTCCACTGCTGCAAGGCAGCAATGTTAACCACTGCACCACTGTATAAGCCACTATTTAGGTATTTAAAAGAAAGACAGCAGCTCAACCAGCACTAGTACAGTCATGATTCTTCACCTCCAGACAGGCCTGTTGCGGGGCTAAGTTTGTGCCCCCACCAACTGTTCCAATCTCAATAGATGGCATCGTGCAGCTGATGTAGAGATCTTCATTGGTTGGACCCGTCGTCTCCATGAGAGTAATGCAGTTTGAACTTCCAACATTCTGTGCAGGATCCTTTAGGAAACAAAAATGTGTTCTATAATTATCCAAACACTACCGCATAAAAGCGTCAGTCGTATTTGTACTATTGCTGTGACCAGTATTCCGGTTACAGGAGGGTCATGGCTCAGTAAACAAGGCATGGAATGTTGCCTTCCATAAATTAACTTAAAAATATCCATATATTTACTATCAAAAGCAGGATACATTTCCCCTGCATTAGCAGATGGTGTTTCTAACACACACAAATTAAACTTTGCCCAACTGACCTGCCCACAGGCGATGTAAATGGCCGTTACAATATTAGCAGCATGTGCATTGAAGCCACCAATGCTCCCAGCCATTGCTGAGCCAACCAGATTCTTGTTAATGTTGACATCGACCAGAGCTTCAGAGGAGGTCTTCAAAACCTAACAAACAAACAAACAAACAATTTGTTAACTCCATTTCTCAAACTAAGACTGCACAGTGAGAGGAGATGAGATTATGCAGTGAGAGACTAATTCATACAACAGCCATGATGAATTAAGAATAGCAGGTTTGTCAGCTACGGTGACAAACTTAATGCTTCGCTCACAGAACCTTCTGCAATCATTCCGTCAAGCAAGAGGAATTGCTTAAATTTACCATTTGTGGAAAAAAAAAAAATGATTTCATCACACTAACTAAAATAATCTAATTTTGCCCAACAGTGAAAAAGACTTACTTCTCTGACCACTTTGGCAGAAATGGTTGCTTCACAGACTACTGCTTTTCCTCTTCCCTCTATCCAGTTGATAGCTGCAGGTTTTTTGTCAGTGCAGTAGTTTCCACTCACTGCCAAGACCTGCAGATCGGGAAACTCCTCCTGTAGTCTGGCCAGAGCCAGCTCTGTGCCCTGAGAAAGATTATGCATACCATCAGAATCCTCAAAATCCATTGGTGTGGATTGCTGCATTTCATTTAAAGAGCATCCTAGGTCTAAGAGGTATTCAATTTAATATTTGGAATTCTAGCGCACTGTTTTTTTTTTAAGACCCCACTTTAAAGAGGTAAAACCTACAGTAGAAGTCTGTCTGTCCCCCTGGCTACCTTTGAGATCATGTTCATCCCCATGGCATCTCCAGTTTTGGACTGGAAGCGAATGTACAGGTTTCGACCTGCAATGCCAATCGACAACTTCTCCAGACGTGCAAACCTGCAAGAAAACGAACACCAATCACTTCCTTCATCGCGTGATCAAGGCTGGAGCCTCTGGCAGGCCACACAGGCTTGGCAGTTGCCCCGACTGATCGGTACTTGAGTTTCCGCTACAGAGTTTCACTGACCTGCTGCTGGTGTCAAAAACCTCCTTAATGTACTTGAAGCCCTCGGAGGTCTCCAGCCAGGCCTTGACCTCTGCCGCCTGGCAGGCCGAGGGCAGCCTCACCACAGGGCCGCGGGTCATGGCATCCGACAGGATTCGACTTCGGGCTCCTCCTCCCAGCTGTGGGCGAGACGCAGGTGGTACACGATTGCACCCCACTGCACTTTAATTCCACTTCTAACCTGTTCTTCCTAAATTGGCCTGTTTCTTATTCAAGAATGTTGCCATCTTAATTAAATTCGGAATCGAGTCCTGTTTTTCCCCATTAGTGTTTGGTTCAAATATACAGTATACGCTACCCTTCCCCTCCCAGTTAGGCAGCAACAAACTGAAAGAAAACTAATTCCTGTATTCACTTTTTTCGGTGAAAGCTATTTTGTTCTGCAAGAAGCTCCACGCTTCTGCATTTATTATTTCTAATTTAATAATATTTAAGATTGTATTTTTAATGTCTAAACAGGATGGTTATTGTTAGACCCCTTCTCTACATAGTTAAGTGACAGCAGAGCAATAATGGTAAAGTCAAATACGTCTTAATGCCTAACGAGAGGTTTACGTGTTAAAATTGACGGTGATCATTACAGGACACAAAGGAAATGCTGCAGTCCAGATAAAGATGAACGCTGACTCACTGCAATCGCTCTGCACCCACGGTTTGTACTGGCCACCAGACAACCCTCTGTTGTTGCCATAGGAACCTGAAACTGCTTTCCATCCAAATGCAGGGGCCCTGCAACTCCTACTGGGACAGGCATGAATCCAATCACATTTTCACAGCAGGTTCCCATCACCTTAAAAACAAGACACCAACATTTAAAGCTCTTCCAGTAGAAAGCCCTGTAATAAGGCTATCAAAGTTTAAACAGTAACTGGTACCCAGGTCCATAACTATCATTTATTATTACCAATTAGTTTGCTTTATCTCCCCCAGATTCTCGCTTGGAATGCGTAAGTCAAAATTCTATGAAACTGTTCAAAAACATTTTTGCTGTATTTTTATTAAGATAACTTACTGAACAGAAAGGATTCTACCATGGTGAAATGAAATGGAAAAGGTGGAGCTAAAGTTCTAGTTCTGTTCCTTATTTACAAATAAGGATAAGAAGGCAAAATAAAACAGGGCTGAAAACAAGATACACCTTGCACAGACGTAGCCGTCAACTGTTAAAAGTGCAACTTTCATTTAAATTAACATTCAAAATTGACATATAATTTGTCTATTTTACGAAAGCCATACATAAGAAATTAAAGATTTTTTTAACAACAGTATGATCGTATGGAAACTGATGGCAGTGCATCAGAAATTGTGATGACTAATCTTATCTAATTCACAGCTTACACATTTACCTGAGAATAGTCATAGTCTTTGTAAGGAAGGTTCTTTAGTGCAGTTGGCTTTGAGAGTTTGGTTGCCAACATCTGCCTGCGTATAGCTACACCGCGCTCTGGAGTTTCCATCATGTTTTCCAGTTTGTATGAAGGGATATGTTTTGCGTTGACCAGAGAAATCACCTCCGCATCGCTCAAGAATCTGGCGCCCTTCTGTGACAAAATAAGAGATAACAAAGGGATAATGAATTATGCAGGCAATCAATGGAAGATAAAACATTCCACCAGCCTTCAATCTATCACAGCTTAATGTACAAAAGCATACCACCTCTCTTTGAATTCTACATTTTAAATGATTCTTGGAAGGTCTGAACAGTTAGTACTTGATCTATTAACAGGGAGTCCAGTTCCCTGTATTGTGCCTAATTAATCCTAAAAAAAGCTCACAAATTAACTCTGTAGCAAATGATTTGTAGCTTAAAGGAAAAAATGTACTAAATTATTCTAATAGGCATTTCCAATAAACAAACAATCATTAATCATAGCTGAATGAGTAATGTTTGCATTTACATAATTTTACACTCTTGATTGCCAATAATTTAAAGGACTTGTTTGTTTTGATTTGTTTGTTAAACTGATGGAGTGAAGAAACACACCTCTGGGTTCTTCATTACAGAGAGACACTCCTCGACTGAGCGTGGCTCCGGGTGTAACTCCGTTACTGAAACCAAAGGTATCTCCTCAGACAACACCTCTGGAACGCCATCTCCCAACACAAATTTGGTCTTTGGGCCATTCTGAACAGGCAGTGGCCGGATTACTTCAGCTGTTTAAGATAAAGGCAAAGATGCGTGATGAGCTAGACTGTAAACTATGATGTGGTAAATACAAGTTAAAATGCAAACAGATTAAATCAACTTGGCCAACCTGACTCCTCTTTGGTCACATGAATGGGCTGTGCCGCAGTCTTTTGAGGGGAACTGGGTATCCCAGAGTCTCTCCTGCAGCACACATCATTCGCCCTCTTTTGTGCTAGAGACGGGGCTGTGATAGGGTTCTTCAGAGACAGCGTGGACTCGGTCTCGGTCTGCTCAAAGAAGATGTACTTGACAGCTAGCAGCAGGGCCAGCCCCAGAGTTATAACCTGTTCAATGTCCATGCTGATCATCCTGGGAAGCACACATAAAAAAGGGATAAGCACCTGAACGCAAACCTCAGTTAGAATAGCATTCACAGTAAAACAAACTCAAAGTTACCAGATGTCTCCATATCTGGTAGAAACGGAGAATTAGGGATGTCAGGAATAAAACTGAAGAGACAGTCTTACTCACTAGGATGTTCAAATCTAAACTGGTAGAGATGAGAACGGGGAAAAGACCTGGAGAGATAGAACTGCCACAGCGGCCTCTCGGGTTCGATCCTCTTGGGCATGTTTTCATCAAGCCCCGGACCCACCCGGGCGGTCTCCGCCGTGGAGTTCTGGGAAGAAGGTTCGGCAATCCAGCGACTGTGAGCGTGGACCAGAACCAGGCCAAGAGACTGGAGGAAGAGAAAAGGTAAAGAGAATCAGATCACTACAAGCATTCTGACTGAGAAACAAAACTGCAGATTATGTGCAATAAGAGCTTTCAATCAGTGGTAATAAACAGTAACACAATCTGCCAGATGTGGATTTACGATTTACTTTAAAAGTACCTTAACTCTCAAACCTTTCCATAGGCACACATTACTATTTGCTGTTTTACTAAATGCATACTAATTTTTCTTTATTACTTCACTATTCCTATGCAAGAACTAAATCTTTCACCTGTAAGGCAAACAAGTATGTTTTATTTTCTTATTTTAAAACTGTATGTAATTTTGCTGTTATGAAGACACCTCTTAAATGTATGAAAACTCTCAAATATAAACAGGGATATTCTGCAAACAGATCTATTTCTTAACACAGGGTTTCTGGAGAATGCCCTGCCAGCCCATTATTGCACTAGGAGCTCAACGGTGAGCATTAATATAAATATACCAGTGGCCAGAGCTCTGAACTCACCATGATCATCTTCACTCGCTGTGTGACTGGGTTCGGCTTGTTGTCCTCCTCCTCCTCCAGGACCCGGGCGAAGTGGCTGAGCTGCCAGATGGGACGTCCCTCCCGACTTTCTCTGGATAGCTGCAGGGGCACAGGGGGGAACGTGAGAACACAGCCAGCCAGCCAGCGCAGCCTCAGGTGCAGACATACTACTGTACCATCAGACAGCTGCTTTCCAATGGGACAGCAGCGTCTAAGTGAACTGCCCATATTAAGAGGGGCGTTTTCCTGAAACCTTGAACGGTAAACTCATATATTCAGCGCATTTCCAACAGCAGAAAACAAAATGAACAACTGCCTTTGACTTGACAAAAAAGTGTTTTTAGAAGATGACAGAAGTCATTGGGGGCCTCATGTCCAATGACACAGTCAGTTTTCTCTAGCTTTGCACAGAAAAAAAGCAGCAGCAGTACCAATTCCTCAAGGTGGGCTGGCTTTGTTCTTTTTGGAGATTCAGACTTAAACAGAAAATAAAAGTCTATAGATACACAAGGATCAGCCTTTTAATGAAGGCATTTATTTTCTCTTATTTTCTATTTCACACCTTCTTGGTTCAGAGTCATCAACTACGTCTCGGCTTGTCTTACCACCACAGCCCCTGTAGCTCAACCCCACACATCTGACAACAGCCCACTTGTCACTGGACATGGTGTGAGCCCCACAGTTCTCAACAGGACAGTAAACACTAGACTGATACCGCTCTCACTGATGTTGCCACCCACTGCCACAAGTGCCAAGAAGGTGCCAGAGGTTAGTCAGGGCTTCTGCAACCCCTGTACACCATTTCCGATATTACCTGGCCAGCTTAGTCTAGACTCTTTCACTAGATACTGTGACGAGAAGCAGTCACCCGAACTGGCAACATTCAAACCACTACTTGTGACACAAATAAGCACCTTTACTTGATGAGCCACGTGGACCCCTTTTCAAAGACCGTTATATAAGCACTAGCAAAGTCTGATTAGCACTTCGATAAGGTAAAGAAAAGAACAATACCTTCATATGATTAAGTTAGGTTGCTCAGTTGCCACTGTGGTGATTTCCTGTAAAAAGGTCTAGGGACACAAAAGACAAAGACCCAACTTTGTTTAAAATATTTTACCTCCAAAACCAGGGAGACGCACGCAGGGAAGAAAGTCATGAAGACGAAGTAGTTTGCCATTACAGACATGCAGCCAAAGCAGCACATGATTTCCAGCTGTCGCACACCTGACAGGAAGGAGAGAAAACAAGAAGGTGAGGCTCTTCGTGCAGTAGGAACACATTTTACACAGACCCAAGCTTAAAATAATAAAGCAGAATTTGTAAAACTGGACATACAGCATTAATGTTAAACTATCAAGTGGTTGCTGTGTATTACGGCCATATTACATGGCTGTACATTATCGGAAAGAACTGGGCTAAGCAAGGAACTGTAAGAAAGAAGAAGTCACACAGTTAACCATTACTCTTCAGAAGTCATAGTTATACCTCTGTGAGACTTAGCATGCAGGTATATGAAGATATCTGATAACTAATTTATCATAAACACATCTTAAGATATAAAGAAGACTCACCAGACATGGTGCCAACTCCAATCACTAGACACTCTACAAGAGCATCCAGTGTGAATGTTGGTCCCAGGATAGCCATTCCACGGGCAATGTTGTCTCTCACTTCATCCTGCAGTGCAAGCCAAGATAGAAAACACCGACATGTCATTCAATATTTTGGTTAATACAATCTAGTAATATTTTACTGGAAATACAAACTGTTTTATGTTAATTCAAGTATATCTAATAACACAGAAACAACACACATCATGAAAATCACAAATGGGGGAGAAAAAAAAAACATCAGGCTTGAACAAAAACCCTAGTGTCATACCTGAGAGTTGGAGCTCAAGGCAAATTTAGCCAGAGCACAAGCCTTGGAGAGGTCTATCAGCAGCAGGAAGAATGGCAAGGCCTCGCTGAACAAAGCAAGAACAGACTTTTCAGGATTCACAACATAGTTTCGCCAGCAATCCATCAGGACAATTATCAGTCATCACTCAAAAAGCAAATATTCTTTGAATTTCCCTACAGGAACGTGGTGACTGGAATATCAATGTAATGAATATCTTCATAGTTAATTTATGGACACAGATGCATATATGAGTTCCTATTTAAAGCTATAATTGATACGCAAACTCCATTAGGGGTTGCTTTCCCATTCATAGCATCAGGGATACTTTTACTGGTGCTTTATTCTATATCTAAAAAAACTTGAGGCATTGACAGCACAAAACACCCAAATGAGATCTTATACTTACTTAAGGCCTGTCAGTTCTTTATCCAAGAAATGGATCACTACAGTGCTGAACACAAAACTGGAGAAAATTGTGAAGAGGCCAGCAATACCTTTTTGAGGATAAAAGAAAGAGTTATGTTAACACTGCAGCACTGTATTTTCCTATTCAAAAAACGTGATGAATTTCTTAAACATAAAAAAGTCATACCTAATATATACTTTGATCCAAGCTGACGCAGATTTTGGAACTGGAAATAAATATATACAATGGCTATGCAGCGTGTGATTGTTAAGATGATTATGTCACTGCTTAAAACATCCTGCAGAGGAAAAACAAAAAGCAACATGAAAAAGGGTGTTCCAAAATCACACAAAAAAAGAAATACTATGAATAACATCATTTTTCCAGCAACTTACAAACAAAAGTCTAGCATTCATCTGGCGTTTTCACAATACTACTGCTTAGCCCCAACAAATGAGGTAGTCTGCCAGAAGCATTTTTTGATTCCTAATATTTTTAGGAATAACTCCTTAGAAATTTACTTCTACTCATGTGTCAGATATTAATGTAATAGCCAAACACATAAAATGCAGAGATCTTTTTACAGTTGTTGACTTAAAAACTGCAGCCTTTCCGATAAAACTGAAACAGCATTATGTGCCTAAGTTTTGCTAGGGAGGATTGTATGAATCCGCCAGTCGAATCTCACCTCCTCCAGCTTTGGGCACTCGTAGTTCCACCCACAGATCTGGTCGTTCCCTGTGAACATGTTCATGGACATCATGCAGATGGTCAGAGTGACTGTCCCCACAATCACCTCCCAGGGATGAGAGGCCACGAAGAGGCCGTGCAGGCGAAACAACCGCGTCAGCATCGTGCTGGCTCCGCAGGATTAACTCTGCAAGCGAAGGAAACCGAAAGCCCAGTTATAACTCTTCTGAAAATAATCCAACAGACAGAAAACGAGGGTGGGGAAAAAAAAAACTTTTCACAGAGCCACAATAAATCAAACACTGATGCTTAATCCAACGCATATCATAACTGGAGACAAGAAAAGTCTTATTGCCAAACCACCCCTTCTGGTTGTTAGGAAAGTTCTGTGCTGCACTCATTTAAAATCACAGAGATACAAAAGAACAAGACACAAAAAACAAAATGTAAATAATATACGCTTGTCATATGCTTGCTTGCAGGTAGAATGTTGCAGTTCTATAGTACAGTATAGAACAGTATGTACAGTATGTACTGTAGCTGCTGTGTTCACCACAGATAAGCACACAGCCTTTGACGTAATGAACATGAACATTGCTATTCCAGCACAGAGATCTTCTTTTCAGTACTTGTATTTGTTATTGATTTTAATCAGGATTAGAAGGCATAAACAAAATTTTCCCCTAACAGCAAAATGCAAAAAAAATGCACAAAATGTCCTGAGAGATACAAAACGATAGATTTAATAATAATAATAATAATAATAATAATAATAATAATAATAACAATAATAATTGCTTACATTTATATAGCGCTTTTCTGGACACTCCACTCAAAGCGCTTTACAGGTAATGGGGACTCCCCTCCACCACCACCAATGTCCAGCATCACATTGAAACTCACACCTTGTACCCACATTTGTAGTTGCACCAAATAACAAAAATTTTGAAAACACTCACAAAGCAAGGTTTGTTTTCTACAGACTGCGAGACTTGATGGAAGTATTAAAATCCTCAAAACCACTGACCACAGTCTAGCCAATAAAGTTATTCAGGATCAACACCAGAACATCTACTAGGTAACAAAACAGGAAACTATGCAGAAGTGCATTTAAAGACTACAAGAGTCTTTATCAGAATCTAGAACATGATGCCAGGTCATGCTGTTGAAGATTATAACCTGGATTCCATCAGCATACTGTACAGCTAGATGAGAAACATCTAGCACCCAAATGAAATGAAGGGACTGAATAACCTTGCTGTGTTGGTAGGAGCCATGTTCCAAAGTCCCATTCCTTCACTTCGATCTTACCGTGAAATGTAATATTTAAATGCTGCTGGTACAATCAACAGTCAACAGTTCCAATATGCTGTTCAAGCCATGCAGTACTACAGGGCCATTCTGTACATGTGTACAATCAAAGCACTCTGAACCATGCCAGGTAAAACGGAATAATCCTCCTTAAACGCTGCCTTTACAACCTAGTGACCTAACCCATCCTGATTAGGTTGGACTGCCCAAGATCTGCTAGGTCCTCACACAGTTAAACACTGCACAAATGCAGATCAGGGGCCACGCCAATACTCTGCCATTGATCCAGAGACTTCATCCAGCCATTTCTTGAAAGTGAATATGAAAAGGTCTTACTGGGAAGGCTTAAATTAATAAAACATTTATATACCACATTTCATTACAGTGAATCTCAGAGTGTTTCACTGTAATGAAATGTATTCCCCCTCCAATCTGGCTTCCGTCAACTTCACAGCACAGAAACTGCCCTGATCAAAGTCACTAACGATCTTCTAATAGCTTCTGATATATATCACATTACTCCTATCCTAGAGCTTCTGGTCAAAGTCCATGTAGACTTTAAAATCCTCATGCTCACCTATAAGGCTTTACATGGCTTGGCACCTCAATACCTGTCTGAACTCTTATCGCCCTACTCCCCACCTCGCGACCTTCGCTCTTCTAATTCTGCTCTCCTTTCTGTCCCCCAAGCTTGTCTACATTGTATGGGTGACAGGGCCTTCTCCTGTTATGCCCCCAAGCTCTGGAACTCTCTGCCCAAGGATCCAGACTCAAAACCTTCTTCTTCAGAAAAGCCTTTAACTTAACTGCTTCTATTCTTCACCCCTCTGCTCTTCTTAGTACCACCTTCCACGGTCCCCTCTGTGTATTGTAATTGTGTTTTATTTTTATTTATTGTTGTTGTCATTCTGTAAAGCGCTTTGAGAAGGCACCTTTAAAGGCGCTATATAAAATTAAGTTTTTTATTATTATTATTATTATTATAGACCCTCTAAACACTGGAATCACTCCATTTCCACACGCAAACAATATTTTCCTCTGCCTCTGAACACCAGTGGTAGTCGTACAATTACAATTCCTGGAGATCTAATTTGAAACAAAACCATCTTGTTAATTCTGGTGCCTTCTGGTACAGCAAGGAAATAGTATCAATAGTATCAAATCCAGCCAGCTGTAAATTCAAGGACCTCAAGCATCACTTACCATAAAAGAACATAAATGATCTGGTCATTTGCGAATGCCTTTAGCGTCTCTTTCTCATACACCGCAACGAGCAGCAATGGTAACTAAACATTTGCCATGCTAATTGCTGCTTTAATGCAGTCTTTCCCTAATGCTCTAATTTCCATTAATATTTCTGTCAAATCTAAGAAAAGTCAAATATCTCACAGCGACTATTATAGTGAAGAAAAATATGTCGTTGCTAAAGGCTTCTAAGCTAATAAAAACCACAAAGCAGGGCTAAAATTCCGAATTTGGAAGACTTTGCATTATGAGGAGATTCTGAGTGTTTTGGAAATTAAGTCTTGCACTGACAGTAGGAAGCTTGGCGTGGCACTTTTCATCCGCGACACTTTATGTAACAAGCCCACGACGTCGCCCATCCTTTCTTTGATAAAGATGGTGATGAGAACAATCCAGAAATTACCTTATGACATGTTTTTTCCCAGTTTGTACGATCTTGTCAATTTGCACTGCATTACTACATTACTGTATAGATTTACACACATACAAAGTACAATTAATCGTTGTCTACTATTCATGTTAAAGAACACGGAAACATGCTTAACATTCCTATGTCTTTACTAAAACAAATTCCACATTACATCAGGCGCTGCATCAAGAAGCATCAAGAACTTCCACTCTTACCCAGAAGCTTAACTTCCTGTATCGCTCAGGTTGAAGACTCAGGCAAATGTCACTTCGTACTGCGTCGAATCACGACTCAGGCATTATGAACATTTTACTAACACTAGTATCATCTGGAGAGCTGCCTACTGAGTCATAACTCTTTAGAGAATTGTACGTAAGACGTTCAAACTCTATTCGTCGTTTTTATCCTAAGACACAGAAGGGTGATCCACCTACTAACCTGTGAAGAATCAGTAACACCACCAGGACCCCAGTGTGACAGGCTTGGGTCTGTCTTGTGTACTGCCTGTGCCCGTCGACAAGGTTAAAAACAAAGGTGAATTATTTTTTAATTACAAGAGAAAACAATTACATCAAATGTCTACTATTTTTATTTAATCGCCACATAGGTAACGTTGCCGAGAGTCTATACTCTCAGCGGTTCTCCCACTGAAAACCCAGACCTTAATGTATGCGCTGTAGAGAAATGGCGAGGGATTCATCGTCCGATGGCTCAGCCAATCACAGACCGATCCCTCCTGTGTCTCCGGACGTCATTACAGTCAGTTACCTAGGCGACGGGGATGGAGGCGGGGGCAGTGCAGACACGCGTGATCTCACCACTGCAGTCCGAGCTGTTTCAGGGAAGGCTGGAGAGGCTGAGCAGCACCATTGGACAAGTCAGATGAACTGGGGGTGGTGTGTGTGGGAGTGGGGTAATTGTGTCTTTTTTTTTTAGATTTTGGAGGACTACACCTGCAAAAATGCACATTCCAGTGGCATTCATAGAATTTTCTTTTAAAACATACATTTAAAAGTATGCAAAGTATATTCCTATTAATAACAACTGGAAAAAAAATAGTTCCATTCAGAAATGCCCCCAACAATTCCACTGCTTAACTACAGCAGAATTGTGCAAAAAAACAGGTTCAGTAATGACAACCTGGCTATAGAAACTGACCTGCACAAAAAATCATGGACAAGAGAGACAAGAATAAGCTGTGTGTCCAGGCACCTCGAGCTGGTAGAGTGAGAGAGATGCATGTCTTTCTAACCTGCCATAAGTGCACAAAAATAAGAAAAACATGCCTCTCCACATTTTAAATTTGAAAGCACAGCGCATGAGCCCACAAAATATGAACTCCCCAAACTGCTAAGAGAGGACAAGTGAACATCATGAAGAACAGTTGGAACTGTGTAGATATTCTATAACACTGTGGAATCCATTGGGAGAGATACTATTTCCACAAAAGGGAGGAATCTCTCTGCAGTTTCCACTATAAAGCATTGCAGTACAGTATATTGCACAGTGTCATGCTTGATTTATCACTTGATTTGTAAATCACTTTTCACTGCAATGGATTCACAGGGCTTTATAAACAGGAGTCGACCCACTTCACCCACCACTTAATGACAACGTAATGACAAGACCTTTGTAACATGTCACACCAGTACATCCTATCTTGAGTTTTAATAGTTGAGTTTCTCTAGTATTACTGGCTATCTCCAATTTCACCAGTCCATGTCTTCATTTAAAAAAAAAGTGGCTGGATACGTCCAGTGCCTTCCTCTTCTCAGAAATGAAGCAGGTAAAACATTTTGAAGTGCACAAACAATATAGACACAGTAGGTGATTACATAATGCAATTATGCTGTACAGAGATAGTGTTACTTACATTGATCACATAGTGGGTTTAACCTGTGATGTAGAGAAAAATGTTAAATCTTAATGATCGTTATTTGTTTTAAAATACAATGAACCAAAGCTTCCAAACATATGGTGCAATAAAATAAACTTAAAAAACGAAATCCTGGCTAAATTCCTGGCCTACCTATGGTTCCCCTTGGCTGTTGAATTTCTCACATTTTTACTAGAATTGCTGTGTAGGGCGGCTGTTAGCCATAGGTCACCTAGTTGGGTGCTGTAACGTCAGTGGAGGTAAATGTAGTTCCCCCTCTACATTAAGCTTTGATTGCCTTTATAAAGAAAAGTACTACATAAAACTGGAGGAGATGTTTCACATCTGGTTATCAAATATCTGCGTTTCACGCTCTTTTAAATTGTTAAATGAAAAACTCCTAACAAGCAGCCAAACATGCTTTACACACAGAATGGCCAGTTCACGTTCCTAAGTCTCATGTTCTTCTGTTGTGCAATGTTTATTTTACTACATGAGGTAGACCATGGCTTGAATAAGATTAAATTTTGTATTTTTTGGTCTATTTCGACTAGATTCATGCCATGATAACACCACGTCTGTCAAGCATTATGGCTTTAAAAATAGTCTCACATCCGATGCATTCCAAAAAAAAAATCAGTTTGATACATATTCGCACTATCTTAAACATACGTTATTAACAAAAAATAAAACTACTTAAAGAAGTATAGCACAACAAAAAAAAAAAACTAAGCCTCGAGAACAAAAACATCTCGTCATCTCTCTTACTGTAGATCAGCGACGCTCTCGTGTGACCACGCAGGGCCCGCTCTTGCTGTGGCGGACTGAGGAGTTCAGAGGCTAAAACACGCTATAGTACAAGGTAAGAAATGGCAAAAGCTGCCCGTGTTCCTAGAAAAAACATAGATGTTTTAGGTAAAATGTACAGTATATAAAAAAATATATATTTCAACGAATTAACTTTATTTTGTAAAATAGGATGGACGAAGACGACGGCGACATGATGGAAACCGTGGTGCCTGACTCGGATCCCGACGATGATGAAGACCTTTACGCGAAGAGGTAAGGACGGTAACGTTATTAGTAACGGGGTTTGAGGAGGAAGAAAATACTCTTCTCAGGGTTACAGGGTTCAGTTTCGATATTATCAACAACGTTTTCAACAACGTTAACAGCACATTTGACCTTTTTAATCTATAGGTACAGCCAGGTTTTAAATCACATACTTTCACAGTTTCCCATACTGTTTATTAGGCTTTTCTTAAGACATTTATTTTACTTTCTTTTTTTTTTGTGGGTCGGGTAGTATGAATGGGATGCTATTGGAAAATGTCTAATAATGTGGGCGTCGTGTCAGAAAAGTTCCGCCACTTTACATAAGGGAGTCAGCTGTGGTAAAAAGGCGGGGTTTTTATCCGTCCTGTGTTAGTAAGACAGCGGTTCATCTTATATAAATTGAAAACTGTACATATAGTCTGTACAGTTTAACTCCTATAGACATATACAGTATACGTGGGATTTTGTATCACCTGTGTGTCACGCTTCGTTACTCTCTGGAGTTCTTTTGCAAACAAGTTAGTTCTGTCATGAAATCCATGATGAATACAGGAACATTTCGTCCAGCCGTTTCTTAAAAAACACCAGTTCAGGTTTTATTCACTTGGCAACTCCCAACTCCTTAGCGGCTTCGGTTATTTTTGTGTCACCTGCAAATATACAGTATCTGGTTTTCTAAATATATCAAATCGTGATGTATTTAGTCACGGTACGACCTTATCGAAACCTTTATGCACATTTAAATATAAGAACATAAAAGGTTAGAGAAGGTCAGTCAGTCCATCTAGCCCGTTTTGTACTTAAAAGCAAATTCGGGATCTCATCCCGAGGGCTTGAACAACTTCGCTGGGCATTTCGGGCCATATTCCCACACCCCATGATAGTGTTCTCTAATGTACTTGTTGCTTATTCAAAGAATTGTAGAAGTTATACAAGCAAGACCTGAAATACAGTACCCTAGCTATGTATGGGGTCACTACAAATTAAATGCACATTTGCCACAACTTTTTTTGCAACAGTAACTTTAGCAAGGAAATTAAATTTAAACCTTTTGTTGAAGTTCACTAACACATTGAGCCTAAAATTGAAATCCTCCCAAGTTGCAGGGTTCAGTGGCCTTTCACCATTCTCTTTTTCTCTCGTTTTCAGGTTGATGTGTGAAATGACAGATTCTTTACAACTGTCACACTCATTCAAAGTGATTCCTTCAACAAAGGGGGCTGGTAATGCAGAAGGTACAGTGTGTTTCTTGATTTCGTTAAGTCATAATAACTTAAGCATATGCTGTAATACATAGTGGGGAAACAATTACCTGGCTGAAAGGAGAAAAAAAGAAATTGCAGGTGGTTATTTAGCTTATAAGATGATGCTTTGATTAGTTATCAGTAGTATGGCATTCATTCAGTTTTAAATTGGACACATAATATTACCTCTGATAGTACTATTTCTGTAGGTTTATTAAACTGTGATGTTATTTAGATAATTGTGGTAACTGATACAGGTGGAAATGTGTGAGGTAAATGAGATGTAGATATCAGTGTATTTTTTCAGTTATGGAGAATGATTTAGCTGATCGATTTTTTATTTAATTTCAGTATTTTATTACTTAATGTGTTTTTCCATGTATATTATTTTTTCCCATAAACAGGAATCAAATTCCAAAAGTGCAGATTTTATGTTTTTGTTATGTATGAGAAATTACACATATTTGAGGAAGTGAGATTTTTTTTTCCTCATGATTTTATGCAAACCATTCAGAACCTTACAGTATACAATTTGGGGTACCACTGTACTTTTAACTTGTTTTGTTAATGTTTATTTTGGTTGTAGTGAAAGTGGGAATGCTGGTCTTTTAGTATTATGGTGATGTTTCACTATAAAATTCTAAAAAAATACCCATTGATAAATGCCATTTGCTGGTGAACATGAACATTGTATCTTGTATCTTTATTAAGAAGGATTACACATATTGTGTAATAAATGCAATAAATATGTACTGTATGTACTAGCATAGATTTGTTACTTCGTGCACTGATCTTATTATATGAAAACTGAAGTCCAAATACATGGGTTTTGGTGGTGCACTAACAAACTGGGCAGGATTCATTTGATAAGTAAATCAAAAACTATTTTTATAAGGCTAAGTATTAAAAATGCAGAAAACAAGCAGTAGAATCTACTGTATAGCATTTAATGCATTTTTAATGTCTCAATATATTTCCTTAAAAGTCTTTCAAAGAGCAAGATAAAGAGCTCTTTCATCAAATATTGTGATATTATTCACCTGAATAATCATTTCTACAGGCCTCCTAAATTAACACTTAATTAGAGACATTTAAAGTATGGCACATGGGTCAAATTTGGCTTGAGACTAGACTGAGATGGGACAGGAATGTACAAAACAACAGTTACTGGTTTGGAAAAAATGAATTTTATTGACAATCTTAAATGTGTTCATAATACATTTTCTGAGTGTTTTAACATTACACTAATTTAGAAACTGCTTGTCTGCCGTATGTATATTTGGTTCTTTTTTTCCGAGTGTGTACACAGTTAGGTACTGTACGTGCCTTGTGAGAACAGTTTCAGACTGCTTAGCAGAGAAAATGAAAATGGAGTAAAGATAACAATTTTCAGAAAAAAATAATGATGCCTACTTTTTTTGTAGTTTTCCTGATATGCCAAGAATCAGTTGCTGTAATGAAGGAGTATAGTTTTAAAAGACATTTTAAAATGAAGCTCATCACTTTATACTCCATGTATACAGGTCTGTGAAATGACAAAACCAAAGAACTGAGAAATCAGTTATCTGTTCAACAAGACCTATTTAGAAAAGGATCTTTAGTAAATAAAAATGCCACCTCGTACTGCTAATAATTTGCCTGACAAAGAAAGTCCTGTTTTTTATCAGCCTTTCAAGAAAACTGTACGTCAAGACATTTTATATGCAAACTCAGTTTGGTTGAAGAAGGTAATGTAAACAGTGCTCAGAATTGTGAACTTCATCAGGACCATGTTTGTAGAACTGGATGCAGAATACAGAGATGATCTATCACCAGGAAGTCCAAATCAAAATAAAATCATTAATAGAAGAGAAAAAAGACGATGTAAAGCTGCAATCAGAAGAATATTGGCTTTGGGATAGTTCTTTCCTTGGTGACATTGTTATACTTGAATCTTTCTATCTGCAGTTGCAGGCGAAAGCGTTTCTCATTTATCAGCTTTACAACATTAAGGCATTTGAACAAATACTGCTGCTAGATGAACTGCAATCTTATTCACTTTGCCCATCTTATTCACTTTGCAAGCCTTGGAGAAGTGCATGCATTTCTCTAAGGACAGTATGTGAAACAGTACGGAAAAAACTTGCAGAGTATGCGGCATTCATTACAGACCCGTTGCAGTAATCCCAAAGATGATCTTCAGATTATTATAATATTCGAAAACATTATACATTTTAAGTGTTTTATATCAACATTAAAAGGTTTACACTGCAGTCCGTACGTATAAAAAGAGCTGTGATTCTTATATGGTTCACCCAGTTTAGACGTAAATACCCTCTAAATAAAGCTGACATTCTGCACTTTAACCTCAGTCATTGTTTCATTTCAAATCCAATGTGCTGGAGTACAGAGCCAAACAACACAAATTGTGTCACTTTCCAAATGCTTAACTGACTACACTGTATGTAGTGTTACTGCTTTTAGTGTACTGTTAAACTGTTGAGGTCATTAGCTTCAAACCTGCTGACTGGCCCTCCAAGCATAATGATTTGAGCAGTTCTGCAATTAATTTGATTTGTATGCTATAAGTAAACAATGTCAATATTAAAATATTTCCAGTGTATTTATGGCAACAGTCAAAAAAGTGAAAAAGTTATATTCAAAGTTATATATATTCAAAGTTATATATCAATTCAGATGGATCCTGTCCTGTTGTTGAGTGTGTGATCGAATGTTTGCTTATTCATTACTTTTATTGTGAGATAAAAATTTTATTGTGTGAAATTATTATACATAATAATTTCACAGATCTTGTCATTTTTTTGTGTAAGGCTTTTCTTCACAGGTAAGCCTGTTGTCCAAACAGAAGATTCATGAAACACAGACTGATAAATATGTCACAGAAAAGGTAAAGATAAATAACAGAATGGGTAAAATTCTGTAAAATGGGTAAAAGTTGCATAAGAAACACAATTACATATTCAGATTTTGGGTGTGATAAACTCATTTCACGTAGAACGGTGCTGTGGATGTAGAGAAATAATTCATTATATTAATGCTGTCTTTGTATTAAGCTACATGCTATGAAGGATACCAGTATTAAAGTTGTTTGTTAATTCTCTGTTTACAGAGCATAAACTTAATACTTAACATCACATCTGTAATATTTGCAGCTCAGAACAACACAAATCGGTAATGGTATAATTTTTCTGTGATAATTTCAAATGCAGGATTTAACATTGGGCTATTGGTCTTTTTAAATTAATATAAACCAGACCTTTATTGCCTTATTATTCATATTCCGTTACAAAGCAGATATTGAAATTTGTTGTTTCAAGGTCTTTTTCTGGTTTTACTAAACGAAAGCAAAGGGAAGCTAGAATATTTGGATGGTCTGCATCAAACAAGTTTTTCAAAGGGAACATCCTCTTTTAGGATTTTAAGTCTTAAATAATGCCATTAATGACATAAAAGATTACAACAACTTGGCAGGTAAAGTGTTATACATATTGTGCTTTACAACCAGACGTTGTACCTTTTACAACTTTCATTACAGGGCATAATGCACCTCTTGAAATTTCAGAAAGTGTATTCTGTATTGTGGCGTTCTTTGAGTGTCCCTCTGTCCTTCTGGGGCTTTCATGAAAATATACAGTATAGTGTTGGACACCGCAGACAATGTTATATGATTATCCAGCCAAGCATTTGCCTAGTCTTTACATAACATCAATACAAATAAAATTCAGATTAATAATTTATACAGTTCAGTGTCCTGCAAGGGAACATTGTTTATCGCCAAGGTGATCTCTGCAAAAAATGGAATGCACTTGTATGTCTTAACCTGTATCTGTCACATACATAGACATTTTACAAGCAGTGCCATAGAGAATGCTTGTTTTTGAATGGGCTTCTACCAGTTCTGCTGTCAGGCACACACTTTATGGACCTTAGAAATCACTTATGGTAATGAGCTAAGTCATGTATTTTAAATATGTATAATAGAATATAAATGTTAACATTTCACAAAGGAATTGACACACAATTAAGTTATCATGGTTAAGTTATTGTCACGATTGCTAACCCCTCTTAAGGGCGCTCCGTGCACCTGGTCCCTAATCCCGCTCCCCCTTAAAAGCCAGACGCGGACCTTACTCCTGGTTCCTCATTGATTTCCACATCGTGAGAGCCCGGGGTCTTGCTCCGTCTGGCTCCGTTGTGCTTTTATCTTCCAAGTTCCTAGTTCCTAGTTCCTAGTTCCCCTCGCCAGTTCCGACCCGGTTCCTGTTCCCCCCCTACCGGATGGATCGCCTGGTTATGGACTTCAGCCCTTGTTTTTGATTTCCCGTTTGGATTTCCTACATTTGCCTGGATTCACTTCCCCTGGACACCTGCACTGCATGGACATGCCCCCCGTTTCCAGACCCTTTTCCTTTTCCCCTTGTGTCTTCACTATTCTGGATCGTGTTGTCCGCATAGGGCCTGGAAAGAACTGTACGTGACAGTTATGACATTTTAAATAATTTTGAAAAGTGACCCAATCTGAACCTTTTAAGCAAAAAACAATAGTGCTGCCTATTTCAAGATGTAAGGCTGCAAATGAGAAGAGACCATTTGGCCCCTCTTAATAATTTGTTAATTTAAGTAGCTACTGTACAATAAGTGAATCCTCAATTTTGGACACTTCTTAAAGAAGTCTAGAGTCTCTTCAAGAAAGAGTTGGTCATTAAATTAATGGCTGGAACTCACAACTTATTACATAGAGAAGACTTAGTCCCTGTCATAAATGAATTCCCATTTAGTTACCAGTTTTGTCCTTGTCCCTTTTTCACTACTGAACTGAAAGAAATATTTCCCTTTGTTGACCCTTTTCGTAGGCTTGGATTTCTTGTGCTTTGATCAAATCTACTCTCATTCTCCTTTCTTCTCCACTATAAAGATTCTGCACCTTAAAACACTTCATATATAACAATACCCCTTCTTGTTACACTTTTTTAACATTTTCTGAGGCTAGGATCTCCTTCTGGTATGGTGACTGAAACTACAGTTTCAAATATTTGTAAATTTTCCAGAATAAGATAAGATATGATCACTTTATTGGACATATACAATTTCTTGTATTATGATTTTTTTTTCTCGCATACCCCAGCTTGCTCTCCATGAGACACAGACTGGGAGAGAAGCTTGGGGTCAGAGCCATTTATACGGTTGCCCTGGAGCAGTTGGGGTTAAGGGCCTTGCTCAGGAGGATTCCTCTGCCCTCTGCAGGATTCGCACCGGCAACCTTCCAGCCACAGGCACAGATCCTTGGCCACAGACTGACCTAATAAGGCTGATAGACATATGATGCTGATGCTGATCTTCCAGTAACATATTATTTCTTTGGGGCAGATCTTGTAACATGGTCAAGAATTCTTTCCTTGTCCTTCAAAATCATTTCTGTTAAGGACATATTTAGATCTTGGTAACACCCAGTTTTGCATTGTAGTTGGGCCTTACCCAGACTTTGTCTAATTTCATTTCCTGCATTACATGTTTTGCAGTTCTTGGAGGCACAAATATCACTTCTGTCGTTATGCGAGTATCTGTCATTCAGTGTTGCAAAAATCTGATGCTATGAATATCCGATCATCTGCAGGACAAAGTTGTTCTGCAGTTTATAACTACAACTGAATATTCACAAGCCAAAAGTGAAGAATGGTATTTCAATGAGAATTCATTTGTAAATGAAGCGTTTGTAAGTCAGGGAGTGTCTGTATACAGGTATCTAAATCACTGAATAGATCAAGAAGAGAACTGAGCCTAAACCAGATATCTGCAACACACTGCAGCTTGCATATGCCCAATCAGATGTTATTTCCCTTGAAATTACACACTGTTTCTGGTTTGCTAGCTAGTTATGGGAATTATGGGATTTCGATAGGTTTTACTTCATTTTTAGTTCACTGTACGCTCCAGAGAACTGGCATTAAGGCATCATTGATTGGTCCAAATAATGTTGTGTAAAGAGTATAAGAAAGACTACAAAAGAAAACAGGCCTTTTGGACCACATTACATGTTTGGTTCCTAGTAGCTTATTGATCCCAGGATCTCATCCAGCCTTCTTGAAGGATACTAAGGAATCTTCTTCAGTCAAAATGGGTAAGTACCCTATGTGGACCTGTGTAAAACTTGATTATTGATTCAAAATATACGCATGATCACCAGCATCCTCACCCCTGTAGTTAATGGGTGCTTCCCATTGATTAGACACAGAAGGCTCAAAGCAGGTCAGCAATAAAGTAACAGGTTAGAATTTTGAATTTGATGGGAAGCTTTGAAGATTTGCTGTTATTGAAAATATTTTAGATTGAATTAAATAATTTCAGCACGTGGAAAATTAGCCTGTGACTTCAGATGGCCAAGACCACTGCTCAGCATTCTTATCACCATTTATTATTTGGTTTGTTATTTAATCAGATTGCAGAACTGTTGTTTTTCTTTATCTGCAGACAGATTGTGAGAAAACAACAGAGGAAATATTTGGGTTAATGCCTGGCACTGCAACAGCACATAGAGATGTAATGTCTCAGCAGTTCAGAAGTGTTGTTGTGGATCTCCATTCTACAGGTATTTTGGACATAATGTCTTAAAATGTGTGAAGAGCTGATTACACCATCCACTTCCATTTTCCACTTGGAAGATATACTGTACCAGTAATTTGAGGCGTAGAAAAGAAAAAAACAACGCAAGGTTTCTTAAAATGATCTCTGGGTCACAGTTGAAAACTCTTACATTTAGAACTTGTTGGTGTGAACAATGGAAACAGAAACTGCAAGCACATTATTGTAAACAGTAATGAAGTTTCAGTTCTGAGGAATCTTGTAAATTACAGTACAGTACTTGTAAATTCTGCCATCTTGTGGAAGTTCCTTGAAATATCTGTTAATGCTTCCTGAGTTGATTAATAAGAGGTTCATCTGGAGATCCAGATGAACAAAGTTTTTTTTTTTCATTTAAGTATTAAGAATGCAAAGCAGTTTAACTATGTATGTCACCTTGTCCCCTTCTCCTTTGATTTAAAGAAAATGCAGAGCATTTTTTTGAGTACCGGAGTGACAGGATAATTGCACAGTCTAGAGAACTGGTAAGCTTTGATGTAAATGTATTTATTTTATTTTATTATTTTGAGCAATAACTATACTATTCTAAAAATTACTTGAGTAATATGGTGTGTGCCATATTTGATTTGGCTATTAAATGGACCTTAATTTTTGTCTACAGTGGAATTAATACATTGTTATGTTTTTGCTTGTTAATAAAATAGTTTTTAATTTGTTTTTGCAAGCTTTTACAATGGGTATGTCACCAATTAATTAGAGAAACATGTTTTAATAATTCAGGACAATTACCAGTAATAAGATTCTTTGAATAATGCAATTCAAGCTTTACTCTTTTAACTTACAATTATTGTATAATGACATATTGAAAGGTTTTTGTTGTTTACTTTGAAACAAACAGGAATTCAACAGGGATGAATATGGCTCATCAGCCATGTCCCCTTCTCCAGTTGCCAAAGCATCGGTGACCTCCTGTGTAGAAGAAAAAGTAAAACCATTTGTGAAAAAAGAGACATGTTTCCCATTCTCATGCTTGCCAGAATCACAGATAATAGGCCTAGAACCCCAGTGGTAAGTATCTAGAGACTGGATTCAGGAACACATAAGTTGTAGTTCTATTTTCCATACTGTAGTTCCAGGTCCCCTCAGCCTGCTTTCCAAATGAGTACTGGGGGTTAATCCTTCCAGGGTAATAAGCTGGCTGGAGCTTGACGCTGACCACATCACCTCCACCTCCAGTGTTGCATGGTTGAGAAAAATGGTGGCCCTTGCCCCCCATACCCCATGGCCGGAAAAGAGACCTACCTACTAGTGTCAGTCATGGATGACACAGTGGGGCAGTGATTTGCATCCCTGGTGCCATGAGGTCAGTTCTGGACCTGGGGTGGTCTCTGCGTGGAGTTTGTATGTTCTGTCCGATCTGGCGTGGGTTTCCTCCCAGTTCTCTGGTTTTCTCCCACAGTCCAAAAATATTCTGGCCGGTTAAATGGCTTTCGGGAAAACTGGCCCAGGTGTGTCTATATATCAGCCCTGCAGATACAGGACTCGTGGCCCATCCAGCGTGTACTTGCCTCGCTCAGTTTGCTTGCCCAGATAGGCTCCAGCTCCCCTGTGACCTGGAATTGGAAGAAGCAGCTAGAAAATGGATTGTTGGATAAGTCATGGGTTAAGAAATTAAATTCTTAAGGATTACATCTGCCTTTTCATTTTTACTGTGTAAAAGCTTTGTGCTTAAAAGCTGTCTACACATATGTTATATTTAAGATCTTCTTTCAGTTGTAGGCAGGTAGCTGGGGCTGCTTCAGAAAAATGTCCATCAGCTTCAGTGTCTGGTTTGGAGCCGCAGTACAGTTTGTCATGCCAGGCTGCTAAGGATCTACTGTCGGTTAGCCATGTTAATTTATCAAATCCAACAGGGTCCTCCAGCACTGTGACAGGCGAGTACAGAGGCTACCTTCCAAGACAATTGGTTTATGATGTGTGTGAAGAGATTGAATAAGGACTGCTTTTTTCAATTAAAAAAATATAATCCTGCTTCGCACCCACTTAACAATACATGTTCTAACTCAAGTGTCACATGTTTCTGGAGTCATACAGGAAATACATAGCATTGTCATCACTATATAATTGGTTTTATCAGTACCAAATCCTCAGTCTTTTGTCAACTATAGGAATAAGGATTAAATATTTTCTTCACCATTAGCAAAAACCTAGTGTTAAAATGTCACATCTTTGGCATTCTTGCCCTGTAGTTTCTCCAAGCATGTTATTACAGGTGTTACTGAGGTTAATTGATCCATGGAATTGAATAGTTTGCTCTACTTGGCCAAGTTTATAACCCTACATTTAAAAACTTGTAATGTCCTCCACATTAAATTATACAAACACAAAATTAAATGTCCATATTTTTATCTACAGTATGTAATTAAAATCTGTTAAGGTATAATAAGCTAGATGGGCTGAATGATATCCTCTCATTTGTAACTTTTCTTATATGCAAGGAGCAGTTTTCATGAGGCGGTAATAAAAAAATCCCATGTTTACCTGCATCACTCCTAGAAATGGTAATGATGTTTTTCTGGTAAATTTAAGAAGCCTGCTGTCTCAAATACCTCACACACGCTTGCTAAATGTACACAATTTTTCTTCTAAGTGAGCAAATAGTTTTTTATTGTTTCAGTATTTCTGACATCTAGGTAGATTTTTTTACTGGAATATGAGTACTGTGAGTTGTGCACAAATGTAAATCTCTTGCCAAATATATGTATAATTTGTCTTATATTATATTTTTAATGTATGCAGCCTTGATTTCTATGCAACCTGAAATACACAGATGAAATGCTTTGTTTCTGAATAGCAGAATTAATATGGTATTTAAGAAGGTTCTTTTATTATTTTATTTATAGAATGCAGAGGAATCTCAATAAAGAACTCTGTAAAGTATAATTTGGAACACAAATGATACAGCAAATCATAATAAAATGGAATAATAAATTCTATAAGTCATTCTAGGAAAGTCTATAAAAAATTGCTGAGACGGTACTACTGATGTTTGCAAAATACAGGTATTGCAGCATTTACTTGTAACTACTGTCACAGTCACAGATATGATGCTTCTCATGAGAAATTTGAATTATTGTAATTGCAGTTGCAAAAATGCAATTATTACAAAGAATAAGCTGCTGTTATTTTTCAAGGTAAGGCATTTTGGAAATGCACACAAACACAGGAACTATACATTTAATTAATCTGAATCTGAAGGCAAAAGTTACATTCAATATTTAGCATATTATTTGATTGATACACTGGCATTTACAAATAGGACTCAGATACACTAAATTTTAAAAAATAGTTTTAGACTACACAAAATGAATGCATATCTTAGACAACTGCTGAATTTAATTTAATATACTAAATTACATTTAATAATTATGAAAAAGATAAAGAATAGAACTTGGATTATTTTATTATTCTGTAGCATGAAAATTATGATTCAATTGTATGTTATAAGTATATAATTTACTGGGTAATTGTGTTATACATTGGATTCCCACTCTTAGTACAGGATCTCCATTTAGTGATACACTTTTTAAATCATGTTTTAAAATAGCACGTGTGCAAGATGCTTTATACTAAACCAAATTAATGGCTTTACTTTTGCTTACTGTAACTGTCATCAGTAGCAGCAAGAAAGTCAATATCCTGGTTTTCTGATGCAGGCATTGTAGTTTAATTTAGTATTTTATTTGTATGCAAATGGTTGCTTAACCTTGATTTAGAAATGTCATAATTGTGTTGTTAGATTACTTAAAGGTAATGCAGCAAAGTGTCAGAAATGGTGTCACAAAATGCTATTTTATGCTTTTTAAGAAGCAGTTTAAATGTTGTCTTTTTATTATTCAACTTTGGATTTTTTGTTTTATCAGAAAATGCAAAGTATAATGTGTTTTTATAAAAAGATTCTCTAATTCTGCATATGCAACCAAAAAATGTTGTGTGTTCTGTGAAAATATTGTGGTTAACTATTATGATATTTTGTTTTCCACAGATACTGAAGCATGTACACAGCAAATGAGAAATGTGACGGATAGAAAGCCTTCCTCTGCAAAACAACTCTCATGGATAACCATTAACAGAAGAAACCATTATGGGGAGACCATACTCTTTAAAGCTGTGCAAAATGGGGACAGAGATCTGGTCAAAGAGATTATAAAGGCTGGTGGCAAAGTTAATGTCACTGACTACGCAGGTACAAATTTAGCATCTTAAAGGTAGATGTGATAGTGTGAAAGAATCTCAGAATAATACAAAATGCAAACATTCATTGTATTAAAACGTAGTTACATGTCACATTCTTGCATTTATTTTGAACAGTAATACTGGACTATATTTATTATTCTAATTTAATGTGATGTAGGATGGACCCCACTGCATGAAGCCTGTTTATCTAGTTCCTATGAAATGGCTGAAGAGCTGCTGAAACAGGGAGCAAACGTGAACTGTGGAGGAAGAATGGGCATGACACCCTTGCATGAAGCAGTCAACTGTGGAAACTATTGGGTATTTAAGCAGCATTTGTTGAATAATTGAATATTTTTTAACAAATTGTGATTGGTACACACTAGTGAGTGTCCTCCAGTACCACCATGTGCTACAGTAATTATTCAAAATAAGAAGTCAGCCATAAGAAACTATTAAGGTTTTATTTTTTTAATTTAGTTTGTACTCATCAGTTTCTTGAAAATAAACTAATACATTTGGGAAGGTCTAGGGTGTGCTAAATTGTATTATTTAGCAGACTGGCATTTTGCATCCCTTACGTTGTAAAGGAAAAACATGAGAATTGGAATCTTATTCCAGGTAGTGTTTGTGTTTGGAAATTTCTTGCAGCTGATAAATTGCATTATTTATAGTTGGATTTAGAAACTTTACGTTGATACAAAACTATTTAATATTTTAATAAAATATTACATTTATTTAAAAATAAATGTGTAGGTATTTGTATTGTATTTGTAGTTCCTGCTTAAGTGTTACCAGCATAAAGTGTTATAAATGCCATGTTAGAAAAATTATACTAAGATCCTGTATCAAATTAGTACCATGTCATGCTGAATATCTGATTGATAGCAGGAACTGAATTGTGCATTTTTTTCCTTGGCACTGTCAAGACCAGTTCGACTTGGATCCTGCACTGTAAATACTTGTACCTTTACTTGAGAACTGCTGTAGTCTCACTCTAGGCATAGTGAGAGCTACCTTTCCTCAATTCTTTCTGACTGAGAGAAGAAAAGAGAAAAATAGCTTTATTTGCCATTTTCTCTCTTTTTTAATTCTATGTTTTCTTCAAGCAACCCCTCATAGATTGGACTGGTGCTTGGACACCAAAAAGAACTCCAGTCTTGATGACTTTTGCCTTGACTGCCAAGTTCGGTGAACTACACTTGAGTATCTCAGTTGTTTGAGCATCTAGGAATTAGGAGTGGCACCTCAATTCTAGGGTTTGGAGCTCTAGCCTTTGCCCTTATTGTCGAGGACATTTGTCCTCCTTGTTGACCTAGACAGCAACCAGTCACCATCTAACCTGGTCTCAGGGATCAATTACTTGATACCAGGAAAACCATCTACAATTATATAACCTCAAGCATACATGCTTCAACAATCCTCTAGAACTTCCTTAATACTGAGGAAAGCTCCTTGACCATGAGAACTCTTTGGTTGTGGAGACGACTGCTGTCAAGAACATCCCCTGCTCTATCAAACACAAAGACCTCCCAACCACATGGACAGCACCTCCTATCTTTCCAGCACAAATCCTAACCCCAGTGTAGGAGATCATGAGAACGGGAGCCCACGTTCTCGATATTGAGGATTTCAGCCTCAGTTTTTGGGAGCTCTGATGGGATTTCTATGGGTTGCCAGCAGGTGGCAGCAGAGCAGAAAGCCGTCTGACAGGTCAAGAAAGTGTGCTCGGATCAGCTTTCACAATATATGGAGAGAGCCAAGAAAGTGCCTTCTGTGTGGCTTGTCCTCCAAATTGTGGAAGTTGGTCTAAGCTCACTGCTCATTGGGACAGAATCCACAAAAATGATGAAATAAGACATACATCACAGCATGGTGTCATCAAGATTCGGTTCTTATGTGGTTGGAGTGCTTTATCCTATCACAGGTCTATTTCTGTTGTTCGACAATACGTGCCACTGCTAACCTTCCCCCTATCCCTGTAAGTGAGAGACATGCTGGCTGAAATATGATGCTTTCGGGGGTTTCATAGGCTACAGTAGTTCTTGCTGTCTTTGCCTGCTTTTAAATATGTAGAATATGACTCCAGCAGCTCCCTTGAATTGGAGCTTAAAGGTCGTGTCAAGCCTGAACTGGGGTGCTCTGCCAGTCTGTCCCTTTGCTGTGATATTTTTATTTCTGAACACTTATAAGCCAGTAGGGGATGTGCTTTGACAGGACTCTTCTACCAAGGGGCACACAGACATGGAAAAAGTTCAGGTTGTGAAATTATAAAACAATGCATACACATTTTCTTAAACTTAATACTGCTTGTGGATTGCTTATGGACAGCAGTTTTCAAATCTTTCCACAGATTCTCAGTAGGACATTTCTTTGACTGGGTCACTCATGAACCTTAACTTATTTATATTGAAGCTACACCAGTGTAGATTTTGCCTTGTGCTTTAGATCATTGTCTTGTTGAAAGATGAATTGGTAACCCAAAGTTAGGTTGAAAGCAGGATGTTCCAGTATTTTGTTCCATATATGTTAAGCTTCCCAAAGGCTGTTTCTACAACAAATCTAAAATCCAGCTGACTGATTAAACACTCCTTGAGAAATCATAAGCATTCTTGTTAGAACATGTGAACAGTAATGAATGTTAGAAAAATCAATACATTTTTACTGTAAATGTTTTAATTTGTTCCACTGTAAAAACAGTGATACTTTGGGATACTTTACTGCATGTTAGGGGTTCTGTTTGGTACTGTACAGGGTCTCAGTATGGTGTTAGTATGCTGCCAAGCAGGTCTGCAAAGCCAGGTTGTGGAGATAGCACTTTTTTGCAATTACTTGTGCTGTCCTCTAGATGGTGCGGCTTCTCTTGCTTTATGGGGCTGATCCGTCAATTGAGAACGATGCTGGGGAGACTGCAATAGGACAAGCCACAGATGAGTTGAGGAAACTCATTGAGAAGTATTCACCCGAAGATAACAGCAGATCAGAAAAAGGTTTGAAACTTACTTTACATATATTCTAACACTTTCCAACTCATAGAACATGCTGTTAGGCTTCTTTTCTTGAAGCCTCTTTACTTGTCAGTACTTTCAAATTTGTACTGTTAAAGTAAGTGCTCTGTTAAATGGTCTAATTAATGGGAAAAGGTGTCTGTTATTGCCAAATGTCAGTTAAATTATGTTTTTCAGCCCCAGAACACTCATGTATGAGAATATATATATACTATGCTTTCTGGAGATTCTGATGTATTTTTAACACTAGGAACACAATCAATAAAAATGTTCCTTGTTATCATAAATATACAAGCTTTTTTTATATTTACATACTATACATACTTTATAAAATTTGCTAAAAGTATATGAAACACAAACAACACTCATTATCAACAACTGACCTACCTATTGAAGTTCAAGCCAATGTAGCATTAATCTTACATTATTATGTGTGCATTTCATTGTTATTACTGGAAAGGGGCAGTGTTTCTAAATTTTGCACGCACAATTCCCTTTTAGCAGATTTTGTCCATTAAAGCAGTGTCCATTTAACTGAGGGTTTACTGTATTTGCCTCATTTCTTCAAGTAAAGATCTGATCTTTGATTAATGAAACAGTGAGCTTGCAATGCATTTGCAACATCCCATATGCTTTTGTTGCAAAAGTCGAACCAGTTGCAGGTATCACAGTGTGCAGTCAGTTTCTGCAAACTGCGTTGAAACAGATCTGTTAATCTACAGTTTTAACCTACAATGGCAGCTTATGCTTTATCCTATAAAGGCATGAATGCTATTGTTGGAAAATAAATTGATGCTCTAACTGATGATGCATTAATGAACCCTGAATATAATTAGGAGTTGTATCTTGTAACATGAGGTTTACCATTATAAATGATAACTTCCCTTTCATTTATTTTTACTTCTCTCCACTTGCACATCCACACACTGTACGCTGTAAGGCAATGAATGCCTTCTTAAAATTATATTGGTTGATCCTGCTTGGACTACTCCTTGGAGCTTTCATGTGAAGGCCTCAAAAGACAGAGTCAAAAGACATCATTGTGAAACATGAAATTGATGCCAACACAGAGGAAAGAGTGCAGTAGCTCAGTTTAGAATTGTAACCCTATCTATTATATAGTATGGATTTTGATGTGGCATTTTCTTTCCAATTTGCCCCTCAAACTTCTCTGGGATCACAACTGCAATGATGGCAATGAGGTTGATTGTTCTGTAGGTGGGACTGTTTGGCTTCCAGCCTATTGCTGTATATCAACTCTCTAACCTTATCCAAGGGGAGTCACATTTACAAGACAGCATTCATTAAGCAGTTGATTTGCTGAATTAAGTACCGTAATGTGGAGCTCATTTAGGACTAGAATCTGAGCTGAAAAACACCTGTGTGATGAACTGTTAAGGACTTTTATTAATTATTTTAATTCTGTAGGTTATTGTTTGATTGATCAATAACTTACAGATGTTACCAGTTTTTAGAAACATGTGACCTACATGACTAGTTGAATTGGCTCTCTGAGACTAGGGTGAGAGACCTCCTTCTGGAGAGCATGAATAATTCACTCAAAGGTTTCCAGTACAGTAAGTGCTAGAAAAACATTAATCCCAGTGCAATGCTAGTTTTCTGTATGAAAATGTAACTTGTCATGAATATCAGTAACTTATTCACAATGTGATTCATAATGTACTTGGAACGGACTTCATAAATTAGTCAGAGCACCTAAAGTTTATTAAATAGCGCACTTTCCACTTTTAAAATTGATTATGCGAGTGCCCAGGAAAAGCAGGAGTCTGAAATAAATTGCATTATTTTTTGCCAGAAAAACATTGACTTCATTCTAACATTGCTATCACTGCTAAAGGGAAATTCTAAGGAAGAACTGAGGCTTTGTGTTTCAGTCAGATTTTTTATTTTAAATTAATGTTTTGAATTTTGCCACAGAATGTTGATCAGGTTTCTGAAAGATCACTTTTAAGTGTCAGCAGTTTGCTGATTATTTTCAATGAGGATAATCCATTCCAAAGCTGTGAAAAACCTGCTTACATGAAACAACATTTTAATACACTCAGATACACTTAATCTAATATATTAAATATACAATTTCACCCATTCCAGTTCGTTTTAAAACAAATAAACAGTAGTTTTAATTAGCTGCTTGTTTTTCTTTAAAGACTTAACTTTTTTATGCCTTTCTCTGAGTGGATTAACACATGGCTTCTTGGCTTTTAATGTTGTTCATCTTCCAGGAAAAACAGACTTTTTTGAAGTACTTGGTGGAGAGGTGTGCAGCAGAAGGTGAAGTAATAAATAGCGTTTACTTTTCCATTTTGGGGAAGAAATTCTTTCAGTATTAAAACTGTGGTGCAAAACTAATTTTAGAGTGTTGTGTATATAACACTACAATAACAAAAATAACTTCAAATGTGTTTTTACAAACTTTGTTATGACAGTTGTCTTTAGTTTACATTCCTGTAATCCACTGATGGTACTGTAATTCAGTTAAATCTGTATTATTTAATATAAAAAAAATCCTCAAACTGTAACTTGTTTTACCCTTCACACTCAGTCTTTTTATTATATGATTAATTACAGAATTGAAATTCATTCACATATAAATAAGATTTGTGTAATCTGAAATTACTTAAATACAAAAGTAAAGAAAAAATCAGTTAATTCCCACCCAGTTTTATAAAATTAGCAGATTCATTATAATTTACATGAAGGAACATTTTTGTAATAAATGTTACAATAAGGGCCTTCATGATCATGCACAGCTTAGGATTTCTGCCTCATAGCACTGGGGCCCTGTGTTCAATTCCTGGGGTGCTGTGTGGAGTTTGTATGTTCTCCCCATGTCTATGCTTGTTTGTCCTCCCAGTGCTCTGGTCTCCTCCCACAGCCCAAAAACAAGTGGTTTAGAAAATGGATGGATTGAAATCTAACAAATTACTCATTTACATTTGCTCATCTTGAAAGACTTCACAATACAAACAGCTCAAAGGTCAAAATCAGTAGACAGCTACAGCGAGGTGGTGTAGAGTAGTATTGACTAGAAATGGATGTTAAGGACCTGCTCTTTTTACTTTTTTCCATTTCTGTTTCGGCAACCCCCTAACCTGATACAAAAGTTTCTATTTCTGTGTGTTGATAACTGTTCTTTTTAACACAAGGAAAGCCCTAGGGTCACGATTTGCTCTTTCAGTTTTCTATGACTGCCTGGTGGCACCTGGTTAAACTCAATCTAGCCAGTACTGGATAGCTTCAGTTTTGCATCCAGGAAATAGGAATTAGGAGCCGAGCTCTACAGACAGGATTCAGCCAGGGTGACCTGGTATGAAGATGTTACATAGAAGTTAAAGAATATTAAGTATAGTGATTCTAATATGATTGTGATATGCCTGTATTTCAAGGGAGACGGTAAACACTGATGGGACAGATCTGTGCTCTGTATCAGTCACTGATGGACATGGCCAGAGGACACAGGCAGACGCATACAGGGAATGCAGCAGCAGTGCTGCAGTTCCAAATAAGTCAAAGTCTCAGAAAAATACAGGAAGTAAGGTTTCTTTTATTTCCCTACAGTATGTCTTGCAAATTGTTTTTAACTTACGAAGCCTTTGGCATACTGCCAGTTTGTAATCACTTATAATTGTTTTGTGCTATAGAAGACATTTGTATCACTTGTATGTATAAAAATAGTACTCTTTTACATTTATAATGTATAGTACTGTAGATCCCCCTCTTAGATAGAGTGGCAGGGGGTCTCCACATAAGTCTCCACCGTAACTATCTTCCCTGGATAGCAGTGGCAATAACCTCTCTCGGTCAATACTGGTTGGCCAGGTACGCTCATTAACCTACCAGTTACCAGGCCGCTACCAGTTTTATCCCGTTATAAGTCCTCTTTGACTGGTAGTGCCTAACAAAATCATTATCTCTGAATTGCCTCTTTAAATACTCATTGTCTTATTAAACCATGAGCGTCCATGAAAAGAGAACCCCTGACTGTCCTAGGAACTGCATTTTATATGGAGCTAAAGTCACCAGATGCAGCCAATTTAGTGATTTCCCTGTGAGAAACCGAAGAATGTGATTCTCGTAATGAGATTACCCCGCCCCTTGGGAATTCACCCGCGTTTCCAACCCCTGCTTTCCTACACAATGTTAAATTATTCTGACCAGTAACTCATAATATTTGTTTGCTACAGGAGAATAAGAATATTTTTTTCCAGTCCTGCATTCAAAAATGTACTTGTGTGTACAGTAAAAATATTAATTTTTTGTTAAGCAGACTTAGGACAATTTCTCTATTGTTCTATAGTCCAGCTGATGTGATGAATAAGCTGTTTATTTTGGCAGAAGACAACTGCTATTCTCAGAATAAGGAAAACTTGTAGACTTGTAGAGTATTTAAAAATTGAAAAGCTAGTTTTGTATGAAGAGACAGATGTGTTCAGTTATTTCTGTTTAGCAACTAAAAATAATATACACTCTCTTTATTTTTAGGTAACAGACAACCATTTAGAACAAAAACCGGGAAGAGTCTAGTTGTCACTTCCATAAACAGAAGAAATTATTTTGGAGAGACCTTGCTTCTCCGGGCCGTGCAGGATGGTGACACCCAGTTAGTATCTGAAATGCTGAAAGTTGGTGCCAATGCCAACAGAGCAGACAATGCAGGTATAATACATTACCTTTTACTTTCACAAGAGTTTTTTGTTAATGAAAATTTATATTAGGACATTGATTCTGGGTGGCACAGTGATGTGGCATTTTTGGTCCAGAGTTCAATTCTAGGCTGGGGTGCATTCTGTATGGAGTTTGCATGTTGTCACTGCATTTGTGAGGGGTTGCCATTAACTGCTACAGCTTCCTAGGTTAATTGACATCCCTAAATTGTCCCTTTGTGCTAGTGTGTTGCCTGTGATTCATTGGTGATCTGTCCAGATCCAGGATGCAGACCTACTTCACACCCTGAGTTTATGGGATTAGGTACTACAGACCTTTATTAGGAGTAAGTAGCTTTCTGGATAATGGATTGAAATTGATTTTTAAAATCATATTTACACCATTTTTTGTGGTGCTATTTAGAGGTAAAAAAGTTATTAAATTGTTTTAATAATGTTTTCAGTGTTTTCAGTGATTTCTTGACATGATTTCTTTATATTGCATTAAATTACTATGTTCAGTTTCATTTACATCCAGAATTTCTGAAGGCTGGAATTACATATGCTGCTGCTATGCAAATTAATTCAGTTTTTAAATGCCTGCAAAAAAATACATAACTGTTGTTTACGTTTGCGTGCAAATCCTGATTCACTCGCCATTTACCATGCAAACACAGTGTGCATGAATTATACACATAGCACAGGCCATATGAAAGGTCCAAGCCTAAGCTGGATCCATCTAAAATGTCCCGGTAAAGACCTTTCCCCTGTTTCAAAAATGCACAGTGTTCAGTGAAACATCTGCAAAACCTGCACTATTCAGGATCACAGTACAGTACTTAAGCAGGATGAAATCTAAAAAAATATTGGTAGATTAAAAAAACGGTACCACATAATAAACATTCAGGCTCTGAAATGGCTATTCCTGTTGTGCAGCAGAAGTTAAACAGAATGTTTTCTCTCAGTGTTATTTGTAAGTTGATAAGTATTTTGAGTTAATGATCGTGTACGATTAATATACTTGGACGTGTGCTAGAAAGCAAGAGAGTGGAGTTGTGCAAGTAATGACATACAAATTATTGCATAGAGAACCAAAAGCTGTAACCTTCAATGATTTTGTTTAGAATTCTGTTGAATGTTTTTTTTTAATTGTGAAGAATTGATGAAAAACAGGTAAAATGTTTTTAGTGTATTATAAAGAATAACTAAATATGTATCCTGGTTGTGCCACAGGTTTACAAAAAGAGAAATAAAATCCCTGAAGCTTTCTGGAAAATGACATGTAAATATTAGAATCCAGTATTGAGTAATAGGAAAGTCAGTGTGCTGTGAATGATGTCATGCTTGTGTCTGAATCGCCAAGAGCTGCACAGATGATCATTCATCCCCAAGCTTGTGCTTATTCGGGGAGTTTTCAGGTTAAATCTCAATACAGAAATTAGCTTTCAACATGGTCAATATTCCCATTCATTCTTTCTAAACAATTTGGGACTGGGACAGGTAAATCATTCTGTACACACACATTTGGAATGTCCCAATTGTTTTCAAGCCTCAGCTGACAGCTGTGACATATGTACTGCTCAGGATGAATGAGGACCTGAGGACCACACATGCTAACATGCCCACCTGGTTGAGCCATTTATTATTGATCTGTGACTCAACGAGCCAGAGGAGTCAGTCAGAAGCTTAGAAGACACTGACCAACTAATGCCCAATCGTGTTCAATCCATTATGAATATTAATTTGAATATTGAAATTCAAAATGTGATCCAATGTTAAAATTAATCTTAATCTCAGATAAATTTGAACTTGATGAGTGTGGGTTACATAAATTGAGCAGGCAACCTCAAGAAGATTATCTTTCCAACTGAATAACTGAATTAAGGAATTCTTGAATGCCCCTGTAATATTATATGATTTAAAAAAATATATGATACTTTAAGGGCGTCACGGTCATGTAGTGGTTAGCATTGCGGTCTCAAAGTTCTAAACCAAAAGTTCCTCCAAAAGTCCAAAGACATACTGGTAGGTTAAATGGCTTCTGGAAAAATTGGCCAAGGTATTTGTGTTTTTGTCTGTCTGCCCTACCCTGTCCTGCGTGTATCCTGGCTTGAGGCTGTTGCTTGCCAGGATAGGCTCCAGCTCCCCTGCAACCTTGGATTAAGCAGCTAAAAAACTTGGATAGATGCATGGAACTTAAATGTGTTTCTTAAACAGCAATCTTCATGCATCAGAGCAATAAATGAATTGCATTTTTGTTTTTTAGGCTGGACTCCACTTCATGAGGCAGTTTCAGGAAATCATTATGAGATGGTCTTTGATCTTCTGAATGCTGGGGCCATTGTGAACTGCAAAGCAGAGCATGGCACGACTCCCCTTCAGATTGCTGTTCAAAGAGAAAATCATAAGGCAAGAATATTTTTTATATATACACTAAATTTCTAATCAATGTCTCTGTTCAACAACAAGCAACGTTTAACAACAGTCACCGAGTTATGCATCATCAGTACCTCAAACAGTTAACAGGTGATGCCTGTTTAACTTTCATGTCCATCCTGCAGTTTCATGATACAATTTTACACCCACGTAAATCATTCTTTTCTTCGGTAGAAAGGAAATGAACATAGTCGACAATATTGATGTTACAATATATATTATTATATTATATAATAATGATGACAGTAATGCTGTTTAAAATATTATAATAATCTTAAACTCAGAGGGCAATTAATGTTTATTGCTACATTTCTTAAACCTTTCCTGACTAGTACTTATTATTTCCTGTAAATAATGAAGACTCAGTGGACCTCATTAACAAAAGGTGCACTTCATCACGCAAGAGCTCTTCATGAGTGAGGTTGATGACTGCCAATTACTCTAAAGGAAGGTAGGCAGATAGAAAACAAATACCAGAAACGAATAACCCATATACTAATCACCAGAAAATAGTTTAATCGACTGAAAAGCAGAAGATTCACGATTTTACATTAAACTTCAGGAACACCATGACAGTTAACACAGGTGGAAAGAACAAGGAAGCCAAGCAGAAGTCAAAAACAAAATGAAGCTTCTCTGTATTCTAATGTGGGCTACATTTCCACTTCTCCATTGCGCAAATTAACAATAATTAAATAAGAATGTTTTCTTGTGCAAGTTTTAGAGTTATCATCTTGGACTGTTTTACTGCGAGACGTGGTAGCTTTGTACAAGATCTGTGACCAATTAATGTAATGAATTGATCTTAAATCAGATCCCTCAACAGTATTTACGAGGTTTAAATCTTAAGAACAGAATTAGGCTTTCTGCCCGAATTAATCCCCGGATTTCATAATTCTGTTTCTTGAAAAAAGCCAGGGTTTCAGCTTGACTGGGAACATGGTCCAGACACCCATAAGCCTTTGTGTAAAAGATGACTCCTGTTCTCAGTTTTAAACACACTTTGACACACTTTGAGTTTTATTTAGTGTTCTGTGGTGTGTCTTACCCTGTTTATTAAAAAAAAAAGTCAATATGTTTGACTTTGTCGGTGCTCTTCAGGATTTTGAGTAACTGAGTTGGATTTCCTCATAGTCTATTCTCTTCACGATTCAGTTATTTCTGCCCGTCAGATGAGTGCTTTCTTTTAAACTGTGCAATATACAGTAGCTGGACACGCTTCACTGGATTGATTCTATAGCAGCAATATATTTTTTACTGCTCAATTACAGTTGTATTTGTAACCCATTAAATTTGCTCTGTCACCATTTAGATCGTTATTTTTCCCAGAAAAGGTGGAAAGAAATGGCAAATGATCATGCAAATAATTAAATGTATTAACAGAGTGAAAAACATTTCCTATCTCCTGTCCTCAGAATTTTCAAATGTCCATTTTCATCATTGTGTAACATACAATTCAACAATTAAATGTCTGTGAAAGTTTTCCATCTCTTGCTTGCACTGAAGTGTGCTCTATAAATTGTGCTTTAATATGAACGGAAGCTGGCAGAAGTTCATGTTAATTTAAAGTGGATCACTTTCATCTCTTTTGAAGTAAAGATACCGGTAAGACCAATAAATATGTTTGTATCCTTCTTAGCAATGAACATTCTGCCAAGGCTTTGAATCATATTATTAACAGCAATTATCATTATCTGTGCAAAGAGTTCTTGCCCGTTGTCTCTATTTCATGATGTCTGTCACAGTATGAACCTATAAATAAAAACATTTTTTCATTAAACATTTCATGGTGTAGATGTGAAGAAAGATCAATGCACGCAGCCTGTAATTCTCAGTAGAGGGGCCTGCATTGAGCTACTTACAGCTGAAAAATCAAAATCTTTATGCTAAAAAGTCATACAAGTTATCATGCTTTCAGCAAGCACATCTGTCAAAAATATGTAGCATGCAATTTTTTTTACAGTCAAATCTGTTTAAATAAACTGGATGCTTTTACACTTGTATCAGCTGCAAGTCTTGAGATAAAGGAATCCATTTTATCAGCAGTTGCCATTTACAGGGCCCGCCCTGCAACCCAACATCCAACGTTCTGCCTTCAATCTGACCTTTATTTCTCACAGGGCACTTTACTTTTCCAAGAATACCAGAAGGGTTTGTAGGTAATACTGTACGAGCTGTTCACTTTAATTAGATTAACGAATGCAATCCCATAACATCCACTGTTGCTAGTGCAAGATGGTGGCAAATACAAAGACAATAATGAAGTCCTGAAAATGTCGCTTTTAACTGAATTGCTAATACTAACCCACAGCTGATCAAGACGGCCACCCCTCTCTTTCTACTCAACATGGCACACCTTTTCTTCAAATACTTTAAGCACAATATTGAGAATTTTGCTTTCTGTAGAACACTGCCAACTAAATGGTTTTCAGGTAAGGCTGTTTGCTTATCAGCTAATATGATGCAAGATCCTGATCTACTGCTTATCAGTTGACACAGAATGGCACAGAATGCTGAAACAGGGATTTCGATGGTAAATATGCATTAGTCATTCTTTTAGCACCTGCAAAACAGCCTTCAGGAAAGCCTTCAACAAATCTGCAGTGTGTTTATAGTACACGAAAATCCGTCGTCAGGTCGCTCAGGTGTGGTGCTTCCTAAGATGCAGTAGGAATATGGTTGATATTTTTTATATGGTTTATATTTTTTTTCTAATCAAAAATTCATTTTTTCTGTTTGAGGCTGTTTAAGAAAATTGATTTTACTAATAATGTGATGAAGTTATTACAAACAATGTAAAAATAGTCAATTAGTTTAAAATGCTAAATGAATATTAGGCTGGGTCATTTTCTGAGTGACATAACCTCATATATACTGTAGGCAAATATTTTGAAAAAAAGTCAGAGCCAACAGGGAGAGTCTATAGCACAAAAATAACCTAGGGGAGGCCTACAGGCTTCTGTTAAGAATTGGGACATTTCTATATAAATCGTTATTCTTTAAGGGAGAGTGCAACAGGTTGTGCTTTGTCCAAAATTGTGAGTAGGTGCCATTAGGGCATTCTGGTTTCAATATACATCTGGCATCTTGAATTTAGTAGTATACTTTTATCACCTGAGAACCACAAAAAGTTGAAGAAAGTTTTATGTGGGCTCTCATCTATCCCTATTATTAAATAATGTATAAATAATATTATAATTGCAAATTACAAGACTAATGTAAATGTCGCCACAGTAGGCTAATATTTTATTCTACAAAGTAAGCTTGGCAATTGGCAGTAATCACAATGTTTAATTAAAAACATAAAAAATAACATGTGTAGAGAAAAGCTTCATAATCCAGTACCATACAGTAAGTGACCAGTTACAAAGGAGATAATATGGTTGCTTTGGTTTCTTCAGTCTGTCTAATATGACAGATGCAACATTGGTGGCCTTACATCCAAAGAAATGAGAAGCAATCGAAGTGCTATTGCAGGTGTGTCAGCAGATCTCCCTACTGTCATCAGTGTAAATAATCTAAAAGCACATTCATGTATCTACATTGCTAACAGTTGTGAAAATACTCAGTGACGCTTTACTAACAAATAATAATCAATGGCATCGTAAAAACTAGGACTTCCAAAATGTATTGTCATATACAATTACTATCAGTGAAGCAGTGTCACAACAGTCAGTCCGTCAGTATTTGTCATAATCCAAGGTTACATGGAAGCCAAAATCCACTACCGATGCAGTGTTCAATTCCAGTCATAACTTAACTTAAGTTATGATTTTCTCATTATAATTCTAATAATAATTGTGACGCAGATGCCTCATATCATAGTTTAACCTATTAGCATAGTTTAAATAATGCAGTACATATTAAAACTTTCAATATGCAACATACCACCAGGACAACACAGATTTGACAAAATCAGCTTTTCTTTTAAGGCAGTGTTGCATGACAGTCTTCCACGAAGAGCAAAGATGGCCCAGATATCAATTTTAGAGAGAGCTGTCGACTGGCACTTTGCCCAGTAACACCCTCCACACCCTCGTCTGCAAGCCTAGTTTTAACAGCACCATTCATTTAGGCCTGGGCGGTTTCTGTCCAATCAGAAATAGTCAGCTTTACATTTGTCCAACTGTGCTGCTTGTACGGAAAGTATAGTAATCTACTGAGACAGTCAGTTGTTCAATGGGCAGTTTCAGTTTTTGCCCTGTTATATATTAAACAGATATAGGAGGCAAAGAGATGTGTGTATGTATTATGATGACAGCTTTTTCTGTTCTGATGTATGCAACAAATAAACTTTTTTCACCACTTTTTCTCATGTACAGTACATCACAGATGTTTTACTACAGTCGTAATAATACCATGCCTTGCAGCGGCAGTGGTCAGTAACATGAACACTGTTAAGATGCAGTGTGCGATATGCAATTTGAGTGCTAGCTGGTACAGAAGCACAGTACTGATATTGAGTGTAAAAGAATATGAACTGAAACATGAGCCGGACAATGACTTTGTGAGCTTTCTTTACCACAAGTGCTGAGTGCTTTTGGTTCACCAGTATAAAATCAATTGGTTCATCAAATACTGTTAAGTACAGTTTTAATGTCCACTTAATTTCACTTGAGCTTGGCAGGCCACTGGAGCAGTAGTTTGAAACCAGAGGGTATCAAAATCAGTCCAAATATGTGATGCAAAGTGATATGGGGGGGCATCAAAATCTCTCTGGGGAGTTCTTCAGACATTTACAAACTGAGAAGCATTCTAGGCATGTCCAAGCATCAGATGTTTAAATATTTTATAGCAAACCACTATGGTTTGATATTTTTGTATATTTTTGTATCTGCTATATAAAAATCAATTTAATTTGAAAACAATAATAAAAGCATCATCAGCATGCCAAGCTATACTTTAAACAGAAGCTGAATTAAAGGAACAACTTGCATCATGTCTGTCAACACCAATTTTGGTCCATGTGGTGATAGAAATTGACTTTTTATTGTGGGGTTAGATGCATTTGATTTTTGGATCTCAAAAACAATAGCATGGAAGATTTGTGAAAACAACTCAAATGTTTAGCACCATTTCTCACCACATGAGAGCCTTTTCAAATACCAGGTTAAGACTGTGACTTGCATTGTGGACATAGTGTCTATATTTAAAGATTTCCCTTTGTTTTCCCATCATCCCTTTTTGGTGACCACTGAATGAGTTTGCTCCATCATAGCCTTGTCCTTTCAAATTAATATTAAGGCCAGCTTACAATATTGTTTTCTGTACACTTAGTTATGTTTTGATTGTGACTTTCCTGTACATTCATGTACTGTACCTAATACAGACAAGACAATTGCTTTCTACCACAAGAATATGTAGAGTATGGATTCAGAGCTGAAATATTCAGAGTTTGAGGAAAATAAGGTATATTGTAACGAGAAGAAGTACCGAAATACAGAGTCATGGGAAAACAATAATTTGCTAGCTCCTAATGTGAAGTAAATTAAAAGAAATGCACTTCCCGTGGTTCATCAGCCAATGGCACCACTACTGAAATCAATTATGGCTTCAGCTGTCCTGAATACACAGACAAAGAAACTTTATATGCTGTACCCAAAATACTATTCCCCTTGGAATAGCCAGTGACACAGCAGCTTTTCCCTCTTTCTTATCTCAAGATAAAAGGAAACTTTGGCTCATTTTAGATTGTTCAGTCCATGTTCTGTTTGTCTATGTACTTCACTCTCACAATGATTTGACTTGAAAGGGTCATGTCCCAACCACAACCATCCATTGTTCATGTGAGGGTGATTTAGACTCCTTCAGTCACATTGTTCCCTTCCTATCCCTCACCCCTGCCACCCTACCACCTCTCATGTTTCATGTTGCTTTTTGTAACTAATCATCTTAAAAAATCTGAAAATATGCATAAAGAGCTGATACTTAACATAATAATGAAAATAATTAATTACCCTTATCATTAATCAGTAATTATTCTTCTGACACACATATATGCAACATATATGCTGATTAAAATATGTACTTAAATTTCCTTTCAATTCTAAATGCACAGTTGCTGGTGTATTTTTAATCATGACTACAATTTTTATATTAATATGAAACTATTCTCTTAACATGGCATTGTAGTGTTTTCCTTTAGTTAATGTCATGCATGATTTTTTTTTACACATAAAATATTAGAAGCAAGGCAAAAGACAGATATTGTACAACGCAACTGGCAGAGCTAAATTTCAGTTTAACTCCCAATAGGATTGCCTCACCTTAAATATCTTATTTTTCTTTTAGATTATACAGCTTCTGTTAAGCAGTGCTGCTGATCCACTGTTGAAAGACGAGCAAGGGATATCGGCACTAGAACAAACAAATGAAATTTCCCTGAAGAAGCTTATGAAAAGTTATTTGTGCCCAGCTAAAAGAGAGTCGGAGTCAGGTCTCAACATTGTTTTCACTACAGCAAAACTGCTTTTACCTCTTATTGTTAAATAAATGTATAATGTCAGCATTACATTTAATTTGCTTATATGTTTAATGTTTTAGGGAAATCCCTGTTAAACAGCACTGATAATATAGAAAGAAGTGATGGAAAACAATTAACACAAAGGCAGAAAAAAGTGAGTACAAATCATAATTAACAGTCAAAAACTCATGTACAGTTCATGCATTTCATTTTCTTTTACGTACAATAGTATGGTCATGATTTACTAGCTATGCGTGGAATCCAGGAGTGTTTGAGAAATCATCAGTAATCCTCTAAGGGCAGTGATATCCTGGTTCTCCACCCAGGAGATTAAGTAGTGGAAAACAAGGAATTATAGCTTTAAGATTTAAATAACTTGCAGATAACAGAGGTGGCTACTGGGTGCTTATTTGTTTTTAAGTGGCTTATGCAATTTTTCTTTTTTGCAGAAATATAATTTTAAGATAATATACAGGGAGGCCACAGTGGTTAGTATCGCTGCCTCACAGTGCTGAGGTTCTGGGTTCAATGCTGAACCTGGAGTGCTATTTGTGTGAAGTTTTTAAGTTCTCCCCGGGTTCACGTGGGTTTTCACCATGTGCTCCAGTTTCCTCCCAAAGACATACTGCTAGGTTAATTGGCTTCTGGGAGCATTGGCCCTGGTGTAAGTGTGTACATGTATATCTGTGCGCCCAGTGCCAGACTGGCATCCCATCCCAGATCGCCTTGCGCCCGTTTCTTAACAGGACAGACTCCGGTCGTACCAAATAGCCATAGCTAATTATTGCTTGGGGTTAAAGATACCATGTTCATTTCCATACAGGCATTGTCTCTAATGAAGTTGTATGTTACATGTAATAATCAGTGGAATTCTTTGTGTTGCAGAGGAAGGAAGATAGTGCTGTTGTGCTGAAAAAACCTACTCCCCTCAGTGGAGCACAGAAAGTTGGAGGCAGTTGCTTTATAGAAGTAAAAGAGAAAGTTAACAGAAATGTAGGAAATAAACCCTGTAGATGGGATTTAAGAAGTGGAAGTGTAAAACTGAAGGAGAAATCTGCAGACTCTAAACCCACTCAGAAGAATACCATCACTATGGAATTGTCGATGCATCATGCAAAGGTTGACATGCAGCCTGCAAAGAATATCTGTAGCACTATAGGTTGTAAGGGGCCACCAGTTCCTTCAAACAGAAGGAAATCATGGCGGGACAGTGAGAATGGGAATAAGAATGTGAGCAACACATCCTCACTTTCGCCCACTCCCAGTCGATGTGAGCAAGACGAAAAAAGTGCACGAGAACAAAGGAAAGATTTGAATTTCAGTTTTGATTTGACTTCCAGCATTAAGGGGAAATTAGAGGTCATTCGCTCTGAAGTAGAAACAACAGGGGAAGGTAATGGTGGGCTTTGCAGCTTTACAAGCCAGCCAAGTATATGTGAGAGAGAGGAATCCATTAAACGTTGTGCTGTGGAACACACACTCTGTTCTGAAAGCAACAAAGCTGACGTGATAATTGACAAACAACTTGATATAGCTCAGCACAGTGAAACCCCTAGTCCCTTGCCTGATGCATTTGCAATGAAATTAACCCCAGTAATCCCCTCAGGAAGTAAGAAGGGGAAAGAATATGAAACCGGATCTGCTCTGGATACCAAAGACCAAAAACCTTCAGAGGAAAACAGTGAGATGGCAAATGCAGATTATGGTTGTACAGACAGTGACTGTGAAAGTGATGATACCTTGGATTTCGCTAAAAAGGTTTTTTTTTCGGATGACCAGTCAGATGATTGGTCAATCACGGCGACACAAGACTTTGTTGGAAAGAGAGAAATGAGAGATGAAAATGATAGCGATGACAATAGTGAAGGAGGATACACTAAAGAAAGAGATTACAAGAGTGCTTTTGGAATTTTACCTGTGACCTTTGAGCCACTAGATGATTTTAGTAATTCTGTGCTGGAGCCAATTTCACCATTTAGGCCTGTAGGTCTGAATGGTTTACAAGATGAAGCCAGTGATAATGAAACAGATACAGTTAATGATACATCTTTAACAAGTAGGCAACCAGTTGAATTGTCTGTAGCTCCCAGTACTAGTCAAACCTATGTACTGTTATGGCACTAGCATCCTTCACTTACAATTAATAATAAATGTTCAGGATAAATTCAGTAAAATCATCCAAACCGTAATTACTGATTATATGGTTACGACATACTCCCTTGGAAACCTCCTGCAGAGATTGACTGTTGCAAATACATTTTCTTTAAAATAATTATTAGTTTTTCCACTTAAAAAAAAAACTCTAATTCTTTTGTCTTCAGCTAAAGTATTTTTGTCACATAGGTAAGGTTTAAGTCATGAAGAAGACTTGTCATTCTCTAAAAAGATTAATTTTGCTTCTGCACATATTACATGATATGTGATTTATGCTGTAACCTAAAAAAATTAATGTTCAGAAATGTGTTCATGTGTTGGTGGTTTCAGATGTAATGTAGTTCTGCATAAAGCATTATGCATATGTTTACTAAAACCTGTTACCTGTATGTTTACTAAATGTGTTTTTTTCTTAAAGCAGTTAAAGGAACCTGTTAAAGCGTTTGTATATTTTACAGCTGCAGTTTTGTAAGCTATAGTATTTTATATTATTGAAAAAGTGAATAGAAATTTCATATATCTGTGGAAATTATTCTGGTTATTCATATTTTTTGTCCATTACCCTTTAGTATTCAGAAAAAAATGTTACTCAGGAAACTGTTGACTGTTCAATGTATTAAAATGTATAGCATTGATTTTTTACAGTAGCCATTTTTTCTATTCAAGCATTAATATTCTCTTTTATATTTCTAATGTATCACTATTCACAAGACTATTAGAAAAATATGTATGTGAATAATGTTTCCAGTAAACAGAAGGCAAACCATTGAATTACTTTGCAAATGGGGTGCACAGTATACTTTCCTGTTGTTTAGGAAGGTGCCAGTCCATGAATTAAACTTAAAACAGAAGTTTCCATGGCCTAGTTTTATTTATGATTGCATTTTGTACAGAGGGAAACTTGCTATGGTTTAAGCTAAATAAGTCATTCATGTGAATCTCAAAACCTATAAATCAGATAGAATATGAGTTAAATCCCAAATTCAAGGTAGTATGGTGAATAAACAATATGAAAATCAAAGCAGTAAGTTAAAAAAATATTTTTTTATTGGCCAGTTGGTAGTTTAAGATATTCTGTTGAGAGGCATTTTTCACAATACAAATGTTTCATGTACAGAATATATTTCTTTCTTTTGCTTTCTTACTTTAATTTGGAATATTTTTGGGCTGCTTTCCTTGGTTTTCTGATTGTAAGCAGTGTCCATGGACAAACTCCTTTAAATCAGAGCCCCCTTTTTGATTAAACAGTTCCCGAAAAGCACCATATTGTATGTGTGGTTCTATAGAACCGTTTGTGTTTAACTGTTTTTAAGTACATTGATTTGTCATATTTACTTTTAATGATTAGTGCCTTTTGTACTTTTGTCATTGTTGTTTTCTTCCAAAGCTATTTTAAAAGCTTCTTACATGTTTTCCCTTGACCCTTATTAATCTTATTAATGTTTAAATATTACCTGAAATTTAAAATGATTTTTTTCTGAATGAAGATGCCAGTGACTGCATCTCCACGGCTCTTTAGCTTCCTCTCTTTTATAAAACGTTTTTTTTTTCTGTGTTTAAAAGTGCCAGTAGCTTTCACCTCATTACGATTTGAAAGATGAATCTGAAGTTTGGTTTCCTGCTCCCTTGACTTCCAGAGAGCCTCTGTTTGTCTGAAGTTTTACCATATTTATTTGTGTTTTCTTTGTGACATGTTGGCCAGGTTAGCATCTCTATTTCATCGCCATGTGTACATGTACCCTCTATTCCAGGATGCAGTCCCACCTTGTGCCATTAAGCTTCTAGCATTTTGCTTTCACGTTTCCATTACTTTTACCAGAAAGAATGGTTCTTATATCAGATACTTTTCTTGTTTAACACTCATCACGGTTCACCTTTGAAAGCTTACATGTTCTTCGTCTGTTTTTCTTTTTCAAGCTAGGTTCAATAACATAGGTTTGTGGGTTGTCATACAGTTGAAACCAGTTGTTTTTTTGCTCATGACCATATTGTATAAATTTCATCGGAATGTTGTTCATTTAGAACACTGTTCCTCATTCACCAGATCTCAGTAGTTGGTTTAGTATGAAGTCACAATAAAAAAAACGAATATGAGAGAAGGGGTTTAATTCAATTAGAATGGGAAGCTTGTGTTGTAAGTCAGAACACCCTGAATTACTTGGAAACAGTTGCGCGTTCCTTACAGGTTATGACTCATCTCTCAAAGCACTAACAAAAGCAGGAAATAAGTTTCTCAACCACATGATACACATCTGGTTAATGGTGTTTGGGGCATTATGCATTTTAATCTTCATTTTTTATTGTACTTAAATCCTTCAAGAGCAGTGGTACCCCAAAATGTGTTTTTTGTGTTGTTTCTGGTTTGGATTTTTCATACCTCATCATATCTATCATACCTTTGATTAGCTATTTTTGCCACAAATATAGTATTAATGATTTGCCTGGATGTTTCTAGGAATGCCAATCTTACAAATGTATGCTTGTTATAAAGCCAAGGAGGTAAACCAGATGTTTACAGTAGACACAGAAAATGTATGGCCAGTGATTCGACAGTCATCTTTAAATTTTGTTTACCTCTTCTACAAATAATATGGAATTTTCCTCACTCCTCTAGAGATATTTTGACAGAGGTCTAATTTTCACACTTTTGTCTGCAACAGGACACAAAGCACTGCACGAAGCATGCAGGCAAGGCTGCACAGAGGTGATCGAAGAACTGCTGAGAGTAGGAGCAGATGTGGATGTAAGAGGGCAGAATGGAGAGCTGCCCCTTCACTCTGCTGTATCTGGGTCTCACTATGAGGTTTTTTGTTTTCTTATTACCTGCCTTAAAACTCTATGCTGTAGTTTCACAGTACTGTAAATCAGAAGAGCAACATCAATCTATCTTAATAGTTTAGGCCAAGTAGAAATATTGTAGAAAGACTGGGGGGTGGCTTCCTTTAATCTGCTAAAAGGAGGCCTGTGTTCTGAGGGATATGCATCTACTGTATCTTGATGTTGTAGTACTACACTGATTTCTCTTTTATTTAAATATCTAGGAGTAAGAACATTTTTCTTTTGATGCACGTACTTGTTTAACCAGTGATCTTTTTTCTTTGTATTTTAAGTTTTCAAACACCTGTTTTTATTCTTCTAGGCTGTAAGACTACTTCTTCAGTTTGGTGCTAACCCATATGAAAAAGACATGTTTGGTGAAAGTTCCCTTGACAAAGCTACAGATGGCAGAATCAGAGAAATGCTTCTGTTATATTATGCAGAAGGGACTTCACAGGTAGAAAGTAAAAAGCAAGATTTGGTTGCATCAAGTTTTGCCAGCATGCTGGGATCTAAAGACTCAATGAATCCAAGAAGGCAGAAGAAAAGCACAGGAGAAAGGAATAAGAATGAAAATGAAAACACTTCATGTAAATTGGTAAATGAAACAACTGAAACAGGAAAATCAGAGACTGGAATACTGGGGCACTTACAATGTGCAGCACTAATGCAGACTGCAGCACTAGGCAGTGGAGAGGAGCTGGATAAATGGATGAAAACATCAAATCTAAGCCAAAATACAGCTTTTACCTCAGAGGACAGTAACACAAATGAACCATGTAACTCTTCCACACAGGAATTACCAATGGCACTAAATTCATATAACTTTGAGTCCTTCACACAAGAAGTAACTTTTGAAGCTGCAGATTTTGGAAAGCAAAATAAAAAGATTAAAAAAGCAGAAGATCCCTTTATAGGAGTGTATGAAGAATGCAGAGCTGAAGATAGTGTTAAACAGATCCCAGAACCACAGAGGGAATTAAATCTTGCATTCAGCAGGGAATATCACTATGATGAATTGCAAAAGAAAAGTACTGTTGCTCTGACTCCAGAAGTTGATGGATACCAGGAATCAATACAAAACAGTTGCCCATGTGCTCCTTCAAACAGTACAGGCAGCTATGAAAAGAAGGATGATGTACATGTAAATGATTGTTCTTCTCTCATTCCCAAGACTGATGGTCAATTTTCTGCACAAACCTGCAACAGAAATGAAAATAGTGCTGCCATGCTTCCAGATGTTGAGGCTACAGCCAAATATCCTAAAACAAACAACAATTTAAGCTGTGACACTGGTGTTGAAATTGCGAGATCAAACGAAGCTGGTTGTACTCAGTATGAACCATCAAGTGGCGTTGAAGACGATTGTGGTGAATGTAGTATGTCATTGCTTGCACCTCGAATCACTCTTATCAAGAAGCTGGCGGTTAAACGGAGCCTTTCTGATCTGAAGGATAGGACTGACAGAATGCAGATTTTCCTCTCAAGAGATAAGGAGTCAACAACAGTTTTATCTCAAAGTAATAGTAGAACAATCTCATTGCTTTTGGAAGACAAAATCAGTTCTGATGGTGGTTTTCCGAGTTTGCATCCCTTCACAAGTAGTGATTTCAGTAATAAGTGTGTCTTGAGCAAACCTGATATGGTGTCAAACTTTATAGGGAAGAGCAACAAAACTCTTTCTTTTTCCTCTGAATCCCTGCAGATGTGCTCTCGTTATAAAGATTTTGAGACTAGTAACGGCATGACAAATATTGAGGAAGATGGACCAAATGAGAAAAATAGCAATGATGTAACTGTACTCAAGACTGTTAGCAAGGAACTCGTCAAGGATGATAACACAATTCTAACAACAATAACAGAAGCGACATCTTCAAGTGAAGTATTGGATGTAGAAAACAAGCAGAGTCGGAAACAAGAGAAGAATTTTCACGGTCATACCACTTGCACTTACTTCGAAGACTTTCAGGCAGCCTCCGAGATCTCAGACTGTGATTCTCAACCAACTCTTAGTCTGTACAATGCAAATAGCAGGAGAATAGATCAGATAATTGAAGAAGACAGGGATTCGGCTGCATATACTTTTTTGAGTACTGATTCAATGGCATTACAGAATTCAGGAACAAACGTATCTAACAATAAAGACCTAGGGGAAGGGATAGAAATGAAAATTAAAGAACTGCCAAAACTCTATGAAGTCGGTGAAGAAAAGTCTTGCATTATGAATATCAATACCTCTGATGTTGGCAGCTCAGAATCTTGTAGTCTAAAATGTAGTGAAACTGGAAAGGTGGTAATGAAAGAAGACTCCAGTAATGATGGGGTTAAATATAGGGCTTTGTCACAATGTGATGAAGAATCTATTCACCACAAAAGCAGCAATAATTATCCCATAACCTCAAAAAGCTCTGTAGTCACAGTGCTAACTTCGATGTCATTAGGAAATAATGTCCTAGAAAAAAACAATGACATTCCTCTGCAAGATCCAACCAGGTCTGAAATACATCATGAAAACAGTTCATGTGATTCAGATATCACATTGATTTCAGAATTTAGCTGTGCAGATGTGGAGAATTATGATGCAAATGAAAAAATAGAAAAGACCAAAAATGACACATGTGCCGCTTTCCATCGTGTGACGAGTCCATTCTCTTGTGATGCTGTTAGCACAGAAACAGTTATTGCTCAGCAAGGCAGGGGAGAAAAAGGGAATAATCCGCAGAAAAAGGGAATAAACAGTAAAGACAACGGGTCACCCTTGACCACAATTAAAAGTTCCTCTGACAGCTCTGCTGCTTCAGAATATAGTAATGGGATTTCAAATGAAACACATAATCTGAAGCAGAATGATGAAAGTAATTCTGAAAACACTGACGGTACAGTGCATCTCTCCAATATTAACAACCAAGGCAGCTGTACAGTACAATCTGACTGCACGTATGTAAATGGGAAAGAATCTGAAAACCAGACCCAGCAAATTAAAGATGGACCAAGAAAACCACATTCCATAAATTCTAACCAACCCTGTGAATTTCATCCTGCCCCATTCTTGCAAGAGAATGTGGTAAAGGAAGACAGTGCTTCCTGTTCAGGTAATCACATCGGACTCACAGTGCATACCCACTTTAAATTTTTGTTTCATTCACAGCAACTCATCCAGTGAATGTTTTGATTTGTGTGAGTGGTTTTCTTTTTCAGCCGTAAAATGTTCCTTGAAGAGGAATTTGTCCAGTAGTACAATAACTTAAAAGCTCATGCTGTGGATTAAGTTGGGAAATTTGGGTTTAGTAGGTATTATGTTGGAACAAACATACATAAACCATATAAAATAAAATTAAAATAGCATCTTTAAATATTCAATAGTGACTAGTTTAGTAATAGTGGAGCCACTGCTTCATCAGTCTGCCCTGTCTAGAGTAGCTCTGTTGTCATGCTTGACCTTAATATATTTTGCATAAGGTTGTGAAGGCAAAGAACTGAATTTTTGTGCATTTTCTCTTATTAAAGAATCAAGAACAAGTAAACAGTTAAGAGCTCCATTTCCTGTGCGGAGAGTAAATATTCCTATTCGAAATCTAAACAAGAGAAACTCTCAAGGAGAAACACGGCTACACTTGGCTGCCAAGAAGGGAGACCTGTGTCTTGTTCAGTCTCTGATACAGGCTGGCATAAAGGTCAACCAAGCAGATTATGCAGGTTAGTCTGGATGTTTATTTTCCTAGAGCATTTATTCAGCACATTCTGAACTAGAAACATTTCTATCTGGAAAAACCATAACATTAATAACTTTTGCATGATGTTAAGCAGGTACAGCTCTGTGTAATGAAATAACACTTTTTTAACATGTATATGAACATCACTGTATACATTTCTACATGTGTATATAAGCCTCACTGAAAGTACTGCCTTTATCCCCTCCATGGGACCCAAACAAATCTTAGTCTACCCAGACATTGGAAATGGGTTGATAAATTGTGTATTGTAAAGAAATAAAAATCTGTCTAGACCACACGAAATCAAAGTATGGTTGGAAAAGATTCTGGTTTCTGCACTTTTTTGTCCCCGATTAAATCTGTTAAAATGTACAATTTTGGAAATTAAGGGCCCTTTTTACATATTTTATTAGTAGAACCTTAAAATACAAGGATAAATATCACACGCAATGTAAACCATATTTTCTTAAGTAAGTGATAGAGGTTTTGAATCTCCCTGACATTCCTGCATTAATCATTTTCTTTTTAAATATTAGGGTGGACAGCACTTCATGAAGCAAGTGTCAGAGGACATAGAGATGTAATGAAGGAGCTGTTAGAAGCTGGAGCCGATGTTAACAGCAGAGGCCTGGAGGGAGTTACACCTATTCATGATGCAGTCAGCTCTGGTCATTACAAGGTACTCAACAGCCGCAGCGTTTAGGTCCTTGGATCAAAGGAGTCGCTTACACATTTCCAACACCGGGTTTCATCGCACTACCTATCTGGGCCATCTAATACCTTCAGTTATTACTAGCTAATGTGTAAGTCCCCTGTGCTTTAAAAAAAGAGAGCAGGTTAGCAGTTGTGACATCATGACTGGTTGTCCTAACTTGTTTTAAACTTTCATCCAAAGCGCTGTCTGTTCTCAGTTATAAATGCACTTCACCTTAGTTTCAATTTGGGTCCTCTGGTTTCGATTTCACTGTTTTTTTAAGCACTGAAAAAGCAAAGGATGATTTTTTTTTTTAATTACGAAGACTTTATGCCCGAGCCTGGTAAAATATATTTTATTTAAGACCATGTTACACACTATATAGGAATAAAATATCAGTGGGAACACTGATGTGTGCAAAAAGTGCAAAAGGCCACTGTTAGTGATATTTTATGATCTGTTAAATGAAGTCATCTAATGTAAAACAAAACATGAAATACCCTAATCCCCAAAGGACCATATGTACCTCACATTTAGCAAATTCTTCTCCTGATCTTTGGAAATCAGGGGCTATAAGACTTATTGGATTGTGGCTCTACAAAACCAGGGATGGACACACCGATTTAACCGCTGAGCCCCGTTCTATCACAATTTGTTTTTTGTCTGTTTGTTTTTCACTTTACAAATGCAAAGTCTTTTGTTTGGTGTGAAATGTAAGCATGATCTAGTTTCCATATTGAAGTTTACTTTGGCTGTGTTGATAGTGATATTTATACAACTATTCATCTGTGTATGAAAACATGTCTGACTTTTACTTGATTGTTCATTTATTTGTTCTTGGGCTTGTGGTGGTGGCTTAAGGTGGGAAACTACAGGTTTGTACTGCACATTTGCTTGGGTGAAGGATGCAGGCAAATGGTAGGCTTTGGGGTGTTAGTATAAGGACTTAGATGAGTGTTGTTTAATATTGACAGGCTTTGGTTTAGAAAGGAACACAGAGACAGTGTAGGAAGATGGCATGATACTGGGTAATGGCAGTATAATATCCATCCATTTTCTGGCTGCTTGATCCAATACAGGATCACAGGGAGGGGAGTGTCTGTTCCGACAAGCAATGGGCACAAGGCGGGATACACCCTGGCCAGGATGCCAGTCCATCTCAGGGCACACACAAACACCGACACGCACTCACTCACACCAGGGACGGTTTTCCCAGAAGCCAGTTAACCTACCAGTATGTTTTGGGACTGTGGGAGGAAATCAGAGCACCCAGATTAAACCCACTCAAACACAGGGAGAACTTACGAAATCCACACAGAGAGCACCCCAGGAGCTGAACCCAGAGCCCCTGGACTGCGAGACAGCAATGGGTACCAATGCGCCACTGGGCTGCCCAGCAGTAGAACATGCTAACACTGTATTTGAATTTGGACAGTTGGCTCTCACGGGTCACTGTTTTCAGGTCTCTTTTTGAGAGCTGTGGTTTTCAGTGTATTTACATTGTTTTATTTTTTTACATTGTATTAATGTACAATTTAATGTATTAAATACATTATTTAATACATTGTTTTATCTTTTTGTAATAACATAACCTATATAAAGGCCTCCTCTGGTTTCACCCACTGGCTGCTCTGAAGCCCTGTACCTTCAGCTCCTGGTGTCCCAGTGGCAGATAGAGAAAACGCTCATGTCTCCTCCTGTCTGGCCTACACCCACTGCCCTGCCCCATGGGTAAACATGATAGAACTGAGCTTTTATTTCTAAAGACTTGAGCTTTTGTTAGTTACTTTTGTAAACAACTTGTTGTAATGCAGTAATATGTCAGTTTAACCGAAAGTTAAGGTTCTTATCAGTTGTGAATGATTAATACATCAGTTGTGACATTAGTTGAACAAAACATGATTTTAGTTGAATGTGAAGCACAAAATTGAATTGATTTTCTTACCATTTAGATGATATTCCAATTCTTAAGTAAATTGGGAGAATTATACTCATTTATTTTAATGCGTCTTTGAATATAACTAAGACATTTAAATTGATTTAGTGTTATCGATGAATCAAATAAGCTTTGTGTTTTCAGTTTAAGTTTGAATTATTTTAAACTTGAATGATTCTGTATTTTTACCAAGTATGATACAGAGTACCTAGAAACAATGAGGTGAATGAACTGTTTGGGACAATGTTAAATTGGATGCAGATTAAGGTACCATAAATGTCATTCATAGATTTTGCAAATATGATTAAGACAAATAACATTTAGAGTCATGTTTCTTTCCCTGACTGATTGCATGCCAAAATCTAATTCAGTGCACGGTTTATCGGTTACAAAGAAAATGTGTTTGCAGTTTCAAATGGGCCCCATCAGATAATAATCCAATTTCATACATGTTAAAGTGTTAAGGCATATATTTCGTGATTTGGGCAAACTGCTGAGAATCTCAAGTGGGCTCTAATGGCAATGCAGGATGGACCCTTTAACTTGGACATTTTGAAATTGAATCCAAGATGGGATATTCTTTTACACACTAACCCATTTTTCTCTGTATTATAAGCATGTAGAACTTATATTTCGAACCAAAAAGTGTTTGGAGATCATATATGTGATTTATGATCACATGTACAGCCAGAAGTTGACAAGCACTTAGAGTAAATTCCATTAGGAGGCCATCTGATGGATTGTGTGGCTACTTGGACAGGAACCTTCAATGCTTTAATCCTTCTGGTACACGTCAAGATGTATGTGTTTTATATTTGCAGAAAGGGGTCATGACATAGGCCAGAGGGTGCCCTGCCCTTTATCCAAAATTCAGGTAAATCCTACTCTTTGTGCTTTTGTTTTACGAAAGGAATACCTCCCCTTTTTGAGTTTATTATTGAATAAATCTTTCAATCTTTGAAAAAGAGCCTGATAAAGATTTTAGCCTCACAAGCCAACACTACATCTGCAAGCAAGCAGGCATTATGAAGAGTAAGGTTGCTCTGCTATGGAAATCTTGCCCAGTTCAACAACGTGTGCTGAAATAAAGTGTGCATTTAAAAGTGTTTAAAGCTTCTTAAAAAGATTTGTTCAGCCTCATTCATCACCAGTAACATAGGTAATTAATTTTGCAATTAATAGTACTTTTTCATACACAAGATGGTGCAGTGGTTAGTATTTCTGTCTCACAAAGCTGGGGCCCTGGGTATAATTCCAAACCTGTGTACTGTGTGCTGTATCTGTGTGTAAGTTGTATGTTCTCCTTGTGTTTGTGTGGGTTTTCGCCGGGTGCTCTGGTTTCCTCCCACAGTCCATAAACATACTGGTAGGTTAATTGGCTTCTGGGAATATTGCCCCTGTTGTGAGTGTGTGTCTATGTGTCTGTCTACGGTGTGATGGACTGACGTCCCATCCAGAGTGTATCCCACCTGCCCGTTGCTTGCTGGGATAGACTTCAGCTCCTCCATGACCCTGAAATGGAAGAAGCAGTTAGAAAATGGGTGGATGCAATTTTTAAAAGACTTTTCTGTAAAAAGGAAAATAGGGAATTGTAGTCCTGTCATTTGTTATGATTACACAGAAGGTAACAGAGTAGATTTCTAGTTCTATATTCAATAACTAAAGTTCTGTGCAAGGTATAATATTTTATATAAACTGTTTGAGTATGTAGTTTTTATCTGTTGTCTTTGCTATTTAAGATGATTTTATACATGTTGTTATACATATATAGTATATTCAGCTTATGCCTTTGGGCTCTTATCTAGATAACTACTGTAGCATATATCCTCTCTAAAACTTTCCCCAAGTTTGATTACTGACTATCTGTTGTTACTAGCTATTGTTTCAATAAACAATTTTGAAGATTAGGCTGCCACCAATATCAATGTTGCGTTTAAAGAAAAATATAGTATTATCTTCTATATCATTATGTCCAGTTCGATCATGTCAGTAAAGTGTATAATCGCACCCCTTTTTAGGTCATAGAAGGACCTGGGTTTCAAAACAGAATTAAGTAGCACTGTAACACTTTGCAGTATGAACTATTATTCACCACTGTAATAAAATAAATCATTATTGTTGCTGGATTATTATTTTCAGTCTAAAATTTGAGGTTGAAATGAGATGAAATGTCTAAACTTTAGGAACACAAGATTAGAAATAAAAAAATAATTATAATGAATAGAAATTACTACATATTAAATATATAACATTTATATATTAAATATTAAATTAAATAGAAATTAATAATTAGAACACATTAGAAAAACTTACACATCATTTCAGATACATTTTTCCATAAAATAATACCCACAAACATTGATCATTTACAGTAGTTGGGTAAAAACCTTTAAATTAGTTTTTAAAACGTTGGTATTTTATATGGTCGGGTGTCTGATTCTCTCAGGATTTAATTAAGTAGGCCCAGTATCCTGTTTTACAGACTGGATCCTATTTTGTTCATTGCCCAGATGAGCTAAGATGGCACTTGAAAGATGTTGCAGTGAAAGTGAATGGCAGACATCTAAGACTATTGTCTTGTGTACAGTTAGGCTACATACTGTAATAGTGTTAAGCATTGGTATCTCTTTTGAATTGCTGTAGTGAATGTTAAAATGACATACAAAATACAGTATGACTATGAGGTGCACCTCTGAATTGTGAATTCAGGTAAGACTGAGATCTATGAAGTGGACAATAGCGCTGAGGACTTCATGTGATCTTTTCCTGCATGTGCACTTAGTATTTTTACCTGTATAATATTTTAAACTTAACTCATAACTTTAAACCTGGATGCTTACTGAAACACAGAACTTTTTAAACACATCTATGTTTCGGAATTCACAGCCTTAAGTGATTAAGGCGGAAATGTTTGCATGGCTGTTTTACTTTGTCTTTGGTAATAACTATAATTATGAACTGTTCTCCTTCCCTTTAATGTGTAAGGTCTGCTGGCCTAGAAGTTGCATACTTTGAGGATTTTTTGTCTTTTTTTTAATCCATCTTTCTTCTTCAGGCAGTCAAGCTTCTTTTACAATATGGTGCTAACCCTCATAACAAAAATGTTTTTGGAATGAGTGCCTTGGACTCCGTTTCTGACGGAAGTATGAAAGAACTGCTTTTAACTTCTTATCAATCTTCTGTAGTCTCTGATAAGAAGTCTCCTCAATCAGTAACAGGTATTTTGATTTTTTAATTTGTAATCACTTAATATTTAACTCAATATTATTGCAGTATTTTAAAATCATACTTCTCAATGATCACATTTTAAATCAGAATTTATTTCTACTATAAACATGCTTTAAACACATTTTAGCATATATCATAGATTGTGTATATTGAATACTGCTGAAAGATTAGGAAACAACAATTCATTTTGTAGACAGCTCATTAAGATATGGTTTTAAAAATGAATTCCAGTATAAATATTTTAATGTAATAAATATTATCATGTTCAAATAGAAATACATTTAGGAAGCTATTGCTGTCACACATTCTGTACATTTTAGAAAAATATAACTTCTACTTTCTGAATAAATATGTACAGTGATTTAAAACCATGAAATAAACGTCAGGAGCATTTATAAACTTCAGAAATTAAACATCGAAATAAGACATTTAGATGTATAGTATATTTACAAGTATCATGGTTCCAAAGTCAGATATATCAGAAGACAAACATGGTAAATCCTTGAGAATGAAACTAAAAAAGTTAATGGTATCCATAAATGGTGCTTGGTGCACTTTTAGATTTCATCAAGTATTTGTAGCAAAGAATGGAAACAAAATTACTGAAGAAAATGACACAACCTTAGAAACAATATCCGAAGGTTGCAAGTTTGAGGGATACAAGGAAAAGCATTCAAGCCTTCCAAAATGTATTGAATGAAACATGGCTACCAGACCCACCATTGCAGTTTGCCCTTGAATGAAAAGAGTTGAACTACACTATAGAGCTCCTGCAGTGAAACCATTTCAGAGCTCTTGGAATCAAGGAAAGCATTTTGAATTTGCATCGGATGGGGAGAATCATTGGGTCAGCATGCCAAGATGTTCCTTTTTGACAAGGCTCCCTCTTTTGCCTCCCCCATAATTCGAAATTCCAGCCCACCATTCTACCAAATACTCTGTTGCCTCTCAGGCATAAAAGGCAACTAGGAAGAAAGAGATGGCAACCCCTCATCACATTTTGAATTGGGAGGAGCTGGTGTGAAAGGTTGAGTGAGTTTTCACTTCCCACAGTGGCACTATTCACTGCATGGTAACTCAAAGGCTGGTCTAGGCCTGTTTCTAGGCCTGATCAATGAAGCAATGCATGATCTCAGAGAGGTCTTACATCAGTGGACTAAAAAATGATAGTGACTATGTTCAGACGGTAGACAAATGTCAAACTAACCTTGAGGACAAATCACGTTCATTCTGCTGCCTTGCCTGAGGAGCTGGAGGTTAGTAATTCTTTCTAGAATAAAAGATGCTTCTTCATTGGATCCCAGGTCTGTCCTTCTCCCTGTTGAAATTGACAGATCTCAGCACTTCAGTGGGCACTCTCCCACGTAATCTGATAAACCCCACATGCTGAACCTCAAACTGCTCCCTTATACTGAGAGACAGGCCATTTTAAGAAATCCCAGCTGCTGGAAGTCACCTCCACTTCTATGTGGAGTAATCTCAGACATCAGCAGTCATACGCAAAGCTTTCTCCAAGCTCAGGTCCAGGATCCATGAAGAACATGTTAATTTCCTCATTCACTCAGCAACATTAAGAGTCCCATATGGAGGTTGAAGAACTGTTTGGCTGCCACACAAGAGGATCCTGCTTCTGTTAAGTTCCTCTTCTGATTTTGTATTGTGATTAAGATTGGTTATGCAACAGAGAGGCTTTTTTGCTGGCTTGTTTTTATACTGCTCTCCTTTGTCTACTGCTAATGTGTAATGCTTTGCTTTAGATATGCCATAACATTCCCGTCTGTTTTGTGAGTTGGGAGAAATGGAGGAGAGAGTTTTTTTTATTTTTGAAAACAGGTCTAGCGGATAAAAAATGCTTTTATTTCAGTTTCTGCCCCAGTGATTTCTGACACAGGTTTCTTTACTTCACTGACCTCTCTGAACATAGCGTAATTATTGGCACTGATATAAATACTTTATTTAATCCAGCTCTTGTAGACTTTGTGTGCAGCAGGGCTCCTCCGAGAGTACTTAATTGTGCCTCGGTCTCGTCAATGCTTGGCAGGTCTAACCCATCTGCCACATAAATTGTTCTCTAGAACTGATTTTAATTTTCACATCAAAATCCCTTCCTTTTACGTGTACATTTTAATAATAGTTCTTTCAGATCAAGAGTATCTAATACTTTCTGATATTCAGAATAAAGCTGCAAGACAGTGATTCAGAATTACTCAGTTGAAGAATTAATCCTTCTGACTCACTCTCTATACTTGACCAATTGCTTTCTTTTAACTGTGACTCAGTGAGCATTCCTTGCTTTTTATTGTTTGCAATAAAAGGTTTCTTCAAGAATACTACGATAGTATTTGCTTGTTTACTTCCATGTGAAAATTAAAAAAACACAATCTAAATTTACATTCCTTCAATACACACTTGAGATCTGTCTCTGAAACAGTATAATTATGTATTACTGGAAAAGAACTCAGTCTGTTGACCCATAGAGTTCCTTGTACATACAGTAGGTATATTGTGGGATTAATGTTTTCATGATCAAAGCCTGAGCCATCTTCTGTCTTTGAGTTTGCACAGTAATGAAGGCTTGACAAGTATTTGCTCTATTAAGGCCTTGATAGCTAATCAGCTCTTAACAAATAACAATTCAGCTTTAATCAATATTAAATTCAGCTGCCATGTCTCTAGGAGAGTGAATCAGGGTGCCCTGGAGACCATAACCAAAACAGATCCCTCTGATTTTTTCATGCATTTTGTGATCAGCTGGGACCTTATGAATTGAGGTCAATACCTCAGTTATTTCATTACTGCAGAAGAATGAGAAGGACACCTCTTTATGTACTATGTACTGTACTTTATGTACCCCTATCCCTAATAAATGTAGATGCTGACATTTTTTTTCCTGTTAGCATTATAATACCCTACAATGCATCTCAATTTATGTTGACAGTATCCTAATTCTTTTTGAAGATATTGCTTGATCATTTACTTTCCTAACCTGTCTTTTAATGATTTTAGCATGTTTTCAAGATGCAGTATAAAAATTACTAGCTGGTTGCCTGATGCCTTTAAATACTAAACAGGCAAATATAATCTTGCCTGTACATTTACCTGATGTTGATGTTGTCTCTATTTTGGGGGAAGGTTTCTTGATCTCTGTGTACTATTTTGGAGGAAAATTTACCTTCTCCAGTATTTCTTTTGCTGAACAATGATTTAACACTAGAATTATGTGTGTGGCAGAAACAGATTTTGTTGGCTGGCTTTACTACTGCTAAGAGGTTGGTTGTCCTGCCCTGAGTAGTTCCTTTTTCATTCTTTATATAGATAACATCATTATCTCCATTATTCCAGTTCATGGCTCAAAGAACCTGGATAGGGATTATTGCTTAGAGGTAAAAACAGGGGTTGTTACCAGCAAGAAAAGGTTTTGGGGATGGTGGAATTGAAAACATGGTGTATTCTTTTTATGTTTTTTTATTTATTCCCAAACAAATTACCAAAGAAGTCTGGAAGAAAAAGATTTGTGCATCCATAAGCATGATGGAGCATTTTAGACTGGAATAAAGTTCCCTTGTCAGATCTGAGATTTTCAGATGTGCTGTAATGGAAGAAAAGAAATTTAACAAATGAAGAGAACCGCATTAATAAATGGAAATTCAGTATTTAGCTCAATGAATAATTACTGTACAAGCAAATGTTGTTGTACTGTGTGGGTAATGGTTGATGTGTTAAAGTTTGAGCCAAAGCAAGTTAGCATAATTGTACACAATTACCTGTTTACAGATTGAAATTGGAGATCTTAATCTATTCAAACCACACTGGGATAGGAACCCCCCAAAAAAGTAGTAAGAGAAGGCCTGAAAACATGGATGAATTTTGAAATGTTAAGACCTTTAGGACAGTGTTGTAATATACAAGTAACCCCTTTAAAATATGTGTCCAGCAAAGAAATTGAAGGAAAGTTAAGAAAGTTCTAATTCGACCAATGTTGTTTGTTCTTCATTATCCTTTATATATAGCTTTTTAAAATAAGATACTAAAAACTACAATTCTGTGTGTCCAAACCTTTGAGTATTATCAATAAATGTTTTATGTATATGGTGTATATACGTATATATTTGTGGGCTGAACAGGGACTCCGGTTTTGACTGAATCTTTTGCTTTTTTATTTGAGAAAGAGCCCAAAAAGAGAAGAAAGCCCAATGTCAAATGTTTCTGTTGTGAAACTGAAGAAAAATCCAGTGCTGTTCTGTGTAAAAAGAATGGGAAGAACCCCAGCAATGTAGGTACTAAATGTGCGCTTGTATGAACAGTAGAAACAGTAAAAAAAAAGTAGTTTAACATTCATAGTTGTGAAGTTTACTGTAAAGTTCACAGCTGAATCTTTTCACAGTGTGGTGAGTATAGCTTTTAAAGACGATGATTTCTCCTGCATAAACTTCAAACTAAGTGATATACAGTGCAGTGAACATCAAAATCACTTTTAAAGAAAAGTAAATCAGTTGAATACAGAATGTCAGGTAGATTGATAACGGTCAGCAACTTTTCAAGTGATTCATACTCATTCAGCCATCCTAGCTGCTGTGTTATAGTTTTCCTGTTGTGCTTTGAAGAATGGATGTAACTACAGTATTTATTGTTGTCAGCAAACAAATAAATGATGGATCTGAAAGCTAATATTGTGTCTGTACACTGTGGGATTTTTCCTTACTGTTTTGTAATTGTCTTTAACATTATTTCATCAGCAGAATTCTAAAGGCTTTCCTTATTGGGAGGCATCTTGACAGATTTAGCATAGCAGATTTAGTCTGTAAGTTTATGTATGAATATCAACACTTTAATGTTTTTTTTTACTTTCACAGGCTAAATCCATTACTGCACTCCTGGATGACTTGGAAAAAAAGCTAAATGAAATATCACACAGGGAACTAAAGCAAGTAGATGATGCAGGTGAAGGGTTTAACACTTTAGGTACACTTGTCTTAATTAAATGCATTTCCAATATAAGGCAGATACCTAGTCTATAGTCTTGAAATATACAGTAGGTAACCTTTTAATTTTCTTTCTGCAGCTAAATTTGAGAAAGCATTTTCACACATTCAGGCAACGCTTAATGAAGTTCTTATCAAGCAAAAAGCAGAAAAGGATGATCTTGCCAAAAAGCACAGGTAAAGTAATATTCTTGATCTAAATATGGATGCATTCAGGGGAATCCCATTGGATTTGGTTGACCAGCAATTGATAGATTGAGTCTTTTCCTGCTCTGCTTTATGAAGTTCTCTACTGTGGTGGAGAAAATGCTTTTTAAAATATAATAAGAACATTTTTTATGTATTCACTCTGTGGTATTTTCATGTGAATCTCAGACTAAATTGGGTTCCTTTTAGATCAAATTAAATGTCATTCTCATTTAGAAACCAAATATATTTTTTATACTAAAAATATTAATAAATAACAAATATATATATATCCTTTGTCCCTCAGTGTAGTACTATGCCCTTCCTGTTATTCCTGTTAATCTGCCATACCAATTGCACTGTACGGCTGCCAGTCTTTACATATTCATGTTTTGTGTATGTTCAGTGAAAAAACATAATCCAAATGAATGTGACGAAGATAAAACTATCTAATGTATGGTTCTTCTAGTTTGATGAAAAACTTTTTACATTTAAGAGTGTCACCTGAAGTACTTCAGGAGAACATTTGATAAACATTTTACCCGAATGCCATATTTGCTATACATCAAGCGTTTTTTTAATATTGTGGTTTGCTGCTCAAAGCCATGCAGAACTCTCCCATTCTCACACTGGAAGGGCTCATAACACATTATCAGAGTTCACACAGAGTTCTACCCTACGTCAGAGGAGCTGCACCATTTCCTTTCAGCCACACCATTAACTGTTTTATATTGTGTCTTGTGACTGTCTTCCTTTTTTGACTACAAATACTCACTTGCACAAGAATGCATTCAGCCTTTCTGTGAAAACTGGATGTAAACTAAAAAAAGGGCAGTGCTCAAATGTACTGTACATTAATTTGACATTTACTTCATTTAATGTCACTTTAATCTTGTTCCTGGGGAGAAAACCATGCTCGTTAAATGATTTAAATAAATAATTGGGGTAAGAGTTTATAAGAATTCAGAATTGATATTGTATTAAATTTGGTGGGGCACTGGTAAACAGACATGTGTCCTGAAAGCTTTAATGTAATTTGAAACAGTTAAAAATCTATCCAAACAATCCACCCTGGCAAGCAACGTGCATCAGATAGAAAACACCCAGGGCAGGACGCCAATCCATCACTGGGCACACACACACCATAGTCATTTTTTACCAGAAACTGGTTAACCTACCAGTATGTACCAGTATGCCAGTAAGCAGCAATGCTAATCACTGCAACACCATGCTGCCCTAATTGCACAATTTAACGCAATTACAATTTAACACAATCTAAAATTATTTTGTAGAGTGTGTGTACTGTAAACAATACACCAAGAGTTGTGTATTTTCAAATTTTGTATTTTTGCAGAGTAACATCAGATTCTTCCAGGCAAAGGATTTTAAAAGACCAACTAACTTCCCTGGCCTCCAGACAGAAAAGGCTTCTGGAAATCCTACAGAAACATCAGGGCCTTAAACAGAGTATGGAAACTGAAAAAAACAGCCTTTTGACACAGCAGGACACGCAGCAGAGGAAGAAAAGCAGCTCATGGACAGAAATAAACTTCTGCACAAACACAACAGAACAGCAAGAGATTGTATCTCTGGGTGGAGACTCAGAGGAAACTCCCTCTACAAACTCCCCACCCTGTCGGGATGTGCACACCAAACATGACCTCAATTATCCACCTCCTGGTGCCTCAGAAACCAAACCAGCTGGTACAACTGCTCCAACACATATTCTCTTTCTTTGTGACGGTGCCACTGGAAATGCTAATAAGACATCCATCTTGCCGGGCATGGCATCAGCCCATGGTCACCCTCGGACTTCTGGAGGGTCTGTCGTTTTTTTAATGCAGTCTCAGAACTGTGTCCCCACCCAGGATTCTCTGACGTTACCATCGAAACAACATGATAAGGAGAGGGCACAAGGCACCAGACCAAAAAACATAGGTCCTTGCAATTCACAGATGGCTTTACAAGTGTCTCCTGATTTGCCACCGACCAATTCGTCTACTTTAAAGGTCAAGAAAGGCACAGGAGCTCAAGGGGGCGTGACTAAGATATATTCAAGCAAAGGCAATGATTCAGTGAAGCTTCCATTAACCCAAAGTCAGCAAACCACCACTCCATCTTTTACTAGGGTCACTCAGACGAGTGTTTCAAAGCCAGAAGTTAAGAATGCACGGCTTCAACAAGAAGGCACTAAAGACTGTAATGAAAGGAGCCAGTTTATTAGACTCATCCAATGTGGAGTCATTAAGCCTGGAGAAGATGTGTTACAGGTTAAACTTAAGGTACTGTAATTACTGTCTTGAAGTTCCAACGTGGATGTGCTTTTTCATTTTTCATGTTCTATAAACAGTCATGAGATATATAATATAAACAAAGGTCTCTGATGGGTGAATTATTACACAGTTAATTTATAAGAAGGGAGTTGTCTATTTTAAACCACCATTTTAATCTCTTGTTGATTTTTTAGTAATGTGTCACAAAATTATTCTTATTTCATTTTGTTTCATTTTAGGATCTTAACTTCATAACGTGTGACTATTAACAAGAAATGCATTAGTCATGATGTTAATGGTCTGGGGAACAATGTTCTTCTTGTTACAAAAGTGTAATAAGGAAGTATGAAAGAATTTTCCTGTCTAGCAGCAACATTGAAGCCACACCTGCCCCCTGTCCTGTTTAAGCCACCATCCCAACCTGTCTAATCAGACTAACAAAAGTTAGAAGAAACCCCTCACCCCAAGAAGTGGTGCTGAACTCTGTTTCTCTTTTTATAAATTATCCAGGGTATGTCATATTGGTTAATAGAAACGTATCCTGGAAACAGGGGCTTTGCTTTGACTGGATTAAAATTATTTTGAACTTAATTTGATTAAAATGTTGTACATACCAAATTTTCACAGATTTAGAGATTTTATACAACGTACTTTTATAGAATTGAAATGTTTTTAGAGACATACAGTGATTGTCGTTTTATTTATACACATCACAATATTTATTACTCTGTACCTTACATCCAGCACATTGTATGAATGCCTTTAGATAACGTGCATCCACGTTTAAAAACCTTACACCTTACAGTTGCAACAGTTACACTGTTGGGATTATTTATAAAATAAATAAATGTATGCTGTATATCTTAAAATGTTAAAAAGAAAAGTTTCTGTGTAAGACATTACAATACAAAGAGGCTTCAAAGTGGTTCAGCTAGGAAACATTCAAAAGCACAGTGGTTTAGGCTCGGCTCTTGTGGCATTGCTGGTTAGAATCTGGACTTTATGACCATTATTCATCCAACGTACTTGTAAGCACACAACTGACAGAACACTCTGCCTTTGCCATCCTTAACAGTTCACAGTTTTAATGTCATTTTCATTTGTATCTACTGATGTACAATAAATAAACATTTTTGTTGTGTACATTTTGATATTAGTGCATTGGATTAAGTTTTAAAGTAAATATTTCATAGTTCACATTAAATAACGAATGGATCTAAAAAAAAACTGTGATTGTCTTTGTGTTTAAGGGTTCATGTTATAAGGCTTCCCTGAAACATGATGCCAGCATTAATGATGGGAAGGGACGCATCTTTCACAATCCAACACAGTGGATTGGAGCAATTCTGGGGAGCGGTACTCCTGTCAACTCGTCGTTTACATGGAATATGGTAAACCGAAGACATTGCACATTTTAGGAGTCTTCTAATTATGCAGAGTAATGAAGAAATAGTACTGTAACAGATTCACAATAGTGTCAAATGACACAGCTACCTTAACTTTCACTGTCTACTGGGCCTGTCTGCACAAACCTGTTATTAACTTATCTACATTTCCTGTTTAACACAGAGCTACATTTAAATCCCGCAAGTTAAAGTATTTTTGAGTTTTGGATTAAACAGAGCTTAATATTGTAGTGCATGGTTATTTTTTAAACTTGAACACACCTGTCTGAGAGAACCAACTTACAGTAAATGTCTTTAACTGTTTCAACGGGAGACCAGGAATAAATTAACTGAGAATAGTGAAGAAGGTTGAACTTATTTTAGATCTACAGAGATTCTGGCAGGAATGCTTTGAGACCCCTCAGAGGGGGTTGCACCCTGTGATTACTGGCGAAACTGGCAGTTCCACTTCCAGTTTCCCTCAGATCCCCTCCAGAACCAACAGGGGCTTCTTGGTCCAGCTTCTAGAGTGTGTCCCTGCCACATTTCCCGTGGAAAAACAGAAACCACTTCAGTATTATTTTCACTCTTTTCTGTGTTTCCCCGTCACTGCATTCTAAATAATAAAAGATTGAGAGGTCATAGAATTCTGTCTCATGTTAGAAGAAACCACAAGGGCTCAGAATTGGTTTAAAAGCAGGCAAATAAAAAAAATAATAACCAGAAACATACATAATATATAATTGTGGTTGCAGGCTTTGGGAATAATGCTTTTAAATAATGTTTTAATTGGATAATTGGCTTGGCTGCTGAAACTTTAATAAGCAAATTGAGCAACAATGAGGCCAGAAGCATCACAGGAAGTCACTCCCATATGAAACCACTCTCACAACAAACCAGCTCTTCTGCGTTTGACACCTTTTGCAAGATGTGAATACGCGTGCAGTGTGCGTGCCCTGTTATCTTAAAATGTTTAGGACATCAAACACAATAAATGTGACTCTTGAATAAAAGCTACTCAAGATAAGTATCACAAGTGTTCATTCAAATTAACACAGTATCTGAAAATGTCAATAAAAAGCTGTGTTACCACAGCCTTTATAATGTGTTTTACATTATGTAGTATAACCAAAAACTCACTGTGTATTCGTGGTATTCACTGTTTTCTTATACTGAAAAAGTGAAGCATTTATGTTTGTATTTGTAAGTACTGTAGTGCATATTATACTTCAAATAATGCAACAGTGTTCTGTAATGATTTTAATTTTTTATTTATTTTTACAGGTAACATACAAGGCAAACACATTAGCAAGTTATTTGAATAAACTTGATCCAACAGAAAAGGGCTCTGGGGTATCACACCCTAATTTCATCCCCCCTCCGTCCCCTAATGGGGCCTCCAGAGGTCAGTATTTAATGTTCTGTATGCTAAGAGTTGATCTAATAGTTTACAGGGTCAGTTGCTGTATAACTTTACAAGACCTTCCCTGGAAAATGCCAAAAGGAATTGGAAGGAAAATTAAAGTAACCTGCACACATTTTATGCAGAAGCAGTCAGCAGCCTTTTACTTTCTCGGACTCTCCAACCAGTGACCTCTAGTAATCTATAGGGATTGGGCTGGACAGCTACTGTACACTTTGCCCACAAAACTGAACACTCTTGCAAAAGTCTTTCATGGCATCATGCCCATGAACTCTCCCCATCCATTATAAAAGTTGAGCCTGACGCATTTCTGTTGGTTTTCCACAGTCGTACCATTTGCTCCCCAAGGTTTCCAGTAAACTATGCTTTATGACACATGATCTTGGTTTAGCTGATTTCACTACACTTTACCACAGTAGGCCTTTACAAGGGATGTTAATGGATATGATAGACAATTGCTTTTTAAGAAAATGGTACTGTGTACTCTCTATGGAAAAACAAGAAGAAACATTACCATTTATTTTTATTTGGAAGTGTAATATTTTGTAATAAATGCTGCTTAAAGGCTAGGAGGAAGCAGATTATGTCGAGAACATAAAAAGCTGTAATAATAATGTTTCTTTATTAGCCCTATACAATTTCTTGCATTAGGAATTCATCTTTTCACATACCCCAGCTTTTCTCCATGGAGACACAGACACACAGATAGGGAGAGAAGCTTGGGGTCAGAGTGCAGGGTCAGCCATTGTACGGCACCCCTGGAGCAGTTGGGGTTAAGGGCCTTGCTCAGGGGCCCAATGGAGTAGGATTCCTCTGCCGGCCGTGGGATTTGAACAGGCAACCTTCCAGTCACAGGCGCAGATCCGTAGCCACAGAGCCACCTCTCCGCCCCAGCGGAGCTAACAAGAGCAAGTAGTCATGTGGCCCGTCTAGCTCATTTGCTTGCTAGTAACCAGTTGATCCAGGAATCCCATCTTCCTGTGTCCTGAAATAATCCAAAGTATCACCTTTGTTGCATAGCCCAACGATGCTTTGTCTAAAAGATGGTCTCATGTTTTCAGTTTTAAACACATCTGTCTGTAGTTTTCACTTTTCTCTTCTGATTCACGTTTCACTCTTCATTATGATGATGACCAGTGGGTAGACTTGGTCATTTCCTTTAAAGCTTTTTAATACTTACAGTCAATCAGGTTTTCTTGTCATCTTATATGTTTGAGACTAAGAAGACTAACTTCTTGTTGCTTATCGGTGTAGGAAATTCCTTTAAGAATGGGAAAGTATCTGGCTTAATTCCAGAGTAATTGTAATTGTTATTGTGCTTGTAATGTTGTGACTAAAATTGTACACAGTACGGTAAAGGAGGTCTTATTAGTGCATTGTACAAGTGTTACATAATATCCATTGATTTAAATATTGATTTAAATTCTGCACATTTAACTATACATCTAAACTTTTTTAATCTTATTTACCCACATTAGAAGGGAGAACATTTGTCCACATAAACACCTATGATCTCAGTTTGGATTGTTGCATTTGTGAGTGGGTGGAGAGGGGAATAGTTATGTACGTTTGTCTATATAACCTTTCTAGTTAAACAACGAGTTCTTCTTTACCTGTTCATCCTGTTGAGCGGGGGTGGTCTATTCAACCTGCAGGACACTTTGCCCTTAAATAATAATAATAATAATAATCTCCTGATTCTGAATTATATGTTCTGTTGTAACCTGCTGCATTATAGCATAGAACCACATTTCAAAATGGATGTCTTTATTTGCACACTGTATTCTTAGTTTCCACTAAGGCACTGAGATTATTTTTGCTCATTTCCTGATGAAAGGAAGGAAATACTTAGGCTGCTTCTTCAAAATGGACATGGTTTTGTTGAAAGTGAGCATCTCTGAAAGTGCCGATGCATCGTTGGTATTTTAGTAATTTAAATACTTGTCTGCCTGGAAGTGGTGAATGAATACTTTGTTTTGCAGTATAAGAGGAAGTAAAAATGGTTAGGTTATTTAAAGTAAAACTTGTTTCCCTTACCACAGAAACAACATTGCAGGCCAAAATCAACAGTATCATGGAACTCAACAGGATACTTTTAATAAGTAATGATGAATTCATGCCCTGCCGCATTATGGACCATCACTGGAATATTGTTTCAGAATCTGATGACTGGGCATCCTAAAATCTTGTCTTGGGACGCCTAGTTGGCAGCTTGTTTAAGTTTTTCAGTTTAGAACAGTGTAAGGGCTTTGTTCACATCAACATGTTTTACATTACTGTAGTTTCAAGTATGAATCAACATGAGATGCATTTGATATCGTATTTCATTGAATATTGTTTCAATTAACTATAACGTCTAAAAAAGCCAAAATGTTTTTTGTATTTAATTTTTCCATATGCTGGCAGTTTTTGGATGTACTTTGTTAGATAATATTGTGTAATTTCGTGTTGTGTTCCCGTTTACTTTCAAAATATTTTAAATAAACCTACTTTTACTTATTGTGAATAAAATAGTCATGCAGTGTTTTTCATTCTTAATCCATAAAAAGCTTAACTCAAAAGTGTAGGAGATGATTACTTAAGAATATATCACAGCAAATATGAATTAGAATAGTTTAATGTGAGATTAGAATTGATGTTAAAATAGTGAAATTTCAATTTCTTTCTCATTTTAAGAATCGCATGAAAGTTCCATAATAACAAGTTGGTTCAGTATTTCCTCACATTTATTTGCAATGAATGTGTCCTACAATGCATTTATATTTACTGCTGTTACCAAGGCACTCACAAAAACTATAGTGGTGATGTTTGTAAGTGAGTTATTGGCTAAAATCAGGAAATATCAATTTTAATTTTAAAAATGACTTGCTTCAGTTTGCGATTTCAACACATTTTTCACCTTATGCCGAAATTTTGCATGTATGTGTACATGTAATTATTGTTTTATGGCTGATCTGATCTGTTGTCAAAAGCACGATTGCTTGTAAGAGTAGATATCTTGTACCTGTACAGGTACTGTATGTCTCAGGAGGAGTCTACCTGAAGGAATGGCATATGCAGATTGTGAATGTTATGAGTGGTGTTTAGTTAACCAAAGGGATGGTAGAAGCCAATGAGATGTCCTGAAATATTAATTGAATCACTCTGACCAATCTAATAGGCAATTGTTGTCCAAGATATTCCCACATCTAGAGTCTCAAACAGATATAAGAGGTAATTCCTTTACCAACAACCTCCAGTGATTCAGGAGTCCTTTTCTCTGACCCACTGTCTTATTAGGTAAGTAAGGTCTTACTGCTAATACTAATATTGTCTCTTCATACACGCCTTGTGCTTTATTAAACAATTGCTGCAGATAAAAGACTCTTTAAGTAACAAGTAGCAGGATTACACAAAATAAAAACAAAGTGCCTGAAAGTGACGACTAAAATGTTGAATTGCTTGAAAAGAAAACATTAAACTTACAAATACAAAAGACCCAGTTGAAACAATGTGAATATTTCAAGCCTTTGCTTGAGGATCCACTGACATATTTGCATTCAAATACGGTATAGTTTGCTCAACCCAAATTGGATGGCAGTTTTCAACGGGTTTGCTAGTAAATGGTATAGCGAACATCGCGCTACTGTTTAAGTTAAAACTAAGTATATGATATCAGAAGTGTTGTGTAAATCAAGTGCAAGATGAAACTCTGTTGAATGTCTTCTGGTTTATTAATATTAACGCCGTTAAGTGTCTCTGCCTGGTCAGCTGTGGTTCCAGTTTCAGTGCACTGGCTGCCAAGTTGCAGTTCTCAATTTTGCCACACCTCTCTCTCCTACTGTCTCAGTTCTGTGGTGAAATGAAAACGCATCTCTCATGCTGTTACCCTTTACGGTGAGGCGCACTGGAAGATCACCAATCATCATGAAAGTAAGTTTTTTAAAATTACTGTAAACTACTATCATGTACATTATTTTGAACGCCATTTGTTTTTCAAAGACACGTCTGAGTCGTTATTTATCAGAGTAAACATTTCGTACTGATTATGTTCGAGCTACTGTACTTCCCTTCTGTTGTACTGTATCTACTCATTTGCGTATCACTTGAAAAGTTCATTGCACAAAAGCCTGATTCTCAGACAATTACAACTGTAATCAATAATGAACACCGAAGGTTTGTACAGTTTTGAGAAATTGAAGTTTTGTCACGCTGAATCAGCTGAACAATGCTGTGTGTGTTACACATATTATGAGGAAGGAAGGTTGTGTATAGTTGTATGCAATGGAATAGCTGAACACGGAAAGCAAGAAAATATGTTGGACTGTGAGAGCATTAAGATTTAAAAACATAATCCAGTTTATGAGTTTATGGTTGAAAAGTTAGCGGTTATCTAAAAATATTCAGCACATCCTCTCTGGTGGCAAGTTTGACACTGCGCATTCTAGGTAGTGTGAGATACGGTAGGGTTCATGAAAAAGGTTTTATGATGTAAATGTTTACAATGATAAAACTGCAACACTACTGTCTGTTTCATTTCAATTAATGTAAGGATACTCTTACAGTAGCAATAATTAATTGGTACAATAAAATATTTTTCTGCCATAAGATTCGAAGGAAAAAGTTAATGTCTTTGTTCTTGTACTGTATCTTGTACTTCGGGTTTCTTCGTCTTAGAGATCCGGATGTAGTTTTGAATTCATAATAACAAGCTTTATGAACGATACATTAATTGAGAAATTAGGTTTGTTGGTAACTAAAAAGTTGTATAGGGACGTTGTGGAGTGAATTTTCTTGTCTGTAATACTTGTGATGAGTATTTAAGGGAAGTGTTCCAATTCAAACGTTATAAAATAGGGTTTTGGCTTTTTACTTCTTAAAGTCTAGTTTTAATAATTAAATTGTACAAAACAATATTTGAGGTCTGTATTTGTTGTTATAGTTTTAACATGATTATTTAGTTTGTTTAAGTATTGTTTAGAGATTATTATATTAATATATAAGCATTTATATACAGTATAGCATATGTTATTATATATACTTTTAATATCAACAGATATACAGGACGTGATATGCTGGGATTTTAGTGCATTTTTTTTGTATGAACATATCCTCCATTACAGCAATTTCAGTAGCACATACGCTTGGAGTCCTGTCAGACAGATTAAGCAGCATAATATTTTATTTTTGTCCATTCACTCTAAATCATGTAGCACGGAACATTTACTCTGGCTGTGGAGGTTTTCAGTCTCTCCAAGCATTTGCTCCAGCAATTCAATTAAGATCACAGAAGCAGTCAGTGCCCTGCATCGTCTTTAAAACCTGTTGTTCTTCTGCCTGCTTGCATTCCTATGTTTATCACCACAATACTGCAAAAAAAACAACATTTTTTTCAAAATAGTTTTCTGGAGGTAAGTAAATATACAGTATATGCTGTATATTCTGGTTTGCCACCTTTCCATCAACAAACAAAGTCTCAGGGACCACCATGTTTTACAAAGGCACAGCACACACCCCTATTGTTATCTTTTAAGATTTTCTCTTGGAACTGAAAAGTTGTTCCATTAATAACACTGAATTGAGCCATCATTACAGATTAGTGTCCTTGTTGTTTGTTTTTATCTACACGACACAGAAGTCCAATCCTTACCATACAAGTTCCTGTACGGCTGTTTCCTCATCATAGACTCAAAATACGAGAGATATGCTATACAGGAAAACATTCTGTGGAATTCTCGAGTCATTTTCCCCTTTTAGTAGCTTTCTTTTCCCAGCCAGTGTAAATTGCATTTGTTTCAGCTGCCTGTTAATCAAAGTGTAAGCCATGGTGCAGCCATGGTATATGGTTTATCGTATCTGGGCAGTGTAGAGACACACCTGTATCAGATATCAGAGTAATATAAAGAAAAATGTAGAGGCTGACATTGAACTAACCTGCTAGAAACTCTAACACAAAGCTGTCTACAGTATATGATTACCAGCTGACATGGTGTTCTTGAACAATTTGAAAATGATGATATCAGCACCATGCTAGTCTGACCAGTTTCTTCCACCAACTTGATTGTCACATGTTAAAAAATGTTCACAACACTTGAGAGGAAGAAAAAATATATTTAGATAACAATTCATGGACACACATCACCTGGGTTCCATCTCTATACTGCAAAAAAAAAGCAAGTAGGAATGTTGATGAAAGAGTGGATATCAAATGGATGTGTTACCGTGTGTATTTGAAAATGAAACATTAAATAAGGTAGAAAGTGCACATTTTACAATGATACAAAGCACAACTTTCTTTTATTCATACAAATAAATAGAGGATGCTGTCAAGGACCAAAAATATTTACAGTTTCACCAAGTTAAAAAAAATCCAAATTTAAACAGTCTTCTAATTAAAGAAAGTGATTACAGGAGAGCCAGAGCCTATCCTGAACCTAGCCCTGAACAGGACACCACTAACAAGCCCGTTAACCTACCAGCATGTCTTAGCACTGTAGGAGGAAACCATTGCACATGGAGGAAACCCACATGAACATGGGGAGAACATACAAACTCCAAACAGATAGCAACCCAGGACCCCAGCACTGTAAAGCCACAATGCTAACCACTACACCACTGTGCTGCCCATCAATATTAGAATCTATGTTAAGTATATTTTCTAAAGATTTCTATTATAGATAAAATAATATACTGTATACAGTAGTTAACTACTTTTACTTGTTTGCATATGAAGTTCTGATATTATTTAGATTTTGATTTTTACTGGAGACCTAAGAAACCATTTAATAATATACACTGCCCATTTTTTAAATCAGGTCTTTAAGAGACTCAGTCCTGATGATTTTCTAGGCCTCATTAGCTCATTAATTGTGAAAACCTGGAGAAGGTCACTGAATTAAACTCTTCCTCAGAACAGTCAAGTGGTAAATAAATTAAAGACACCTCGCAGCACAAAGGACTTTGATTTACAGGTACTTGGATTGGGGAACCCTTCCCATATATTGTATCATTAGTGTTTATAAATATAACCTAGAGTATGGAAGCCAACATTTTTGTTGTATATAAAGTGTAACCATGCAATAGTTCTTAATCTATTTAGCTGACATTTTTTTACCAGTAGTGACTTATTTGTACTCAGTTATACAGCAGGGCATTGTACTAGAGCAGTCTGAGTAAAATATCATGCTCAGGAATGCAAAAGTAGTGGCCAGCTCAAGATTCAAACCCACAACCTTCCAACTGTAAATCCAGAGGTCTTCGTACAGACTGGTGTTTTGGTATCCTTATTTTTTTTCAGGGAAAACAATTTGTTTCCTTGTTGTCAGTTGTTTTTTAAACTGTGATTTATTTTTCTTTAATGAAATTGCCAGTATTATGTTTGTCCATTTATTATTTAATTAGTTCTCTGTGGCCATGTTAATTAGTACTTGGTTTTAAAAATGACCACTTTGCAGTAGACGTATTTACATTTTGTATATGTTGTTAGTTTGTTTTTCATACATCGGAACTAGTGAAAATGTTAAAAATCTAAAATATATATTTAGTTTAGTTGTTTTTTTGTCTTTTGCAGTGTCTTATGTTTCTAAATATAAATACCCAGTCCAAGAGAGAAGGGCTGGTAGATGGGTAATTATGACAAAAATAAAGGATAATGCCAATAATCCAAATCAGTACGATTAGCACAATTTGGAAAAGATTAGAGCTTCACCTTCAGATTTGCTGTCTCTGTACCAGCTAAAACCCATAATACCAACTCTATAATACACACACAAGCTATTATAACCATCTAAGATCCAGATTCACCAGCATTCAACAGCAGTAACTAGCAGTGAATTTGTGAATTAGTTCTTCCCTAGAACTCTAGGTAAGGCAACAGGGGTCACAGGACCTACTGTGTTGATCAAGCAGGGAGTCTGAGAGATTCAGTTCAATATTTGAGATTACTTCTGTACAAATGTAAAAGGAGGTACAGAAGCTGATTTGCAAATATGCAGTTTCCTTCTGAGTGTAACTGAATCAGCATGAAAACTGACAAATCACTCAAATATGCCTTATTACTATTTTTAGTTCACTGCTTTGTAAATTTTTTAAAATGTTCTGTATTTGCCTCTTTCCAGATCCAAAGGGTGTGTTGTCAGTCAACAGGCTATTAAGCAGGCCATGTTTGTATTGCTGTTTTCCAGGAAATCCTCTGACTGGCTTTTTTAAATGGACTCTAAAGTTACCTCAGGACAGTGCTTACTGTGTAAGGTATGCATTATGTTTTTCTTTTGAAAGTCATATTTGCTGTTAGGTTTAGTATTTAAAATAGAAATTAAAGATTTGTGTTTAACTATTTTTATTGTCACCTGTGATGGTGAAAAATTAATTTTCCCAACTTTAAAAAAAATGCGTTTGCATCCATATTATTACTTTATACTTTTTTCAGATTTTTACTTTGTTTGTAAAAACTTAAGCATAAGAGAACTAGAGAAAGGTTTTTATTTGAGAAGGCCGTTTAGCCTATTTGCTCATTGCTCTGATTTTCAGTATTTTCAAGAGTTTTCTTCTGCTAAGACCTTTGAGACAGAGGTTTGTTTTTGCAAAAGAGATGTAAGAAAGATCACACGACAATAAGAACACCAGTTTGTGAAGAAAACAAGTGGCACAGGCACTCAGTGACACAGGTAGCACAGCATTGACTTTCATATTCTGTGTTCCTGTGTTTTTCTATATTTATACAGTTACACATAAACCAAACAAAAAGAAACATCATGTGGAAAGTGCAACTCTCTCTGTTTTGTTGAGTTTCAATCCCAGGCACTCATGGGCTCCAACAACAGTCCCTAAATCACAGATAAACCAGAGTTTTTACACTGATCTAAATTTGAGAAGAGGGACAACATTGCCTCTGTAACTTACTCCACACACTGAGAGCTGTTACAATCACGTTCCATGAAGTGAGCAATTATTGTGAAGTATGTGTGGCCTGTGCCTGTCTATAAGAAAGCATTCAAGCAAGCTTATTTCAAGAGACAAATTCATGCAGATTCTGTGTGGTGGTCCAACAGACATTGATTGTTAATCTTCTCCACCCATTGTGTAAGTATTTGACTTCGCCTAGCCTGTGCTTGAACATTGTTATGGGTGGTTGAAAAGTAACATGATATTCTACCCACGCTGAAGTATATTCAGCATTCAGTGTTATCTGACTCTAATTTTTCTTTTTTTCCTTTTACAGAATGAGAACATGCGCCTTTCTACGTAAATTACAGTACAAATGCTTTTTCTTCTCTTTCTCCCTGTTGATTTTGTGCCTTTTGAAGCTTGTATATTTCAAAGCGACTGCTAACAGCTTTTTCATCCAGACCTATGGTATTACTGGAACCACCAACCAGAGTCCTAGATACCACATTAACTGTACCTCCATTTATGAACTGGAACCAGTGGAGATTGGCAAGTCTTTGGAAATAAGAAAAACAAACATTATTGATGTGGGAGATGAAATTATTGCTTCTCTTACTTCAGACTGCAGGAGATATATTGCGTTAAGAGAATATGAAAAGATACCAGTTTCAGAGGAGGAGCGCCTTTTTCCATTGGCGTATTCCTTAGTGGTGCACAAAAATGCAGCAATGGTCGAGAGAATTCTTCGAGCCATCTACATGCCTCACAATGTTTATTGCTTTCATTATGACCAAAAATCTCCCAAAACATTTATATATGCTATTGAAAACTTAGCTAAGTGTTTCCCCAATGTATTCATTGCATCTAAACTGGAATCAGTGCAGTATGCTCATGTCACTAGGCTTAAAGCCGATCTGAATTGTCTGTCAGACCTTCTGAGGTCACCTGTGCAATGGAAATACGTCATCAATCTGTGCGGCCAAGACTTTCCACTCAGATCCAACTTTGAGCTTGTTTCCGAGCTTAAGAAGCTGAATGGAAGCAACATGCTAGAATCTAGCAGGCCGAGCGACGTCAAGAGGCAGCGCTTCGCCTTCCATCACGAACTCCAGGACGTGCCTTATGAATACCAAAAATTGCCTGTAAAAACCAATCAGGCCAAGGAGAGCCCTCCGCACAATATTGAAATGTTTACCGGAAGTGCCTATTTTGTGCTGTCGCGTGCTTTCGTTGACTTCGTTGAGCAAAGCCAGCTTGTCAAAGACTTCTTGGCCTGGTGTGAAGACACCTACTCTCCAGATGAGCACTTCTGGGCCTCTTTGGTGCGAGTTCCTAAGGTTCCAGGAGGGATTCCCAGGTCGGATCCCGACTTCACGGACTTGATGAGTAGGACGCGTCTGGTGAAATGGAGTTATCTTGAGGGGTCCCTTTATCCTCCTTGCACTGGAACCCACATTCGCAGCGTCTGCATTTATGGAGCTTCAGAACTTCGCTGGCTCCTTAATTATGGGCACTGGTTCGCTAACAAGTTTGATCCCAAAGTGGACCCTGTCCTGATCAAATGCTTGGAAGAGAAACTTGAGGAAAAACAACATTCCTGGGTGATGTTGACGAAGTGACTTTTGAGATTTAAATGTTTTGACAGTTTTCTGCACTATAGATTGAAGGATTATTTAAAGGACTATTTATCTATGCCACACCCTTCTTTGGAAATCAATGAGTGCAATTCTTATCTTGCTAATAATTATTTATAATACATTTTCTTTCACTTTAGCTGTCACACCTTTTTTGGACAAGGCATACTCATGAACACCAGACTAATATAAATATAAAAAAATAGTTGTATTTTCTGTGGAGGGTCACTAATTGGAATACTAAATGTTTTGTGTAACACCTTTAGAACTTCACCACAATATTTTCATATTTTCAGGGAAAATCAGGGCTAAACCCAGCATGGTGAGAATTTTTGTCTCATGCCCCTAAGAGCACAGGGAGGGAGGAGAGTTGAGCAGAATTCTTACCTACAGTAGGTGGCTTTGCTCAGCAGCAATTGCGTTTTTTCATAATGAAATAAACTGACTGGACTTCAAACATCAGTTGAAATTTTTACCAGGTTGTGTTTTTAAAAAAAATAAGTGGTCATAATTAACTTCTACCACACATGACAGAGACACAGATTTCCCTCTCTATCTCTTTATATAATCTTTTATGAGGGTAATTTTTAATCCCCAAATATTGTTCAAATGAAAAATTAATTGTATTCTTTATTTTTTAATGATCAGTATAATATTATTTTACTTCCCACACTGAATTTATTTCCATCTCAATTGGCTTCTTCAGACTTTTGTAAAATCGTGACACACATTAACCACTTCAATATCACAATATTTGTGAAGTGCAACCATGCTTGAAGTATACTACTATATTTGTATACATTTTCCTTCGTTTTCTATATCAGTCTGTTACCTAGCATGCGGATTTATTTTTATTTCTGGAGTTCAAAAGGGTTAAGAGTACAATCTACTGTGGAACAGAAATCTTTGAAAATCTGTGTCACTGTAATCATTTTTTGTTCCACCACAATGCTAACATTGTAATTGAAAAAAAGGATGCTCTAATGTAATTGGAGAAAATCCCATGAGTTTCTTTTTGGGTGGCATGGTGGTGTAGTGTTTAGCATTGCTGCTTTGCAGCACTGGGCTCCTGAGTTCAGTTCTGGACCTGGGGTGCTATTTGCATGGGGGTATATGTGTTGTTTATGTGAGTTTCCTCCCACAGTACAAAAACGTACTGGTAGCTTAATTGTCCTCTGAGAGAAGTGGCCCCAGTGTGTGTGTGTTTGTGTCTGTGTTCCCTCTGACAGACTGGCCTCTTGTCCAGTGTGTACCTTGCCTACTCTCTGTTGCTTGCTGAGATAGACTCTTTCTCCCCTGTGAGCCTGAATTGGAAGAAGCAGTTTGTAAGAGGGATGGATGGATCATGAGTTTCCTGTTCTTTTTTATTTTTACAGCTGTTGACAAGCTTGGTGCCTTGAATTGCCAAATGAGTTGTCGTTTGTCTATATCCAGATGAGCTAGGAAAATGTATGATTTGGTTTGTTTGCACAGAATTTTGCACTGATGTTATTACCTTTAAACTATTGTTGGGACAAAGGATCTTAATGTATTTTGTCAGTGTGCTTTGGAAATGAAATGGATATAAAACAATGGAAATGTAATATAATACCATTAGAATTGAAATATTCAATATTATGAAAGATCAAAACTGCAAAACAAGGCTTTCAACAAAGAAATAGCATACAGTTGTGATGAAGGTTTCTTGAGTTTGTCATGTTTAGTTTGTTTCTAAATCTATGATCTATATATAAATCTAAAACACAATGTTTTATAATTGCAATGGAAAATGCAGGAATGTTCACACACAGTGTGCTAATTAAATTAGTTGGCCTTTTTGAACAGATGTGTTCAGAAAAGTGACCCCTGTTGAGCAAGTAGTACACTGTAGTAGACAGAACAGCTTCATTTAGCTCTTTACTACAGTATGCTTTTCTTTAGTATAGAAAAGTATACTATACTTTCATGTATAGAAATCAGCATTTCAGTTACATAAATACTGGTCACCTTGGGTTGGTACTATGTGTGTATTGTCATGTATCATAGAAGTACAGTACTTTGTCGGGGTCCCATTTGTAACCTGATCAAATTCCAAGGTATATAGGGCTTCACAATACAGCTGTTTGAATAGGCCAACTAACTTTCTAATCACCCTGAACATTGCAATTTTTAATGGTGATCTGTGCCTGTAGGCTGCAGTTCAAATCAAGGGCTATAATATTAATGATTTAAATGTTCTGATGTACTTAGAATCAGATGATTCTGTTGGACATGAGTCTGATAAAATTGGGACATTCTAGTTTTTCTGAAACAGCAAATAAAATTTCTGAATTTTCTCTTTGAAAAAGCTGTGATCAAACCTTATTGATAAGACTATTAATGTAATTTATTGATAACTATTAATAATAAATATGGTCAACACCAAAACTGAGTCAAACAAGAAGATTAATTTTTCGGAGCAGTCATAATTTCATCATTAGTGTATAAAACAGCACACCAAGAACTGATTAGTTCTCTGTCATTGAGTTTGTGGCCTTTATTCATGTGTTAGAGTATGAAGAATCTAGACCAAAACCTTATTTTTTTATTGTTTATTGCTAACACTTTAAAACACTTTAGGGGATGCTAATTAAAATTATAGGGTTTCATTGGACAATGTGTTTGTGCTAGTGTCTAATATTCTTAGTTTAGATTGTCTTTATTAGGAAGTTTATGGTTTTGTTCAGCCTTCATTTCCACCTTTTAAACCACAGCTCTTCAGTTCCAATTATCGGCCCAGTAGAGTTTGTAATATAGATGGGTTAATGTTTTTACCTGCTTCATAACTGGTCAAATGGCAAAGCCAGTGTCTATTCATGCATCATCAGAAAGCTACTTGGTCCTGGGCAGATTGGCAGCAATCCAGAGCCTATCCTGGAATCGTAAGGCTTGAAGTAGGCAATCAATTGAGTAGTGAGTTGTTTAGAGAAGTGAATTGAAGTGACTTAGCAAGCTTGTGTTAATTAAAAATCAGAATATCCCTCAGAAACATGAGGAACTATACTATAATCTTATACTGTGTTTACTACTGTAGTTAGCTACTGAATCTAAACAAAAGCACTTTAAGCACAATAACAGGTAATTATGTTGAATACATCAAAATGAAACTTATCTCAAAATATCTCAATTTTCAATGACTTCCTGGTGTGTTTCTGTTTCATTGAACTAGAAAAACTAAAGGGAGAAAATGTTGAATTATGAAAGGCTAAGCACACTATGTCCCATCAACAGTACACATAAAACATCCAAAATATTTGAGTAAAAAGTCCAGAGTCTTGCTTATTTCCTTCAAAACATTCTTATGTCTTTCGACACTTCATGTAGTGCTTGCCTACTGGTTTCTGACACTGCAGCTGTCAGCTGATCAAATAATTATTTCTAGAATGTACCAACACAAGGAAGCCTTTTCTTTAAGTCATTGGTCAACTGGATTAATTCTGTATGAATGTTGATTAATTTACTTTTTTTGTTCTGATCTACCTTCTTCCATAAAGCAAGAAAGAACTTAATGAGCAAGAACCCCCTGACCTCTTTACCCTGTTGAACTGGAGGCCTTTTTTTCTGTGGTGACTGATATTGGCTGGAAGTAATCTTCACTCTGTAAACAGATCTCTACATACATGACTGCTCTTGAATCAGTTGTGTTTTAACATTGCTTATACACGAAGTCTAATTAGCAGTAAAAGCAATGCACTCGTTTCATTATGGTAATAGACACATTAGCACAGAGCATAATATAATCACATTAATATTTAAATACATACTGTTTCGACATTTCTTGCCTAAAACCAATAATACATTTAAAGATCAAATGAGCTTTATTTTAAAACTTTTTATAGTAAACACTTTGAAAACCAAGTTACTTGCCTGCTTCGTCTAGGGATTGACAGCTGTCGTTTTTTTTATTTACTGTATTATCTTTCTGTGTCACAGTTTTACAGCAGCAGCAATTATTTGCATAAACACAGACCCCAAGGGATATCATTTGCCTGAGCTAAGCAGTTCAGTTTGTTTTTTTTTGCTGAAATTGTTCTCTGGCAGGTCTCCCAAAGCTGACACCTGAACTGGACTAATACACATGTAAACAATATTCTTGATGATATTATTTTTGTCTGTGGGGAAAAAAAAATAGACTGTCTTGTTATAATTACCGATGAAGCAACAGTGAAATTGCACTGGTTTTACTTCAAGAAGTTGCATAAGAGTAGTGTAAAGAGGACCTTTAAGCTTAATTAGCTATACTTAAAGTACTGTAAAATGTTTTAAATCAGTCATACAGTTCTGTATCATGCCCTGCAGATATTATATAATAGATATTGTGAGAATAAAAATGTGGTGTAATTTTTCACCATATGGAATATCTCTAAGTATGCATCTCTAAAACCTTCAAAGCTGAAATAACTGGAATAACTGTCTAAAGATGAACTTTAATTTGTATTCATCACATTTAGAAATCTTTTCTTTATGGCATTTAATAACATTTTATAGGAGTACAGTACTTTGCTTAATGTTCTGTGCCTTTTCTCTGCGGTTGCCATCAACAGTTGGTATTTGTGAGCAAATATTTGTTGAATTATGCTGATGATTTACTGAACATAAAAACAGACAAAAGCTACCAGGAAAAAAAAAGACATCAGAGGGTTTTAAAAAAAAAAGCGATACTGTATGTTGTTGCACCTTTCTTCTGGTGATATCTGCAAGCACAAACTTGTTAGCTCTTACTTCAGAGCTATCAAGAAAGAACTTCACGCACACATGACTTTAACAGTGAATAGCATTAACAAAACATGTCCTATAATTTAGTTTTTTTCACAGTTAACACCTTTACTTCACAGATATCCCTTAAGTTACAGTAATTTTTGCAACTTTTCTACGAGTGTCAGTTTTAATTATTAGGTACTGTGTGGGGGTTCTGCTTTGATGAGTGTACAGCATAATGTCTAATTTCTGCTGAATCACACAAGACTTAGAGGATCTATTGAATATTAAATAGTTATTATGTTTCTATCATTATAAGCCTTCAGAAAATTTAAATGATTGTGGTAAAAGTCCAGTCTTGAAAGCTTGGTGTGTCTCCGTTTTTTCATTTCACTTCAGGTATTAAATGAATTCAATCTGCTCTTTATGGACTTAAACGAGCCAATTTACTAACTTCTCCCAGCTCTTAGGAGCTGTTGTCTAAAAGTAACCTAGATTGTGGGACAGAAATCGGACCACCCTGATCTAAATATACTTTAGTGTATGCTCTGTTTGTATGCATCACTGAAGCTTGTTCAAAGACCTTTTATTTATTTACAATGCTAGGAAAAAGTAATTTATGGAGAAAAAAATCCATGTCCCATGTTCACAAAGTGCTCTTCATAGCAGAGAATCAGAACATTTTTATGACATGAAACATGTTTATGAAAATGGTAAATAAATTATGGAACTCTTTATAAAATGAAATAAGAAAGGCTGTCACAAGGGTAATATACTGTACAGTAGGCATTTTTTAGTTGTAATTCAAAATCAGGGAATAAAACTGAAACCTTATTCTGAAGAACCTAACAATTTATCTCTGTTTCTTCACTCCATCTTTTATGGATCGAGCTTTCTGAAACCACACTGCACTGCACTTTGAATCCATTCTTACTATTGCCTGGTGGCAAGTGAGCCATCAAGTAACCTACAGTTCGTAAATTGCTTGCACTAAATCAACCACAGGGGTTGTTTTAAATTTGCAGTTTGCTCCAACAGGGCTATGGAACAGTTGTGTCTTTGGCAGACATGTTAAGGTACAATGCCCACCCCACTCATTCACTCTCAAGCTGAATGATTGCAGCTTACAAGAGCACATCAAGCCTATTGTTTGTGAGGACCCACCCTGGAGAATGTAATGGGGAGGGATTCCTCAGGATGAAGTGGTTGTCGGACCCTTGAGCATTTCTATTTGTCCTGGATAGTCAGCAGTTGCACTGTACATTGCTGGTAACAATGGGACAGTTTCTAATCTGAAAAGATCCTCATTTTAATCATGTTGCTAGTATGGATGGAAAGAGATTAGAAGACCTTTTTCAATAATGCACACTCCACTAACATTGTCAAATGTCTTTGGCTCCAAGATGTAAAAAAATGGCCAAGCAGTACTTTTCAAATGGTCAAAGACAGATAGACGTGGTGCAGGGTACTGCGTGGCCCCAAGAATCTCCTGACATTACATTCTGTTCTCAGCCTTGCTATTAAACAGCCCTTTTGAAATAGGGGAGAATTTTTTGTTAGTACGTCCAGAATGATTTATTGCCTGAGGCTGCTGTTGTTTGATAAGATATCTAACTTCCTGCTATCTTCTCTGTAAACCCTGTAATGCCCACCTCTGGGTCTCCCAAACAGCTTCTCACACCCAGCACACGTCATCTCCTGCCCACTTAACTGTCCATGTGTCCAGAACAAAATTTAGGTTTTTGGAGCCGTACTTAGGGTTACATGGATGAGAGAACATCATTTACTGGCTCTACTCCAAGCAACAGTGCATATTTGTAAATAACTATGGACAAAGAAATATTTCATTCCTTTGCTTGGTGGGGTGGAGGTAGGAGTCAAATGTGTATATTTCAGGGGAGGGGATATAGAAAATGTGATTTTTTTTTTTTTAATTTACATGTACATTACCACCTACATGTTTTTCACTTCTTGGCTCATATCTGATCACACACAAGGAATCTGTGCTACCACTTGGGGAAATCTTCTCACAGTTGAGTAGTGACATGACAGGAGCCATATTACCCTGTAACTCACAACTGGTAACCCACTAAAGCTAAGCAGGTGTAAGCCTGGTCAGTACCTGGATGGGAGACCTCCTGGGAAAAACTAAGGTTGCTGCTGGAAGAGGTGTTAGTGGGGCCAGCAGGGGGCGCTCACCCTGTGGTTCATGTTGGTCCTAATGCCCCAGTATAGTGACGGTGACACTATACTGCAAACAGGCGCTGTCCTTCGGATGAGATGTAAAACCGAGGCTGACTCTCTGTGGTCATTAAAAATCCCAGGGCGTTTCTCGAAAAGAGTAGGCGTCCTGGCCAAATTTCCCATTGGCCCTTACCAATCATAGATCCCCATCTATGAATTGGCTTCATTACTCTGTTGTCCTCCCCACTGATAGCTGATGTGTGGTGAGTGTTCTGGCACACTATGGCTGCCGTTGCATCATCCAGGTGGATGCTGCACATTGGTGGTGGTTGAGGGGAGTCCCCATTACCTGTGAAGCGCTTTGAGTGGAATGTCCAGAAAAGCGCTATATAAGTGTAACCAATTATTATTATTATTAATTATGACCTAAGCTTGAACCTGTGACCACAGAGCCCAGCTTGTATTTGCACAACGTTCTTTACACTTGAGCCACTCAGAGGGGGGTTAAGGACTTTCTCAGAGGGTAACCCCTTAAGTTTCTGTGGGAAGAAATTGTTAAATTTGAAGCATTCGTATTAAATTCTTTTGGGATTGATTTACACCACCAAGACAAAATCTCGAATCCCACAATTAACCCAGTTCTGTTACACGATTACATTAGATGTTAAAAAAAAATGTGTTTGATGTGCTATTCTTCCGAAAAAATACAAATGCATGAACATTTCTAAATTAGTAGCAAAAAATATGATGCTGCAGGTATACAGCAAATTATATTATGGGTGCAATACTGACTGATGTTGTCTGAAGAAAGCTTACACAAAATGACTTTTCAGAGAGGTTGTATTTTTATGACTTACCCAGCCTCAGTGGAATCGACAGCTGTTGACTATGACTCTTCTACTGCAGAGGGGAGAACGAGTACTTGCAGACATGTTCTTCTAACATGTCCACCTGTCAGATCCAATCATCTTTCCAATGTGGCAAATACAGGAGCTGCAGTGAATACAGAGGTGGCTGAACAAGCAGAAGGATTTTTTAAAACAAAGTCCAACTTGTCTTTGTAGTCCTGTTACACTAACATTTCATAATTTTCCAGAAGGACATGACAGTGTGGCACAAAATGTTAAAGCAAACAACAGACATCTCCAGCTGTAATAAATTTAATTTAAAAAAAACTTTAGGGACTATGTGGTCCTCTCTTTTCAGTAATGCAGTGATGTTTTTTTAAACATTGAGCACATGGAAAAAATGAGACAGAACAAGTTGTGGTAGGCAAGTGCATTTGGATTCATTTTGATTTAAAAAGGCTATGAGTATGCATAGCTCTCAGTACCTCATAATATTTGAATCATGTAAAAAGTTGTATAACTTTGAATTCCATGTGCACTAAAGATATCTATTAAATTTAGGATACATTCACTTCTCTATGTACATCGATAACTGAAAAATATTCACCAAGGTTCCTCAGAAATAATATGCACTTTAAGTTTTAAATATATTATTTTACAAAAAGGCATACCACTCAAGTAATGAGAAAAACTAGATTCCTGATAACTCACAGAGGTGGAACTGATGGCACAAATTTCACATGAGGAGTGTCTTACCAAAGAAAAAAATATAATGTAGCTACAGCCAGAGGTAGGGGCTTGTGGTTTCTTTTACTGTGGTTTACCTGTGTGGATTATTTATGCACTCAACTGGGCTAATATCACTGAGTCATCAGGGAACAAATGAGCCTCAGAGGGAGGAATGACCTTTTTCTCATCTCAAGCTGTTTTGTTTTCATGAGCTTGTAAAGCAACATGCCTAGAGAGAGCATAGATTAAGACCACACACAGCTCTGCAGAGTTTTAGACATCTTGCACATTCAGGAAAACAAAGTAAATACTGAATATCAAAAGAATCATCGCTTACAACTGCAACAAATTCACATATTCTAAAGGAAATTACAGTACCTTTTTGTAGCCGTTACACTTACATTTTATTGAAGCATCATAACATACTGTATCTGAATTAATTGTGCTGAATGAATGTTTGTTCTCAGAGTTCTCACAGAGTCTACTGTGAAAAGCACAGGCTAGAAGATGTGTGGCCACAGTTAAAAGCCCTACTAGCTGTGATGATAGTTCACACTTTGTTGCAGATGTTGCTTTGTGGGATTGTGTCCCATTTCTCCTGTATAGCCTTGACAAGTCTGTGCCTGTTCGCCAGTCTCCGAGTCCTGGATACCATGTTATTCTAATTCTGTCCACTAATGTTCAATGAGCCTCACATTTGGTGTGTATGACAACAGTCACATCCTTATCATGCAAGAAAAAAAATCACACAAGAACAAACAGCAACAGGCCAGGTGAGGTCCCAGGACTTGATCAGTTTAGAGCCATGCTGTCTGGTTGTCGTTAATCATGACAAGTGGATTTCAGCAGTAACCCGACACTCCTGCCCAGACGATCACACTTGGTCCTCACA